CGATGAAGCGGAAGACGCTTACCCTTCGAAAATATTTGGTCTAATCTTTCGATTACTTTTAAGTAATCTCCGTGTTAATCTTTCTTTTAATCATGTGTTGCTATATGTATGTGTGTATGTATGCGTGTGTGAAATTCGTCCGCTGACTTGTCGAAGCACCAGCCGATAAACAGCTGTATGACAAATGCACTCCACTATGAATAACTGGGTTTGGTATCTATGGCATTGAAAAATATTTAATTCATTAGATATATATATTTGTCACAATCAATACCAACCACTTTATATATACCTAGACACATCGCCTTTACTATCATGCACAATGAAATCCACACGATTATCTATTTCCATATCCGCCCACCCCCTGACACTGACAATCTTATTGCTTATTGAGGAAATCCATCGCGCCATCGTGGAGCGGGTCAGCTACAGTTAAAAATAAAGTATTATGCAAAGTTGACATGCTGGAGTTTTCTTACATATTTAACAAAAATTTAGCTCAAAATCAGATGCTTTTGGGTTTATTGTTCATATAACGAACGTCTGTGTTTCAAAATACCATTAAAGGTAATTCATTAAGTATTTAAACGGACGTGATTCTGCCGTTGTTCATATTTTCGATCCATACGCCCGATTCTTCAACGTGTATGCATTCATATGACGTTTTAAGATGTTTTTACTGCATTTGACAAATGCATGGGCTTTGAATAACTGATACACGAGTGGAACGATTTAAAACGCACTAAAACGAGATAGAAATCGAGATTTCGTTTTGATATCGACATGCGTCGGAAGGTTGCTGTTTCCGGTGGTATTTCCACACAGTGAATGCTTCGTGTCATAGGCTGACTATTCCATTTTATTTTTGTATTTCCTGAAAATGACTCATGTTGTTTACTAGTGCATTGATATTTTGTCTCTGTTCTGAATTCGAAATGATATTGACGTTGTTTTTGTGGGGGGAAACTGCACGCCAGCTAATATGCCTTTGCATATGTTGCTGCTGTTGAAAGATGCATGGTCAATCACATAATCCAAATTTGTCACGTTGCTTTGAGATCAATGAACCGAATGGCTTCAGTGAATCTGTGTGCAGATCATTAACTGTAGATGCTAGTCTCGTATGGAACATAATGATCAAAGCCAGTCTTATTGACTGGTTTACGCCTACCAGTATAAATAATGTTCGGGTCTGTAATGAGCAGATAAGTATAGATTGCTTGCTAACCTTGACAATCAAAAGGGCAAAAGGGATGTTAAAAGTTGAAACATAGGTTCTGGGAATTGGAAGTTATAAGGAAACACGTCGATATAGTTCATACGTAGTTAGGGACAGGTAAAGGGATGGATTGGCCCAATTATCAAGATAATTACATAACTAACATATTATCAGACCATTTACATGTATGTGAAGGGAAATAAACTATGAGGAAAGCACATATCTATAGCTCGATATTTGCTGGGACTGTCTTCTGATAGCACATCCTCAACAAAGCAAATTTCGACACGCTTGGAAAATCATAATTCAACGTCCATGGAAATAGGACAACATTTAAACAGAACAAAGATTTTACACAGAGATACCCAAGAAAGTGCAATAACACCAGAAGTACCGGATTAATAAGTGTCTTAAAACGTGGTCCAGCTGTTGCTTACCTTATTCTCATTTTGGGAACGTTACATGACGGGTTTCGTCAATAAAGAAAAAGATACCTTAAGAATCACCTGATAATTGGTTTGCTAATTTTGTCAGAAACCTTTATATTAATCTGTAGCTTTTTAATATTTTGCCTCCATTTCATTGCTTTTGAGTTTGAATGCAATTAAGATTCTGTCGAAAGGTCAATTTCTGTTTGTTTATATTGTTGTTTGGTTTGCTTTTTTCATACATGTGTTCCATTGTTTGTATTAGAATCATTGCTGAAGAAGGAGAGGACATTAAATATTTCGGAACATGTGGACTTCTTTCACATTTCCAGTGATATCTTTGTAAATATTTTTCTTTGTTCGTATCCATTATACCAAACTTTATATTATATATTGAATATAAGTTTTGATCTAAGTTTGATGTAAATTCTACCACAGCCAATTTATTTCTTAATTAAACTCCCCTAATCAAATAAACGATCAGACGGAATCTTCATTAAATACAGATACTAAGAGATACCATGAATTGGTTGAGTTAGACATATAGAGCGTAATATCCTTAGATATTTATTTATTTATTTAATTCATTTCTAATAACATCGTCTAAGACTTTTACACGAATAACAACTGATGTTTTGGAGGGCGGTATTGAAATATATATCAGATAGATCGTTAGAAAATGACATAAATAGCACCCTTTAACACTACATAATAATAATTTGTTTGATTACGCTGTATCTGTTAACGAAAATTCAAATCCTCCTTTTTTGGAAAATCAAAGTCGGCCCGAAAAAATCTCTTAGATTTAGGATAAGTAAGTGCTATAATATGATAAAATATTAGAATGTGACAGGCTGAATTACGGTAAAGCCCAGGATAACAAATCTACCAACAGGCTGTTGGCTATAGATTACATGTGTTCATCATTTGTTATTACATTATCTACAGCGCGTATTGTTTTGGGAGAGACACTCTCTCATCAGCCAGCTTTCAAATTATCAATATTATCAATCATCAATAGCAAAATGATTATCGTTTGCGAAAATTTTGTGGACCCGGAGTGTGCTTTTCATTGACAACGGCGGCCTAGTATTTTATATGTATTATCATTATCATTTAAAGTGTCTAATTTGAAGAGTAAGGCATTATCCCTGTAGGATTGAGATCAAACAGCGAAGATATAGGCGATGCAAGTATTTATGAGAATGAGCTCCCAAGGGAAAACCTACTTACATATACATATTATGTTTTATATGAAAAGACAATCAACAAATTCACACTGCATTGATCTCAAATTTACGTCCATGTATATATATATATATAAAACTCTATAATTTAAATTGTGGTATTTTAGTTTCACGGTTGATCTGACTCACATCTACTGAGAAAATACAACGATATCTTACATAGGATTAAAACCTAAAATTACTAGACATTCAACAATGTCAATTTTATCTCGTCAAACCCCGTTATTAATGAGATATTAAGCTTTTTAAATCCCGTAAACAATTTGATATTTTTGTTATCTCTAATATCAATCAAATCCTTTCGAGTCGTCTTCCATCTTAGCGGTTGCTACAACTTCTGATTTTTTTCTGTTTTAGTGAATCACCCCAGTTTGTTTCACAATATCTGTTATTCAGCAACCCTTTATAAATATAAAAGAAAACATGATTGATGACAGAACTTATACATTTTATTTCCTGTGTATTTTTTTTTTATTTCTGAACGCCTCATTTTAGAAATATCCAATAAGATGTTGAGTGCCTGTACAGCTAAGAAGAAATACACATTCTGCTTGATAAATACCACTTTCTCTGCTTGATAAATACCACTTTCTCTGCTTGATAAATACCACTTTCTCTGCTTAATAAATACCACTTTCTCTGCTTGATAAATACCACTTTCTCTGCTTAATAAATACCACTTTCTCTGCTTGATCAATACCACTTTCTCTGCTTGATCAATACCACTTTGTCTGCTTGATAAATACCACTTTCTCTGCTTGACATTCTACTCTAAACTGGCAACAGAATTACAAGATGGGTACCTGGTTGAATTTTTCGTCCATGATCATATTCGACTCCTCAAACATGATAACATTTTAAAGCCTCTTTTCTTAAATCAATGAATACTTAAATGGATAGATAAATAAATAACAGATTCCTGGTATCACGCGGTTTCTGAGACATTTTACGCTGTATTTCAATACCGGTTTTGGATATCACTGAATCGAAACGGAACCGTGCCAATAAGTCTTTGACTTCTCCATCTAATATAAGAGCATTTCTCATACTAAATCTTAAACGATATCTCACGTAGATATTGTACATTCGTCCTTCATGTCTAAACTAGTAGCGACAATGGAGAAAATAACGACAGATCAGTCTTAATTAAAAGCCTATGAAAAGATGGTAACATACGAACGAAAAAAAAAAGCCAAGATTGAAACGTAGATTCCTTAAAAAGTACAAGATGAATAAGACCAGGTGTTCCGGGAGGGTGAAAGTCTTCTTCTTCGTCTGCTATCATCCAGAAGAAAACTGGATCTAGATAACATTATGGTTGTATTTAAAGAATGGTGGATTATACGATCTGGCGTCATAGCTGTCCTTATTAGTTGTACCCCGAAATCGCCTTTGATGGGAACAAGCATACATCTGACGAAATGCAACATACTTTATTGTTGCATTAAAAACGTTAAGTAGCAATGATCCAAAGCCTCTTTGAAGTCCATATGATCTGAAATCTGTTTCCCAATATTGTTTTACCAATAGGCCGTTCATGCCGTCATTTTTTAGCCGATTCATTACTGCTTCTACTGCTTATCAACAAATTTATGTTGTCAGTGCTCATATGATATATTCATGTTAAAGTCTAAAAAACAAGCAAATTCCAACATGTCAACATAATCATAATCCAAAATCGAAATAAAAAACAAAAGATTTACACGGAAATTCATGAAAATGTAAAAGGAGAATACAAGGTGTTCCGGAAATGTAAGCATCTCCTTCTTCATTGACGACTCCCGCCATCTAAATCTTGGTCAATCTAGGTAAGTATTGTCACGTTCTCAAATGGAAACAATGTACACGACAACGGAACCAACAGCTACCGAGGGAGAAACACGCCCAACTTCATGTTGTGCAAAGGAACAGAATATTTCTACACGAGAAGACAACCGTAAAACTGCCCCATGATTTTTCATTAACCTGCATCTTTTGAAACTCTATATTGCGAGTTTGTCCGTTAGTTGACGACTTCTTGTATGAAAATCGTAATAACGGAAACAGGCCTTTGAATATCGAATGAACTGCGACATTTAAAAAAAATATATGGCGTGCTATTTGCAGGTCCTGCGTGCGACAGTGTCTGTACCACCGCAGCGTTTATTGGAGGACATTGGAACGTACCTTTTGTTAGTTTTGCATGTGCACACGAGGCACTGATGGATGTTAGTCGCTACCCGACATTTGCACGAAGCACTGTCAGTTATCACAATATTGTGTATTCGGTGAAGGACATATTATCACACTACGGCTGGGATCGTGTCCTATTGGTGGAAGGTCATGAGGATATTTGGCGCGATGTCGCTGAATACTTTGTGGTAAGTCGTCTTGTGGCGTTCATTGATAGGTGCTGATATAAATATCACAGCTAGTAGCTAATTTTGTTAGAATTAAATCAACATAAAAATCATCCGTAAAAATGTAAGTGAGTGCTTCTATAAGTGGATGAATTAATATGATATCTAATTACCAGATATATCGTTAAGATCTATCGAGAATGAAGATATACACATTTTGGTAGATACATTAAATGCAAAGTCATTCTTTGACGCAAATATAGAACCTTTTGTTTACAAATACGAAGACATATGGAGCATTAAAACAGTCGACCAAGATAAATGTCCTTTATCCCATAACGTTTAATTAGGAGTCGGGGAAATGAAGAAAATTGTTAAAAAAATCTATTATACACAAACACGTTATAATGTTAAAGTTACATTTTTTACAAACAGTTTCTATGATACAATTTATATATATTCTTTCTGTTGTAGATTTCGTTGGAAAACGATAACGTACAATCCCAGATATGGACTCTCGAGAGTGATCAGCACATTATAGAAGAACATATGGCCGTTCAGATGTCCTTGTTTCGAGGTCTGTATTTCAATATTTTATTTTGGTCACCATGCCATAAATCGAGTTCCATCGCGTCCATCAGACCATTATGCTAGTCTCCCTCATTTATTTTGGCGCCTGGTGGTCAAAGGTCAAAAATTCTATTGTGAGATACACAATCAGTATCCAACTATAAACGCATACTTCATTACTGAAAGTGGTTGCTTCTGTTGCCTTTAATGAACGTTAGGCAAAGTAGATAAAGGTTGCTGTTACTAAAAATATTCTTTTAAATATATTTTAGTTCATCTCCGCTGATCATGTTCTATTTTGCTGTCAGGTATGGAAATTTCCTACTTTGATCAACATTTCAAGTAATAGATCATAGAAACTGTTTATATGAATGGAAAACTGATATGACACCAATTTCATTTTTTTCAATTAATAAAACGTCAATTTGACTAGTGCTGCCTATAAAACGGGTCTGGAGCAATATTTTGAAGAACTTTAATTCATAGATAGTCAGTGACGTTCTTTAATGTTTTAATACCGAGTGATTTCATTCCATAAAATTAAATGTTTTTTTTTAGTTTGAATGTAACATCATCTGAATATTTCAATTTCAATTAAATAACTGCTCCAGTTTGATGTTTGAGCGAGATCAAATTTTAAAAATGGCCCCTAATGAATACTGGCATTCACTGGAGAACGAGACATTATTAGATAAAAGAATAAACTTAGAAAGTGTCTTCGATGGAGCAGTAAAACGCGTATTCATAAATATTGGGTTACAATCTCCTTATATGTGTCAAGTGTGTCGACGTACAAATTCCCTTGATACACATAGATGAATCCATTTTGAGTTTGAATTATGACTGTATTTTCAGTATTGTAATTTTCTCAAGAGAATGAAGTTCGTAAAATTCGAATTTTCTGTTTTCTGGTTTTCTCTGAATATTGACGGTGATATGTGCCTATGGGTTTACGATAATTTTCTCTGAATACTGATGATATATACCTGTAGTGATCTCTGGTTTTCTCTCAACAGTGATGGTGATATGTGCTTACGGTATAGACATCATCCACCTGCTTTGTGCTGCTGAAGTTGTAGGACTTCTCACAGGCGAATACGTGTTCATTACTGTGGACTACTCACGGGCTATACAAATCATCGATCCCGAATGTGATATCGGCAGGGTCCATGAAGGTAAAATCGTGCCCATTGTTCAATGTAGCTTCATCTGTTTGTTAAAGCTCATACAAAAATATCGGCCTGGTAAAAATATGAGAGACCTTACACCGTTATTTAATGTGAAAACTCTGATCATCTGTTTTTTGCAATTCTCACTGTAACTTCTATCACCGTGTACCCATTAAGGAGTATCAAATATTATCACCTTTAATTTGCAGTTGACCGGTGAGCATTGCAGTCACAAACAAAAATATTCTATATTTGGTAGGATATTAAAATTTTGCTATAACGTCTTACAATAATTTTCAGATACAAAATAAATAAATAAATACCAGCACCTAAATGACATATTTCAATATGTAATATTAGAGAAAAATATATGGGTTAAATCAAACTGGTCTATTAACCTGATTTTTTCATCTTCTATTGTTAATGTAATACTGTTGTATATTGTATGTTAAGGTCGAATGATGTCAGTTGTTTTGTAAAACTAAAAAAGAAAAAGGAAATATAGGAAGCAGGGAAATAAAAATTTGTATTGCGGCGGAGGTGTCGGATCAGGTTTGTTTAGTTTTTCTACGTCCCTAAATGGTTAGAAGATATACAAAAGCAAAACTCTATGTTGCGTTGAGGTACAACGAAGTCGCTCTCACAACACAGTAAGTCCTCTATTTCCTAGAAGCTGTAGGAAGTGTTTTCCCGACTATTCGAAATGTTCGTTGTGTAAGAGGTCGAAGTGAAAAAAATATGACGATGACCCATGAAAAGAAAAAAAATGATTTGCACCGCAATCAGGCGATAATCCATTTTCCACAATTATGTCTCACGAAAAAATGATATACCTAGAATTAAGCAAGTATAGATATATATGAAAATTGCATTAACCAAACAGCTTGGATATGTTTTGGATAAAAATGTATCTATAGCGTCATCACTTTTAAAGTATTGTTGTCTAAAGGTTCATTCGGAACTAGCTAAAAATTAAGTCATCTGGTATCACTACATTTTAAAGGTGTGACAATGATATAATCAATCGGTTTACGACACTAGTAATAATAAGTAGCCCGTAACAGACACTGGCAGATTGCTGCTGAAGATGTACGTTGTATGTATAAATAAGGTAGCATGAGGATCCGACTTTTCTGTCTACCAGGAATTTGTCGTGGTGTAATTGGATAAACGTATGGATGTTTGACCTTGAAATATAAGATGACTGTACACAAATTCAGTAACAGGCAAAACGCAACTAATTGCTCTCTTATAATTGGTAGCCAAACGCCTTTAATATGACCCTTTTTCTGTCAATCAGAACTATAAATATGACGTGTGACTAAAACAGTTTGATGTCATTAAGGTTGTATAGGGATATCATGAAGGAAAATGCATTCTTCAGCACGTAGCACAAATGAATCTTTTTAGGTAATACATATTTTGCCACTCAGTTTCCTGATTTGCATCGATATAAATATTTGTCATCAACTTAAATGTTGTTTTTGCAACTCATCTTTTTTTATTAGTGAATAGTAAAAAAAAAAAAAAAAAAAAAAAAATAACAAAAACAACAACAACAACAAAAAAGGTAATTTTCAAGTTATAACAAAGTTTAATATAAATACATTATTTCCCTTAATATTGACCAGGTCTTCTTGATATTACACCCAACGTGTTCCCAAGCAACGACAAAGACTTCCTTAGCAAACTGGAAAATTTAAACGTTACGGTAAGTACATGATTAAAGATAACCTCATCAAGTTGGATACTCTTAATATCATTGTAAGTGCTTGCTTAATAATTTTACACCTTACAGTAATTTTCCAAAGAATCCTGTTTTAAACTTAGCAGAGTTTACTTTTGAGAGCATTTTCTGACCGTCTTTACATTAATTTAAATAATAACTTCTCTTCGAGTTATCCAGATCCGGTTTTGTTGTCTCTACCTCTGGAATTTGTGTAAGACCTACCTACAAAGTACTTCCAGTTTTCGACTTTGACAATCACGTGTTCAGTGCATATTTCTTTTTTTCATTTAATCAGATATTGTCAATATTGCATAGTCAAATGGAATGAGTGACTTATATTTCTATATAAATTACCTCCACTGTAGCCAGTTTGGAATAAACAATAAAGATGCATTAAGTATGTATTAATTATTTTTAACAAGTTCGAAATGAAAATTTAGCCCAAAAAGAACTCGGATTAAAGCAGATTTTACAATTTTGATGATTATATTATCGCCATCTTACTATTTGCACATTAAAAACGTGTCACCTTTTTCGTTTATGAAATTGCGACTTGTTGAATCGTTTCCCAAAGGTCTGAGGCAGATTTTCCCCAGTCTTTGGATCATTTCCAATCCACAGTAAAATAATACCTCGACACTTGAAATTCACCCGCTTTTAACTATCGACTCAAACGACCGGAAATGTCAAGGGCTAACACAATTCCAAACACTCGTGACAAGTGTAAAAAACATGAAAGAATATTCTGGTCTTGATATAACTCGAAAGCTAGCTTGTATATAACTGATATATTTGCGTATTGCATGATAGAACACAGTTAGTTGCCATGGTTATATGATTACAGACGCTTTTTGGTATCGCTATCATACTGGTAGTTTTGTACACCAACATGCATGCTTAAGATGATTTTACTGTTGATCCCAGACCACCATCCACGCCGGCTTATTGTATGACGCGTTTCGGCTATATGGAGAAGCACTGAATATTGCATACTTATCTGGTATGAATGTGAGCAGTGTAGGCAACATTTCCGAGAGCATGCACAACCTTACATTTCAAGGTATTTATCTTACATTAGACCGTTTTTCTTTTTAGTAACATCAGCTCATTTGATTGTGTATTCAAAATATTTAAAAGAGAAAAGAATCCTGACATTCCTTGAATTCCGGAAAGAAATAATGAATAGAAATGTTCTTCAAAACATATTATTAAGTAAGTAGCGGTTAAGTATAAAATCTGGAATCAGCACAGAATTATCTTTGTCCCAACAAAGTTGTTCACTATTTCCGTCACTAAATGAGATGATCATAACAAGTTATCACCTCTGCATCTCTCTGAATCAAAATTTTTGCTATAACAGGTAATTAATTTGATAGATTAATTAATAAAGTGTAACTACCGGTGCGTATGGTATGACAACGACTCTTAGCAATATATCATTCAATACGATGGTCGTCTTTATATATTTCCGACCAAGATACGCCAAACCTCACTCTTTCTATTGTTCCCTAAAGCATAAAAAATACCAAATATAAAGAGAATGTTTTGGTTATGAAAATAAGGATGTTCTGATTCATTATAATGTATCATCATAAAGAGAGAATCACCACAATGAATCTGTTTGACTGGTGTTGATACAGGTGCCGATGGCAATGTCTATATTACGGAAAATGGTACACGGGACTCGGGCTTTGTCATCAGTAATATCCAACAAGGTGTCTATGTACCAATTGCTATCAACCCAGGCATGTAAGTCCAACACTTGTTTGAAATTTTACCTTCCTCAAGTAACTATCGCCATCAACACAGGAATTAATATGGCACCTTATTGATGACATCGAATACTGGACCATACATAAACATACAACCCCTCATTATGTATGTTGTTAAGTAATGGATATAACATAAATATATAACGAGCCCTCTTTAAGTACATTAAGTATTGTACATTACATAACTATATAATGAGCCCTCATTATCTACGTTAAGTATTGTACATTACCTAACTATATATTGAGCCCTCATTATGTTCGTTAAGTATTGTACATTACATAACTATAAAATGAGCCTTCATTATCTACGTTAAGTATTGTACATTACCTAACTATATAATGAGCCCTCATTATCTACGTTAAGTATTGTACATTACATAACTATATAATGAGCTCTTATTATGTACATTAATTATTTTACATCACATAAATATATGAGCTCTCATTATGTACATTAATTATGGTACATTACATAAATATATGATGAGCTCTCATTATCTACGTTAAGTATTGTACATTACATAAATATATAATGAGCCCTCACTATCTACGTTAAGTATTGTACATTACATAAATATATATAGCTCTTATTATGTACATTAATTATTGTACATTACATAAATGTATAATGAACTCTCATTATGTACATTAAGTATGGTACATTACATAAATATATTATAAGCCCTCCTTATGTACATTAAATACTTAAATTACAACAAACATCCACGTTTAAAACATCACAAACTAAATTTTAATTACACTTACTAAAATCAAACTTAAGAAATCAAACAATATCTCCCGATAAAAATTAACAATAAATAAATAAATTGATAAATAAATCAATAATCATCATTCTTGTTTGCTTCCAGCAAGATGACTGGGACGACAGTATTTAACAATGTAACGGTCATATGGGCAAACGGGAGGACCGTCGTGCCAGCAGGACGGCCAGCGTGTGGATGGAATGACGAGTACTGTCCACCTGTCGAAAATAGTCAAGGTAAGTATACAGGATCATTTCAAAGCTAAGGATGGTTTGATTGCATTGCTGTTAAGTTGTTATTTTTGAGAGCTTTTATTTCGAACCATCGGGGAAAATGACGGTACTTTCAAGCATGGAACAATAACACACATCCGAAATTATAATAATAAATAACGTACCAAGAAAATCAATGAAAAAAGCTCATAATTTTTCTTTTCCATTTCTAACATTTTACTAACACGTAGAATCATAAAAGATATACTGCATGTGTGTGATTTTCGTGTATTGTATTTCAGTTCTGACTGCCGTTTCTGCTGCTTCAGCAATTCTCTTCTGCCTTATCGTACTCGTCATAATACTCCTTTTATATTATAGAAGGTATGGTGATCGACTTAGATGTTGTCGTACCTGACACTTAACCATTTGACAGAAAAATTCCTCTCATCTGTGAGATAACAATCAAAATGGAAATTTAAAGAACTATTCAATGTTCGTTGATGTTTGAAAGGAAAATAAATGAAAATATACTATTTTTTGTTTTCAAAACTAATGCCACCCAACAACATACTGACATTAATATCTTTAGAAGAAAAAAAATGAATAAGAAAAAAAATCTAACAAAAATCTAGTAGAATAGCAATCTGTCTAGTTTATTATGTGTTAGTTAATCCTATAACTGATTTGCTTTTACTACAACTCCGTCGACAACTTCAGATATAATTGTTTTTGTTGAAGGAAAATGCAGTTACAAGCACAACTACATAGTCTGTCCTGGAAAGTGACATTAGCAGACCTCCAATTCACTGTACATCGAAGTAAACTTGGCAGTCGATCGACAACAAAGGTACAGCCTCATTCGCTCGTTCCTTTTTCTGATTTTCTTTTCTCAATCATCTATCCTTGCTTTGTTATATATCTTCAGGGATATACCAAAATATCATGTCATAATGTTGTTCATTACTTTTGAAATAGCCAGAAAGTGAGAATTCTGAATAAAATTTCTGTGAGAAATTGGAAAAATTATATCTAAATGACATATAGAGTTTTGCCTTCTTATTTAGTAACAGGCTTGAACGAAGGAAATGTCGATGAAAAATAAATAACTTTCACCAACCGAGTTTCTTCTACATAGAAGAAATTTTAAATAATCAAACTATGGAAATTGAAATCATCAAGTTTATCATAAAGCTTGGTGCAGAACTGTCCATGTTGGTTTCGTTGTAGGAAAATATCGAGATAAATGGTTGATGTACAAGTGTTTGTCGTATCTGCGATGGACGTGATGAATGAATGTCTTGCTATTTAGAGATGAGACGTCATCAATATATCTGAAAGTGAAATTAAACGACTTTGCAAGGTCTTTGTGACCTGTTTTGATAAGCCCATTGATAAATACACCCTCGTATGAAAACAAAATCAAGTATGCCAACAGAGGGGCACATTTAGTTCCCATAGATATGTCAATAATCTGTTAGAAGATCTTACCTTAGACGAAGATGTTATCAACCAGAGACTTAATTATTGTAATGATTATGTCCTCCAGATTTTCTCCTTTGATTTGGACATGATTGTTACGAAAGACGCTTCAGTATAGTGCACAACCATATATTTATACCGTTCTGTATATTTAGTTGATATTGTACACAGATTTTTAAAGTAAATCATAGATAATCTATTATGTTATTTTATATGTTTTCATTTATTTAATGTAATTGCTTATTTTATCCTGTGATAGAATTAATGGAATATTTCAATTCTTTAAGCCGAAAACGTAATGGCAGCCTCAGTTATGCCAGGCATTTCAGAATAACGTCCCTACTTTTTACTTATTCTTCGACTCCTGCCCAATTAGTTGGGAACTCAGAACGTAGATTTGATTTCACAGATAGTAAGATATTTGCTCTAAAAGGCAAAAGTTGTAAGCTTTAAGGGCAACTTATCTTCCGTCTAGACATTTAAATTAATATCTCTACTTGTCTGTCTTCCCCAACAAACTTTGTGACAACTTAATTTCATTTTATCAACATTTCGTTTCACTGTCAAGACTATTTACCACATCTGCTTTTACATATCTTTTATGTGTCTGGTGAAGCTCTGTTCCAAAAAGTTACGATTTCCGAATATGATTCCTAATCTTCAAAGGTGATATTATGTGTACTTTACATATACAAGGTTGCCTACCAGAATGATTTCCATTTCCATTTTCACAGTCGCCTGTATGTCCTTACTTCCATTGTAGTATTTCGGAGTTTAGTATTGATAGTCGGTAACGGTTAATTTCTATAATTTTTGAAAGGATATTGTTATTTGATAATCTCGTAGAAGAGGTTATGAAATAAAATCTTTGGGGATTATTTTGAAGCACATGGTATATTTTCTAACATGCCCATAAATGTCTGAATCGTGTACACGTATATTTTTTCAAATAAAATTTTATCTTTTCGCCTTAAAAAAATATGTTTATTACATATATATTCTCGCATTGATGTTTTCCAGTCCGCATTTTTGGATTCTTCCCGACGAAGTAGCGGTGCATCTCTGACGTCAGGCATGCAACAGCAACAGATCTTTATGACTGTTGCGAAGTTCCATGACATCACGGTCGCCGTCAAATATATCAACAAACCTTACATTACTGTTACCGACAACGTCATGAAGGAAATAAACCAGGTAGACATTAGAAACCTGAAATATGTTGTAATATTGTAAGATAAAAGTACTGACATGATATTAAAGAATCGACAAATATAAGTGACAAAAAAACATTTCATTGCAATTTCAACAGTTAAATTTTGGTTTCTATGAATAAGATATAATTGATATTATTCACAAGATATATATAATAGTGATATTGATCACTACAAAATTTGAGGTAACAAATCCTCGTATTTATCTTGTAATGAATTAATTACTGAAAGAGCGATTGAAATAAAAGTAAAGACTTGATCACAATGAAAATTATTTATTTTATTTCATTGCTGAAAATTTAGATGAGGAATTTAAAGAACGCCAATGTAAATCCACTTATTGGCGCAAGTGTTGAACCAGAGAAGATTTTCCTAGTTTCCGAATACTGCAGTAAAGGCAGCCTCCTGGACGTCTTACTGAACGATAACATTAACCTGGACCGTATTTTTAAAATATCTTTTGCTTCGGACATCGCTAAGGTAAGCAGTGATGACGAACAATACAATAACGCGCAGTTCCTGAACATGTAAAAATGCTATCTTTTGTGTTTTATCTGATGTAAAATAACTCATAATATGATAGTGACCCCTACTTCCGTGATCCGTCATCTGTCTAGTTGTGCATGCTTGTTATTTAACTGACAGGAAAAACAAACGAGTCAATAATGGACCAAATTGGATGCTAAAATTGAAAGTTGTTATCACTATTTTTAGATGTATTCATTTCTTTTCACACTGGGGTAAAAAAGATGCATGTTGATAAAAAATTTGGAAAAGTTTTATAGTCGCCATTGTAATTATATTGAGAAATGTTCTTTGTTTGATATAAAACTGGACGTGTTTAATGCTCGTTAGTGGGCCTGTTGGTTCTGTTGTTTTCATTTGAGAACGTGCCATTACCTACCGGGATTGACCGCATCTCGTATTTTCATACTTCATCGAAAAATACAAATAACATTAAATACATGCAATTTTGAGGCTAAAAAGCCCAATGAAGTTGCCATGGTTTGTTGGTTCTTGAACATGACATGTGATAGTGAAACTTGAAAACGACTACAGAGAGGAGAACTCAATCGTTCAACGCAAAAGTAATATATTTCATAAATCTATCAGACGATAACGAAGATGTCATAGATTCTGTTGTGACCGAAAGTTAACAAATATCAATACAAAACAAATTAGAATAAACAAGGTAAAGAGGACAAACCCCTAAAGATAAAAGAACGAAAATAATATTTTGAAAAAGAAACATAAAAAAATATCCATAATTGATAAAAAAAATAAAAGATGTATTACTTCCAATGTAGATGAACGTGAGAAAAGTTATACTTTAAAAAAACGTTTGCGCATAGGAAATAATCATGCTCATAAACACCGGACGATAGTGATATGAATTAAGCTTGGATCGCTCCTACTATGTCCTATGTTCTATATTTGTGGATTTTTGTGTGAAAGTGCCTTACTTTTAAACAGATGCTGACACTATTTTATCGATATGGACATAATCTTAACATTTAGCTCATTTGAGGATTGTTCCAGAACATGTCTTCTATTGTTTCTTATACAGCTTATCGGTTATTATAAAATACAAAAATACTATGAATGATGTTATATTTAGTACCAAAATCATCAAAATATGAAATAGAAATTGATAGAAGTAATAACGGAAATTATTCTGACAGGGTAATTTTTCATATGATATAACGTTTAAAATAATAACCGTTACATCCCATGTAAATAAATCTGTTTCTGTAAAGCTCTGGGAACAGATGGTATATAAGTGATATTTACAATATCTACACAGACATAGTGAAGAAATAGTTAAGGTTTGAACACTTGCCAGTCGTTCGTACAAAATACCATAAGGAATTTCCGTTTTATTTATTTTAAATGCGTCATATAAATAAAATTTTAGAAGGAGCTCTTTATTTACAACATTTCTTTGGTGTAAGTTCTTTTTAAACCAAGTCCCTAATTGTAAACATCCGACAGCTGGTACGATCTAAATATGAAATGCCAATAGATCTCCGGAGTTGTTGTAAGTTTTTTTTTTTTATTAATACCTGATAAATTTTGTGTCTCTTGAAAGACAAATTGTTGTTTTTATCACTCTACTCCGTGCGATAGTTTTCGTGGGACTCGGAAGAAATATCTTTATTATCATATTATTCCTACAACTACAGTTAATGTCCGATTTTGACCTAAATTCGGTCGGCTTCTCTGATTTTGTAACATCAGTGTATCACCTACCTATCTTTGATTTCATGTCGGATACGAAATTATTTGGCCGTGTTGTATTTTGATACATTGGATTAAAAAAAATGAGAAATATTGGTTTCTTCCAAAGGCTGTACCAAATATCTCACTTCATAATTACAAATAGTGTATTTCCTATTATGATCGTTGTGATATTTGTTGTGTATATGACTTACGGCCCAACTAATTATAACTTTGTTTTCGGTGATTATGCCTCAAGCGACGTTGGTTTTATGTCTCTCTCAAGGCTTTTTCAGTAATTTTCATGATGATTGTGTCATCCAGGGTATGATTTACATCCATCAATCAGTGATCCAATGTCACGGCCGCCTTAATTCCTCCAATGTATTGGTTGACAGCCATTGGGTGTGTAAAGTGAGCGATATGGCTATGCCAGCCTTTCGGGAGGGTGAACGAGATGACGACCATGGCAAGCACGCGCGATACACAAGTAAGCCAAATTGTTTCCATATTCTGTCATGCCCATATACAAGTATTGTTATTGTTTTATCGATGCAGATAACCAAAGCGATGTTTTCTGATAGTATACGTTTGTTCTTTATGTGTGATTTCCTAGAACTACTTTGGACTGCCCCCGAGATACTCCGTAAGCCGGATGCTTTTCCAAGAGGTTCTCAAAAAGGAGACGTTTATTCATACGGAATAATTCTACAAGAAATTCTCACAAAATCTGAACCTTACAGCTGTTCACTAGATGAACCAAATCGTAAGTATGGTAGGGTCGTCAAATTTCTCTAGGTGAAACAAGTTGTACATAAAGTACAGTCGTTATATTTCTGAAGATCAAATAAAAAATATGGTATAGTCATTAGCATTAAATATTATGGGATCGCAATCCACACTTGCAACATTAATAACATCGCTGCATTAGGTTCGATCTGACGTGAAATGGTACCTCCCCGATCAGTTCCTCTCAGCTATCCAAAAAGATACATTGAAACTGAAAACAGAGGAAATTCCCTGCAGCCCATCCCATATATCCCGAAACACGAGCATGTGCACCAAACTCTGGACAAGGCCAATTTTTACTATGTCACTGCAGCGCTTGAAAAATGCTGTATAACATATTACTAATATTTGTTTATGTTTTCTCAGTCTTGAATGTAAAATGTCTAAAATGTAACTAGTGAACTAGTGAATGATGGGAAATGGTAAAGCTTATTACGCTGGAATTTATGCCAGTACTCTGGAAAAACAAGGTAGGGTTTTTACCGTAGTTTTCCTCCAGGACGCTTGGCTCAAGGTGCATAAATCGTAACGTAAATAAATGTGTAATTCTGTTAAACAGCTAAAATTGTATCTGTTTGTCACAAATACGTGATAAATGTTCATTAACTAGGTTAATAAATCACTCGGAAGAAATATAACGGAAGCGAGTAAATGTGCTCATGCAATGTACCTATTAGTCGCGTTGTGCCTACATTCAAATAATAACCCGTCAGACAGGTCGTAGGCCTTTCTTACTCTCGAATGCCCATATACGTTTTCAAACAATGTCTAAAACTTCCTTAGAAACACTGGCCGGAAAATATCATTAGCATAGAGGTCTCGGGCGCATTCTAATTATATATATATATATCAACACGTGTTTTTTTTATAATTGTCAGCTTTAAGCAATGTGAACACATAGTGTTGTCTAGGGTTGGAATTTACCTTTCAAATAAAATGAGATTTCAAATTAACCGAGTTCTCAAATTAAGTGGTAAATAAATACAATGACAAGGAAGACATTTGGCCAGGGGTTAAAGTAAGCAATATTACGATATATCCCAGTTCAAATTATGTGGGTTTGACTGGATAGCACTTCACACTTACATTTATAACACCGTTACATTAGGTTCGATCTGACGTGAGATGTTGCACTTGTCGTGGAGAATGCTTTAATAGATTCAACAACAGAACATTCAAATATACGTTAACATCATTAATATTTTTGAACGAATAGATAGGACAATATCACTAATGCGATACAGAAAAAAACCGATCTTCGTTACGAAATAGGTTATTTCAAATGACACCATATTTATATTATATGTTTGTTCTATATCAGCGTTAGGTAATTTGTATTTTACATACATTATAGAAATAGTGGCGAGAGTAAAGCAGCTTGAACATCCACCGTTCCGCCCCAAGGTTCCCCAGGATAGTGCTGAAGAGTCTGTGTTGGACCTGATGAAGATCTGTTGGGAGGAGATACCAATGTTCCGACCAAGCTTTGTCACTATTGCCTCTACGCTCAAGAAATGCAACAAGGGACAGTAAGTCGTTACATGGACTAAAAGCAATATTCCACAATCCTCACTTGTCTTGGACCTATGGGCTGTTTTAGATATATAGTTCAAGCTCTCGGTCTACCATTAGAAATTCCTGGTGCAGTCTGCGTCTCTGGAACAATTAACTGCCTTGTTTAATGCCGCCTGCCCTATTTAATCTATATTACTCGTAAAATTACCAAACCACGGCGCCTATATACTTTAATCCCTAGCTGGAACTCATGGTCGATGTTTTTCCTGTTCTTTTTCAATGTTTTTCATGTAAATCATTGTTGTTGACATTTTGCCCTCGTCTCATCGATTTTGAGCTTAATTTTTTTTAGTTCATATGTCTGTATTAACTTAAGAAAACTTACACGACAAAACGATTACTGAAGATCGTGTTTTGTTTGCTTACCTATATTGGACATCTTCATTGGATTAGGTGAACCGATCAATACATGAACATCGCTGTAAATCATTGACAAGGAAATAGCTATACTGTACATATTTTTAATTTCACAGGATTAATATGTCGCGGATTGGTTTCATTCGCGTGATGAGATTTCTCAGTATTTAGCTGATCATGTCTTAAAATCATCAAGAAAATATCCACATGGCAACATAATCATAATTCAAACTCAAATTACATAAAACTAGGTGAAAGTGTGAACAAAAGAATGATTTACATGGAGACGCCTGGAATTATATAGGGAGAATAAGACAATGTGTTCCAGAAGAGTAATCGTCTTCTGCTATATCGACGACACTCGTCATGTAAACTTTGGTCAATCCAAGTAAATAATGTCACGTCCTCAAATGCGAGCAAGGTATACAACAGTGGAACCAACAGGCAAACTAACGAGCATTAGATACGTCCATCTTCATGTCACACAAATAAAATAGAATATTTCGCAACGAGAACACTTTGGTGATCATACAACTTCCATATAATTTCCAACAACCTGCATCTTTACAACCCTTGTGTTACGAGTTTGTCAGTCAGTTAACGAAAATCATGATAATGGGAACAGGCCCATTTTCCGAGATTTGCATTGACTGTAGCAAAATATTTGCAGAATAACTGATTCCGTGTTATTTTCATTTATTGTGAATTTGACGCAAGTAAATTCCCCAAATCTGCTATACAGTATTTTATAGTATTATCTTTTTATATGTTGTACTCCTTATCTATTCATTTATGTTTACATGCTTGATTTCATATGGCATTTACATTCTCTGCTATTACTGTATCGGTACAATCTTTGCAATTACAGGTGGTAGACCCTGCTGGTGGGCATTAAGGTCCTTAGGGTTTTCTTAACCTGCATGCGACGTTTTCATTCATTCGAATAATAGCACGGTTCAGAATATACATGTGTACTTGACATTATTTTGAAACTTTTCATTATTTCATACTGAATTAATTTTGGTATTTCTCATTTGCTTTCTAGGTTTCAACAATTTAGATCCTTAGCATCACTGATGAGTCCCAGAAGGACGAAACTGCTGTATTATGTTGCTTAGTTGATTATTTGTCTAGACTGCATCGTATTCTAACTTTTTATTGGGACATGAGATTAACTTGAGTGCCTTTGTGTATTCCTTATATAGCCCCGGCCTTTCGCATTTATTGTGTTTGGCATTACCGGTACAGCAACGTTCAAATACAGCTATACGGGTAGTAGCAAAGTTTCAGGATATACACACATCGAGTTCCTTACAAGTTATTCAATATAAAAAGAAGGTTGTATTCAACTATCATTTGAATTTGCACTTCTTGACCTTTGGTGTCTACCATCACTGAAATGATTACAAAAATGTCGCAACAGAGATGTAATGCTATAATTATTTTTAACACGGGTATCAAAATTGTGTGTGACTTTGTTAATGTTCTATCGATAGGAATACAAACCTAGTGGACCAGATGATTCACATGATGGAGAAGTACGCCGATCACCTCGAGGAGGTAGTAGAGGAGCGTACCCTACAACTGGAAGAGGAGCAGAGAAAGACAGAGGAACTACTTTGTAGGATGTTGCCCAGGTTAACACACGATAAATTCTGATTTGTATCGCAAATTGTTCACCTGTAAATTGTATAAGAAAAATTAAAAAAAAAAAAAAAAAACAAATAAACAAAAATCAGGTTAATTGAAGAGTAGTTGGATAATTCTATAAAACAATACGTTGTCCTGTGTAAGTAGTACTACAGATTTATTTGCTCCGAAAAGAGTTCAATTATCATTTGAATCATCTATGTAATATTTTTGGTAAATTTACATAATAATTTTCGACGGTGAAACGATTAGTGATAAATCATGTTTTTGAAATTTTGTGTCAAAAATTAGTCGTTCTCCTCAGTACATTTAACGTAACAATCGTTCACACTGTATTACACTATCCTTGTTCACGTTTTAAGGAATTTAAACTGATGTAAAATAAAGTTCCCAAATTTTAGGAAATGTGTGAATATATAGATTTATTTGAGTTTTACCCAAGAGTAATTGTTAGTAGTGTTTGCTGTGCACTTGTAGGACAATATCTAACTCCTTAAAGATGGGTAAGACGGTGGAACCAGAAACTTACGAAGAAGTTACAGTGTTCTTCAGCGATATTGTTGGCTTCACGGCCCTCTCCTCAGACAGCACTCCAGTGGAGGTGAGACTGTAGCAAACACGGACAGAACGCAAGACACGAACAGAACGCAAAATAAATAACGGTAGACATGCAAACACGTATAGAACGCAAAACAGATAGCGGTAGACATGCAAACACGTACAAAACGCAAAACAGATAGCGGTGGACATGCAAACACGTACAGAACGCAAAATAGATAACGGTAGACATGCAAACACGTACAGAACGCAAAATAGATAACGGTAGACATGCAAACACATACAGAACGCAAAGTAGATAACGGTAGACATGCAAACACGTACAGAACGCAAAATAGATAACGGGGACATGCAAACACGTACAGAACGCAAAATAGATAACGAGAAATATGCAAGCACAAACAGAACGCATAATAAATGACGGTTTACGATTCAAACATATTTCATCAGCAATATGATTGGGCATAGGGTTATTACAACAATATTTAAGTCCTTTCCCAAAACAAATTACAGTTACAACATTTTGGCAAATAAAGAAATCATTGATCTATGATTATATGCATACTTCAAAGTTCCATCGATCTCCGAATTAAGGAAACAAATGTATTAGTCTTACTGTAATTTAAAATATATCGCTAGATTTAATGAAACTGCACATTTCTAGATATCAGTTCATTTGTGTCTACAGGACGATTTTCATTCCCAGAAAGAAGTAAGTCTAAATTTAAAACCAAAGCCGCATTTTTAAGATAAGTGAAAAGAAAACGTCACAGCTGCTTATGATTGCTACAATCAAAGAAAAACTGGAAAGCATTTGACTTCATCAGTCAGATTTACAAAAATAAATATTTCAAAGAACTACATCGATGACGTAACATTGTGTGAATCATATTTAACTTCCTGTCACTAAATCCGTAATAGACAGGGTTATAATTTTTAGTTCGTTTGGAGATATAGAAGATTCGAAAGTTTGCAAACATGATGAGGCTCTAAATGTTATGTCAAGTGCATTCCATAGTCGAAGTGTAGAAGGAAGAAAGGAACAATTAGAGATAATTGAGAAATAGCGGTTAATGTATCAACGCCAACAAAATGAAAAATGGATAACGAGAAGAATACAAACGCAAACTGAACGTAAAACAGAGTGAAATGAAATAAGAATATTGAAAATAAAGCGAAATATACAAACAAGGAAAATTACACGCTTGTATTAAATGGAAATATACACAAGTAAACGTATTACAGAATTAACAATAGCATACAAACTTGTACAAAGATGGACAGAAAAAGAATTCGAGAAAAAATGAAAAGAAAAGAAAATGAATTCGAACTTAAAACGATATCATTATCCTCTTCATGTCTTTATTGTTTCTTTTCAGATTGTAAATTTCCTGAACGACCTGTATATATGTTTTGATAAAATCATCGAGCATTATGACGTCTACAAGGTAAGATAGATGTAGATATTGTTGCTCAGTCATACAAGGTGATACTTTAGTGTATTTGATATCTTATATATCGTTCTGTAGTATCAGCATATTCATATAGTACAATGTGTATGTATTCTATAACGGCTATTATGTTCGGGAAGGAGGAAAGGGTTGTTATTGTCTATTTTCCTATTTTCAAGGATAGAATTTAACTAAAAAAAAACAAATATTTTTCGTAAAAACACGAATATCTAGGTCATTAGAAAGAATTTGCGTTTCAGACTGAAAGTTGGATTTTTTTATAATAAGGTTACCTGTATTACAATAGATCTTCTATGTTGGAGGATTCTTCACATTTTAACGTGGATATATCCTTTTGTGTAATCTTTACTTCTTCATTCAGCAAACTTTAGATCGTGCTGTATTAAAGACATAAAGACTGTCATTTCATTTGTAATGATTTAAATAAAATACCTAATGAATCATAATGTAATCTTTAATGAGTAGTAACTTTAATATGAGTCAGCGGCCTGTGGAAAGTTGCCACAAATCGCATCGAATATGATAACTGTTGAAAATTGTTGGCTCCGCGTCCTATGCTACTATTATTGTTTGAAAGGTGAGAGTTGGTGTCTAGGGCTTTTCTGTCATTTGTTGTTTATCCTGCTTTACCATGGATTGCAGGTGGAGACGATAGGCGATGCCTATATGGTTGTTTCTGGATTGCCTACAAGAAACGGAGAGCAACACGCAGGGGAAATCGCAAGTTTGGCCCTTGATCTACTTAACGCCGTCACCACCTTCACAATACGACACCGTCCAGAAAAACAACTTCAACTCCGCATCGGAATTCACTCAGGTGAACTGCCGACTGATTTACATATCGCGGTTTTAAAGTTAGCAACCATTTTAGAACTTTTAGAGATATAAATACAAATATTTCTTCTTGAGAAGAATACTCTTCCGAGTGCTTTCTAATACCGTAATTCCTGTCATTAGTCACAAGACAGTGCAAAGGTCTGCCGGTGGAATATCAGTCTCCAAAAAGGTTGCTTGAACATGGTCATTATATTTTAGCAAGCAGACTATTAGTCTTCGAACATGGTCATAATATTGTAGCTAGCAGATTATTAGTCCCCAAAGAAGGCAACATTTCAAAATCATTCCCGAAGATTGTTGTAAAATTGCGACTGGTGGGCTTTGAGTTTCAAAAGATGGCATAATTTCCAAATAGTTCCTGAAGGTGGTCGTAACATTACCGATGGTTGACTATCTGTTTCCGAAGGTGGTTGTAACACTGCCGCTGGTTGACTATTGGTTTCCGAAGGTGGTTGTAACACTGCCGCAGATTGACTATTGGTTTCCGAAGGTGGTTGTAACACTGCCGCAGATTGACTATTGGTTTCCGAAGGTGGTTGTAACACTGCCGCAGATTGACTATTGGTTTCCGAAGGTGGTTGTAACACTGCCGCTGGTTGAATATTGGTTTCCGAAGGTGGTTGTAACACTGCCGCAGATTGACTATTGGTTTCCGAAGGTGGTTGTAACACTGCCGCTGGTTGACTATTGGTTTCCGAAGGTGGTCGTTGTTTGTGGTACTCGATGTGGTTTCATTATGTCATTCTGAAACCATGTGAATAATTTGTATTGTCTTACAGAGCAGTAAAAATGTTTATTTTGTTTTCGATATTTATATTAATAAAGGAAAACAATTTCTTTGGTTAACGATGGTGTCCAAAATTAAATTATTCTGGGTTGTCTGTCTGCTGTAATATCACCGTAATATTTGGCTGTGTTCAGTTCCATTACATGAGGTCGTTTTAGAAAAGCTATATTACTTAAGTAATTGATTGTTACTGGTCTTTGTGAATACTTCGGTTTTGTTTACACACCGTTAGGCATCAAGCAATCTTTATTTTATTTTGTCTATAATAGATCACGTGACAGATGAGTAAAATTGATTTCTCTTTCTCTGATCGGTCGTACTATATCTGCATTGTCTTATTGATTTGTCCGTCTCATTTAGGTCCTGTGGCGGCAGGAGTGGTGGGACTAAAAATGCCAAGATACTGTTTGTTTGGTGACACGGTAAACTATGCCTCCAGGATGGAATCCACCGGAATAGGTTGGTTATAATATAGTGTGTGTTACAAGGTGAAGAATTTCCCTTTCCATCAACATATGATAATAAAGACCTAAACAACTAACTTACTTATTCCATGGCGACTAAATTTGGAATCTGCAATTTTCTATGCTTTCTCTTTTGTTCCTCATTTATCTCTTGACACTGCCTCACTTTTGGCCTTGAGTTGCGCGTTCGCCCCTTGCGAAGAAGTATGTCATCTGACCTAGAGAGAGGAACTATTTCCTGCCTAACGTTCAGCAGTTTTGTTTTTTGTTTTTATATCGCATAAGGAAATAGAATGCTTCCTAATGATATCACCTTGACAACGCTAGAGCCCATAATCTTTATCGAAATCTGTCAACACCAGGTTTTTTGAGTATATTTGTCAGTTGTCGACATCTTTTGTTTGCACGAAAATTGTGATATTGGGCACATGCTGTTGAATATCGACTGCGAATGTAAACACCATAGGTTGGAAAAGCAGAAATATCGACATTTAGAGATGGGAATAATTAGACTTATCGGATAGCTTGATGGAGGGATATCCATGTTGGTAGTATTTATTGATGACCGATTCTCAAGACTGTAATGGCATTCTCAACCATTGGACACAGTCATCATCTTCATTACTCTTTTCATATATTTCTGACAAATTGGACGTTATAGAAATCGCTAATTTAGAGACTTTTAGAAATTGCAGTACATGCCTAGCAACTTTAAATGAAGCAATACCTGATAGTAGATCATTTCCATCATCGGACACGTAACATACCGACTAGCATCTACATGCTATTAAACTGCAATGTATTCAATAGAAAAAGTACACTTTCATGTACGTTATTCAAAAAAAAAAGCAATCATAAAAATAGAATAAAAAATATATATAATGAAGTAACGCCATCCGTGGATGCATAATCCCCAAGACCATCATTTATCTAGTGTTTACACGAGTTACTTCATATATAACTTCACCAGGCATGCGTGATTTAGCTAATGAAATCTCATTAGTACAAGTCAAAGTTTTAAAAAAAAAATGGTAAAACCACGCAAGAAAAGTTCAATACATAGGAATGTACAGATGGAAATCGATGACAAGTTCACTTGTATATGGATTGGTAGAAGCTCTGTTACTGCAGTTATCTGTGAGTCATAAGTTATGTTGGTTGATAAGAAACATGTAGAAAAAATTGTGTGAAGCCGTATTGTAAATAGTGGCTTTTTTATTGCCATGAGGTACACATCTGTATATGGATTTTTATATATCTACACGCATCGTGATATGAAACGAAACACCAGCCAAACGCATTGTTATCAAATCTTATTTAGAAGTGTTGAAATACGAAACGATATACAACATACCAAAAACCATTCTCTAGCACACATTTAGGACCAGTTTAAAGACCCGATTTCCCGCATGTCTTGTTTTACATGTTGGGAATAGTGAAATGAATGTTCTATCTTAATTCTGAAACAGTCTTAGAAGTAGTAGCATAACGGTATTTGACTTCAAAGACTGAATGTTTACATTTTTCAGCTTTGAAGATCCATGTAAGCCCAGAAACGAATCAAATCCTGGAGCACCTTGGGGGATTCCATCTACAGCTAAGAGGGCCCGTTGCAATGAAGGTAATGATCTTTCCTTCAAACTTTGTGGAATTTTCCAGCTTACGCTAAAGTCTCCATTTCAACCAATTTTTGACAATCGTTCATTATATAATATATAAACCCTGAATGGTATTTTTTTTTTATTTATTTCACCCAGGATTATAAACTATGAATTCTATTATGTTGGCTCAATATTGCACCATTACATTTATGTATTTCATAGTCTACGATTTCCATTGGATAATTGACGTCACGTGGCGACGTTATAGACGGCAATATGGCCACCGATGTAGTTTTTCACGGTTAAAGAGACACATTTCATTTTTATCATTTGTCATAGTTTTATCAGGCATGGTAAACGGATTGTGACGTGTAAGGTATTCTTCAATTCTAAATCTTATGGTGCCGATGAAGCTTAATGAAAAAAATATCTACCCCGATTACTACATTTTCATGATAACAGAAAGTTCCTTAATGAAACGAAAATATCATTTGGTTAGTTACAAAAGTATAGATAGCCGCCCGTATATCGATGGCAGCTTACCAAATAACAAGTATTGACAAACATGTTTTTTTTTCAGTTTGTAGATAACTAAAACGTTTATACTGTAACAGTTTCATACACGTGCATATACTTCTCAATTCCAGGGGAAAGGAGTAGTAGAGACATTTTTCTTAGAAGGAAAAGATGGTTTCAAAAAACCCCTTCCTTCTGTGGCCGTGCCAGACCCATGTGTTAACTGACCGACGGCGTTAACCTTCAAAGTATTCTGTAGAAACGAGGTCACGTAGCAAGAGAGTAGATGTGTTATGTAAATGGTGACTGGACAGATGTGGAACGTAGCAGATTGTAGAAATATTACTAGAAAGTAGACAACATCAAATTCTCGATAAAAAATATTGACCTGTAAGTCGGACATATCATGTACAAAACTTTTCTTTCTGAGATGGTCATTGACTTCAATCTCAACCGAGGCATGGACAACTCTGACATGTCAATTGATTTTCTCCGAAATGTGGTGTGGTATGATGTTTTTTATATATATATATTTATCATATCAACTGTGATAACAATTCTGCTTGTTTGCGCAACTTTTTGTAATCACGAACACGACAATACTGTGATAATGAGAACATGTCCTGGTGTGTTTGGTTTTGTGTATGCACCTAAGACTGATAGGTACTATAATTACTGAATCATTGTGTGTTTCACCGGTTGATGGCCCTGTTGACCTTTTATGTGTTTATGGGACGTTAAAACTGTAACAATAATGATAATAATGATTACTGATGACAAAACGTTGGTCGATTAATGAAAAAATAAACATTTGAACCTATCAGTAGATAACCATCCCGGTGCAATATTCAACAAACTAGAGGCAAACGTTCTGTTTCAATGTATGTATTTACATTTTCATAGATCTTTGACAGAATACTAAACTTTTCTGAGTTAGATTTCTGTCATAGACTGTTATGAAGTATTTCGTACAACAGAGTGATGTTTCCATACTACTTTACCTCTAACTGTACTTGTTCCTGTAGTATTTGATTAGAATACACTCATTATATCAACAATCGATGTAATTAAGGAATGTCTTAAACCATGGTTGTGTCATTAGTCCTATATTAGTTTTAGCTTCGTTTCATACATACATTTGATGAAATTCCATCTGCTAGGTCCTGGACAACCAATATAACCTTGTTTTACTTTCGAAAGATCATCCTAGTTCTACACATGCATAAGATAAGTTAAAAAAGGTTTTAAAATCAACCCTCTGTCCAATCCAAAATGAACCCAGGCTTTCTGTCGTGAAAAAAAAACTGCAGCAATATTTTTTATACCATGCTGGGGATCATACAATATCGTTAGCCTGATTATATTTTATCAATTAGAAATGATCAAATTTATTTATTCTTCTCTCATTTAATTGTTATAATAAATTGTTTTAAGAAGTAAAATTGTTCTGTCATTGTTGATTTTGTTTGATTCATACAGTTGTCTTCCTTTTCATAATTTATGCATTTCATTTTCACTTTGATAAGTTGTGATTTTATACAAATTCACCTAATGAGAAAGACTCTGAAAAATTTTCAGGAATCCATTTCCTCTCTATTTATACTACATGACCAGTTACTACCAAATATATTGATGCAAAATCAATGGCATCATGTAGGCCTACCTTCTTGCAAGCTGAAAATTGAACTATTTCCAGCACCATCAGTACAGGGCAATACATAGAATATAAAAAGAATAACCAGCTTGGTGTGCCGGCTCCTATGTTATAATTCCTATGATTTTGAGATACAAAATTGGATACATTTGCAATTCTATCTCAAAATTGATAAAAAAAAAAAAAATGCCAATACATAACAAACGATTATTCACAAAGACATGCAAGAAAATTAAGACCAGGTGTTACTGAATGGTCAGCATCTTCTGCTTCATCCAGTCTAAATGAAATCAATAATGACATATTTTGGAAGTGAGAACTAGGTAGTGACAAAGAAACCAACTTTGATATACTGATGTGAAAACTGTGTGTAAACAGCCAAATCAACATTGATATATTAAAGCATATAAGAAGTCTGACTTTGAGGAAATTGGATCAAACTTCTAAAACATGTACAAAAGAGCATAATAAAGGAGACAATTTCTAATTAAGTTTTAGGGCTGTAAGGTAACAAATGTTTTTTTCCAATCCTTGTCATGGCTCTAGCGGTTTTATTCTTTGCGAGATCTTGAACAAACCTCACACACTGATAAAGTACCATAACATCTTTGAGGATTGGAGTTTCAGGGTTGTTAGGTCAAGGTCACATTACTATTTTTTTAAATCCTTATCAGCGCTCTTGCGTCTTTATCCATAAAGCAATTTTTATTTTGATATAGAAGAACAGTACATAACTCCACGAAAACTCCTTTTTGTATTTTTTAAAGGTTTGGTCTGTCACTTCATTTAAAATACCAAAATCTTATGATACACACATTACATGCTAGTTTTATCAACGACCCAAATGTCTTGCGCCTACCGAGTATCAATACATCACTATTATACAAAATTTAGACCAAGTTTAAGGTCTTTCAGTCAGAATAGGTTGAAGTCATTCCCTTACAATGCCACCTGCCAAGAAGGTATAATTTTGTTATGTTCAATGTTGCTGTCATTTCATAGACATCAAATATCAAAAGCCTTGTTTATAAGAAATATTGCAAAACAACGAGTTGGTTGGGATCCAATACTTTTTCCTTGTTTCAAATGTATTCATAATAATAATTTTAATCTAAAATGACAAACTTATTTGAAAATGATAAAGTCTCTCGATGCTCAACTGCTCTGTGTTGTTAAGCAGTATTCCAGAGCATGGACATACAAGTACAAGACAATTGATGTGATCCCTGCAGAAATGCATTGGAGCTTATAGCCACTAGAGAAACCAAAATGGACAAACTGCTGTACATTACAACAATTTGATATACCTATCAAGGTTTCAGATACAAATGGTTTATTGAATATAACAATAAATAAAACCACTAAAAACAGTACATTTGCTTTGGTATATATATTTTGATTTGATAGGTGAATACTTTCATATGCAAACTGTAACTGAAACTGCAATCAGTGAGAGAGATATAACATATTTAACAACAGACAGCTAACGTCTACTGAAATGGTATAAGATAAAAACATAACACAGTTGAATTTTTTGTTTACAGTAGAAATATTGTAATATAGCTTTCCTTATGCTAGACCAAAACGGTGTTATAGCCTTAATATCTTATTGTGTAATATTTGTGAAGAGTATCACACTTCTTTTTACACTATTAAATTCTATATTTTTTAAATTGTTCATTGAAAAGTTATTTTCACAATAAATCCAGTTTAGGTAATTTCATACATCATCAGATTCATTAACAAAAACGTAATAATTTTTTATTGCAATAAGTCTTTGATATTGCATCTAAATGATTATGCTATCAAACATACAAATTGGTAGAAATCTTTTACAAAATCACAAGTAATTTTTGAGAATTCTTTTTGTAAAAATATATGTTGTGTACAGGATTTATAGAAATAAAGGTATATTGTGATATATCTATATAAATGTAGACATAATTATCTCTGTATATGAAAAATAAACTAAATATATAATGGTATCAGATGAAATGACTTTAAATATGAACAAAAAGAAGACCTTCAAATGTGTAATGATGTACAAGAACGACAGAATTTTTAAGATAAAAACAATATATTTTGAGCAAAAACAAAAAAGTAAAGACTAGCCAACTGTTAGTTCAACTTTAAACTTCATAAAAAATGCATCTAATTCTTTCTATAGATCTACTAAAGTCCTGAATCATGTTGCTTTAATGCTCCATGACACCTACAGCTTACATCAAAACATATCTCTCTTCTCCAAACATGTATCTCCAAAAAATATCAAAGTTTAAGTTTTAGTTCTATCGGATTGTGTTAATAATATAGATTTAATCATATACACAGCTGCATTGACCCTTTTGCATGTGAAAAAAGACACAACAAAAACAAACAATCCAAATTCTACAATGATACCATTTACATAATGTATCATAAATCAAAAGTGCATATTGTTATCTATGGATATATACAGGTCAAATTATAATAAATAATTATGAAGAATCTGAATGTCAGTACATGTGTTTAAAAAATCTAAATTTTATACTTAATGAAACAGGATTAATTTCTTTTCTACTCCCCATCACAATGATTAATTTAAGAATAATTTGTTCTGATAATGTTGAGCAGTATACTTTACTTTTGCCACAGGAAATTCAGAATAAGAAAGGTATAAGAGGTAAAGCATTACATTACAAACTTCTGTTGAACTATTTTATTGTTGGCGTTTAGATGCAACAAAATAATACTTAATAATTTCCATACTTTTCTACTTCAGTTATCCTTACACACAATTTCCATTGATATTTCTGGACTTTCACACACACACTCCATAACACAAATGGTGAATACTGTAATGGTCCCTGGACTTTGTGGGGTTTCACTAGGTCCTTTTATTGAAATTACTGTTCCAGGAGATATCATGATGGAGAAGTCATTTTTCTTAGAACAGCGTGAATTCTCTGTTGGTAAGGCTCATCTCATTTACAAATCTGGAAAGGAATGAACAGTCTTAGATATGTATAAAAGGTGAGGAAAACAAAACTGTTACCAATAAATTATCAATACATAGCTCTTACCTATCACTGAAGTCATATTTCTATAGTTGCTTGCTTCATTAATTCAATTAGTGAAAATACTACTAAAGCTGATGACAGCAGGAATGCCTCATTTTAAGTTTCAACATTTTCAATGCAATAAATACAATAAATTTATGATTCTATCATTAAACATCTGTCTTTCAGACAGCTAAAACAGACTATTGACAGTCTTGCTAATACTACTCGTGTTACACTATGAATTGTTGCAGACCTTGTCATCTCACTGTTGACTGAGACATTCCTCTTGACATAGGTCCAAGGCTGACGCTCTCTGAGGGGCTCGTCTGTTCTCCACCAGCCCAATTGTGAGGAAGTGGTCAGTGGGATACGATACAGTTCTATTGGCTCTGTAATATCAAATTCATATTCTAATGTATGATGTCAATGATAACAACACAACAAACCTAACATAAAATGTACAAAGCAATGTATTTGTTGTAAATCTATAACAATATAGTATATGGCTAGCTCGACCCACATTAATCTCGGCTGAGGCCTAAGTTTCTTAAGTGGTGCATGGTAAATTCTGCCTCAATTTCTATTTAAATATGTTATTTCTAATGTGATACTTATACATTCATACAAAAAGATTATTTTTGATAATACATACAATGAAGGAATAAGAAATACAGATCATAATTGTGTAACTTTCTTTATTAACAATTTTGTCTCACGGACATAGGCCTATATATATCAAAGTTCTTTGTTAATATAACTGTTGAAATTTTCCCCAAGAAATAATATCAAGCTCAAGATATCTTCAGTGAATTTTCAATTTCATTGTGAGGATTATTATCATCATAAGTAATTCATTTATAAATTTCACACTTCATTATTGAAAGCATCAAGGTATTATAACTGATATTTGTGTAAGATGTTTAAAATATACAGTTTTAGTTTGAATATCAGGTAATTATATAGTGATGGTAAGGTTTCCATATTGGTGTTTCATTAGCAGTAGGTAAAATTTCAGCCAAATCGTTTAATCGCTTACAGAGACAATTCGTTAGGCTCGCACGATTATAGTAAATCGTGTGCATGTCATACAGGTGCACGCTTTGGTGGAGAAATAAACAACTAAGGCTACATTTAGTTTCACGAAGAAATTGCAACAAGAGGTATCATAATAATGTTGCTTCATATCTAATGCACTATATGTTATTACCTACCTTTAGGGTTCCTGACGTGCTTCGTTCTCATTCTTGTGTGCTCAACATACGATCCTACGGGTCCCGGGCCGTATCCGGATACTTGGTTAATAGGAACGATAGATCGGCGCGGTGGATTTTTGTCTTGTAATGGAGGAAGCGCCACGAAACCAAGTTGAGTCTTAGCTCTTTGTGGATCTGCTTTCGCCCGTGCGGAACCCTCTCTAATAGTGTTTTGATATCCCAATTGACTTAGTCCAAAGAATGCCATTGTATTTGTTTCACTTTCTGATGAACAAGTGAAATAATACTATAATCACATCGGTACACTTACGGCTGTCTGCTAAGCTTGAGTTGCTAGGCCGCTTTTGTTTACATCCTGTTTGGATTAACATATTTTGATAAATTAAACTCAAAATAATACGGAACGCATCGGAAATCTTATTGCACAACTGATGCTTAATAGAGAAAGTAAAATAAATGATATATTGTATTATGATAACAAAATAAGCGATTTGGGCTAAGTTTAGTTAGACTTTGGTGAATACCTTTTTTATCAATAGCTGTTGAAGAAAGCAATTGCACTCGATTGATATTCTTATTTTTGTATATTATACGAAAACGAAATCTCGCTGATTCTCACACGAAATGAGACTTTAGACGACATATTTATTTTTCGGGTTATCACCGGCGAAGGGGCTGCTTGGTAAATCTACCGTAATCGGCGTTGTCTTGGGATACTCATCCCTCAAAATATATTAGCGCAATGGCGGGATCCTTAGCCTTCGATGAGTATGGCAGGCCTTTTATTATTATCCGTGATCAAGAGAGAAAATCGAGACTAACGGGTATTGAAGCCCACAAGGTAAACATAGAAGCATGACAATCACGTTTCTCCACATAATTATAGATTTATTGAAATTGTGTTATATATATTGTGTGTATGGGTCGTATTTTTTTTGGAACTCGCATTATCAATTTCAATACATATATCCAAGCGTTTTTAAGTGAAGAAGTTGCAGATCTGGAAATCGGTAGATGGTTCTGGAATACATATCTGCAGAGGCTTGCTTGAATTCCAGAACATTCTTCTGGAGAATTTTGTAGGAGTTTCTTTATGCATTTTTACAGTGAATGAGTGAACACAGTTTCGTATCAACCGAGTAGATAAATTATGATTGTAGAAAATGGCATTAGCTTCCGCTTGAAGAAAGTTATGCCTAAATAGTAATGACAATATTCAACATTTCATGTTTTGACAAGTCCTCGGCATATAAACAAACGTGGTTGGACGTGCTAAAATTCAATTTCTGTGATAACAAATAGAATTTCCTATAGGTGTTTAGCGCACATGTAATTCAAAGATCGCTTATGGCATACAACACTTCGAATGAGATGCACATCACAGGCACTCGAGGCCAGGATATTATTTTTTAAACATTGATTTTTGTTTTAGCACTCATGACTGACGTTATTTAAACGAAATATCAGCAGAATTCAAGTTTATGTGCCGGTTGACAAATCCGAGGTCCACGGTCATTAAAAATACACAAGGCAAGCAACTCCAGATTTTAAAAAATCGACCCCTCGCTTGGAAACTGGCTCAAAAAAAGTAGTTATGATAAGTTCCTTGTAAAACAATATGTATCCGTAGGTAGTGTGTATATTTACCTTTTATTTGGTGCATAACATTACAGGCAACGAGAAATTCACAATACGTACATGAGATTAACATCTCAATAATCGGAGATTTTATCGTCCATGTAATTATCTTTGACGGAAGTAACATGCCATTTCAAGGGCGGTCACTCCGACTTTTTGGGAGAGGAGTTCCGGATAGCACTATATGAACAGGTAAGAAAGGTTCCGATGTCATTAATAACTTCAAAATAAAAAAAAAATAGAAAAAAAATCATTTAATTTCCAATTTCTAAGTTAATATATTTCCCCCACGATATTTTTCATAAATTGCGCCCTTTTTTCATTATCTGCATGATTTTTTTCTATTTTTTTTTTGAAAAAAAATTCTCATTACCGCCAGCTTGATTGAAAGTTGATGCATTCTGTATAATCCCTTACCATGATATTGTATCCGAGTTGGCAACTGTGGACTTTTCTTTGCCCAGCCATTATTTTTCCATCCCCGCAAATGTATTTGTAGAAATAAAAATATCTATTTTGAAGTTACGCGCGAAATGACATCGGAACCTTTCTTACCTGTTCACTGGTATAGTGCTATCCGGAACTCCTCTCCCAAAAAGTCGGAGTGACCGCCCTTGAAATGGCATGTTACTTCCGTCAAAGATAATTACATGGACGATAAAATCTCCGATTATTGAGATGTTAATCTCATGTACGTATTGTGAATTTCTCGTTGCCTGTAATGTTATGCACCAAATAAAAGGTAAATATACACACTACCTACGGATACATATTGTTTTACAAGGAACTTATCATAACTACTTTTTTTGAGCCAGTTTCCAAGCGAGGGGTCGATTTTTTAAAATCTGGAGTTGCTTGCCTTGTGTATTTTTAATGACCGTGGACCTCGGATTTGTCAACCGGCACATAAACTTGAATTCTGCTGATATTTCGTTTAAATAACGTCAGTCATGAGTGCTAAAACAAAAATCAATGTTTAAAAAATAATATCCTGGCCTCGAGTGCCTGTGATGCACATAACATACAGAATTATTGCATGTTTTTAGAAACAATGCTGGAGCCAGTAGATGATATAAACGTGTTTTAAGATGTAATGTGTAATATATACAATGCGGCAGTAAGAAATACCCATACAGTAGACTTTATATTTATCAAACTGTATCTATAAAATACTAATATTTAAAACTAGTAGATTAAGAAAAAATCACACGATTTTCCTGTATTGGCAGGAAAGATATACGACACTTTGCACTTATTGCTAGATACTATATGTGTACTATCATGTTGAGGAAACCCACATATTTGCATGTAGTAAACCTTTTCAAATTTTAGACTCGATGGCATTTACTTAGTCTGCATAAAACTGCTAAAATGAAATTTACATTCGTGTGGGAAAGTACCCAAAAATAGATTCAGCACTTTCAGCCTATATATAGCCAATGTTACGATAGTTAAGTTATTACAATGGTGACTGTTACATCAAGTTTCTAAGTAGCCAGAACTTTCAGTAAATATCTTTTAGTGAAAAAATATATACATGTCAGGAATTGCAAAAGTTGTCGTTTCAACGATTTTGGCAATTTTAGTAACAAACCTATATCGCAATTGGCATACAATAGGCCAGCTTGTAAAACAACTTTGCTTGACATTACATTTAACATTAAAATTGCTGGTGTATCTTAATTTTTCACAATATTTGTCTGGGATGTAACATAGAATCAGATTCTGAACTTGATGTAATGCATGACACAATAATTGCAGCTGGTGAATAAAAGTCAAAAGAAAAAATTCTCTAATATTATTGTAAACATCCTTATACATATTATTTATTCAATTGCAATATAGAAAAACACATCTTTATAAGTTCCCCCCAAAAAATCTTGTTTTTGGTGTCCGGTTACGTCTGCTAATTATTTGATGGATTAAAATTGATGTTACAAATATTTATGGCAATACCTTATTTAAATTGATAGTTATTTTTTCATGAAAAATTAAAAAAAAATTGTTCCGGAGATAACAAATATCTTATGATGCAGAATTCTGCCTCGTGTATATAAATTGTTTGAAATATTGATCTAGTTTTAACTTAACTTTTTCTTGCAGTCTCATATCCTTGCTGCCAAGACTGTTGCTGGTGTGCTGAAATCTTCCTTGGGACCAAAGGGATTAGATAAAATGATGGTTGGTCCAGATGGCGATGTCACGATCACGAATGATGGCGCTACAATCTTAAAGCAGATGGATGTTGACCACCAAATAGCTAAGCTCATGGTGCAGTTGTCACAGTCCCAGGATGATGAGATCGGAGATGGTACCACAGGAGTTGTTGGTATGTTCCTTTTATGTTTGTCAGAAGTTTTAAACAATTTTTATTTTTCAGTGTAAAATTTTTACAGCAGTCAGTTTTGGTATAAGTTGGGAAAATACAATAAACTTTTCTTTTAATTTGTTTTTTGACTAATTAATTAAGTAAATCACTACATGTATCAGATTGTTAAAAGATGTTTCTTGGTACATTTCAGTGCTTGCAGGAGCTTTACTGGAACATGCTGAGAAACTGCTAGACAGAGGAATCCACCCAATCCGTATTGCAGATGGTTATGAAATGGCTGCTAAAGTTGCCTTTGAGCATTTGGGCACAATTAGTGAACAGTTCAAGACAGACCCAAAAAATAAAGAACCACTTATTCAATTGGCCATGACAACTCTAGGATCAAAAATGTAAGTCAGATCATTGGAAAATCATGTAGGGCAATCTAAAGTTTGGAATTCAAGATGTCCTTATAGCCTTTTATGATAGTTTTGTTCAGGAATTCTGTTTAAAAGTGTACAGAAGGGCCATATTTATGATATAACCAACACAAACCTGGAGAGTCATCTTCACATGTTTTCACACATTATCTTAGACACTTGTGAAATATTTAGTGACAGCCCATAGATCATTTATTTCTCACCAATAGGAATTAATGTCATGACCGATTAAAATCATGCATATATCCCATCAGAAATATTTTCTTCCTTCTTGGTGTTTGTGTCATATTAAAATGAATATATATATAATATAAATTTTGCTATAATTAGTTTGTGCTTCTGATGTGAACGATGAAGATAATATAAAGACATTTTGTTGGAATATATAAGAGTAACAGTGTTTGTAAAGCACTTTTTTTAAAGTAGCCAGATTTCTTCATAGTTTTCATTGGCAAATATTTGAAGACAGAATGTGGCCTTTAAGGAAACCATGTATGTATTTCAGTGTCAACAGATGTCACAGGCAGATGGCAGAAATTGCTGTGGATGCAATTTTGGCTGTTGCTGACTTTGATAAGAAGGATGTCAACTTTGAGCTAATCAAGGTTGAAGGAAAAGTTGGTGGCAAGATGGAGGACACTATGTTAGTGAAAGGGGTTATTGTGGACAAGGACTTCAGCCACCCACAAATGCCCAAGGTATGATAGGGTAAACGTACAGTGATATGTCTACAAATGAGTCCCAAATCCTGTACTCTTGAATTTTGATGGGACTCCTAGAATTTCTGGAAATACTTGAATTTTATGTTGTGGGACCCATTGTTTGTTGCAATAAAGTTGGAAAGGATTCATGAGAATAAATTGTAGATTGATTGATGAACATACTGCTGTATAGTGTCACTAGTGCAATTTACTTGGTTGAACAAGGAAAAAGATTTTTTCAGTAACACTTGTCTAAGGTAAACATACTTCTTGAAATGAAATTTGTGTGATTTACTCCGTAGGACCATGGCTGTTATCAGGTAAAAAAAAATAGATAAGTGCCCATCAAACAATGCGAGACCACCATTTAGAAGGAGTATTGATAGAGTTTGACTGTTAAAATAACTACTGACAATCTTCATTGTAACGTGTTGAAATCACATTCATTATAGCAAATAACAAGAACTTGCATGAACCAAGTATGGAATTTTGGATATCAAATTTATGAGATCTTTTCCTATCATAGTTTGTAGTATGATTATTTCTTGGATATAGTTTACTTTTATAATTTTCTGTTTCATGGGTCAGAATTTTAAGCTGAGGTTAACAAAACTTTTATTCTTAATTTTAGCAATCTGTGATATACTTACTGTGAAGTAATTCTCTTGTACTGGTAGGTAACTATAAAATGCATACTTTTAGCAGATATTTTCAAGTTCAAGAATTTTATATATTGTTTATCAGGAAGTAAAAGATGCTAGTATAGCAATTCTCACCTGTCCGTTCGAGCCCCCTAAGCCAAAGACAAAGCATGGTCTGGAAGTGAAGTCAGTTGAAGATTATCACAAACTCCGGGAGTATGAAATTAAGAAGTTCGACACCATGGTTCAACAGGTCATTATGAAATAATATGTTTGAAGAGAATGTTTGTGTCTTTGAATTATTATGGCTCTTTTATAAATATGTGATAGATTTCAGATATGCAGTACAAATTTTATGAAATTGAAAAATTGAACAGATGGAAATTGTCCAGAAATAAATGACAATGTAATTAAAGATAGAACTTTTGTAGAATGTCAAATATGAATTGCCAATGAGGAGTTATGGTATTTGTTGACCTTAGAAGTCTTATGGTACAAGTATTGTTGATATGTTTTAAATGAACATTGTTCAGGTAAAAGATGCAGGCGCTAACCTTGTAATCTGCCAGTGGGGATTTGATGATGAAGCCAACCATCTTCTGCTACAGAGAAAACTTCCCGCTGTGCGCTGGGTTGGTGGTCCAGAGATTGAGGTAAAAACCATTGAAAAATCTATGATTGAACAAAGTTTGTTTAACATATAAAAATCAGTGGAGAATTGTATCATGATTTAAAGTGAATTTTACAGTATTAGAAATATCTAGTAATATTTACAAGAATAACGATATCTCTCTTTATCAGTCTAAAAAGAAGTTTGATTTCTCTTTGGCTCAACAGCCTGTCAACAAGGCCTGGTTAATAGCTCTATTAGAGTAAAATGTTAAGTTGATGGGTCTAGATTTATTAAGTAGTTTTGCTCACCAATATATTATTTTCTCTTAGCTGATTGCCATAGCAACAGGTGGCAGAATAGTCCCAAGGTTTGAGGAGCTCACAAAAGAAAAACTTGGTCATGCTGGAATTGTACGAGAGCTAGACTTCGGTACAACAAAGGACAAGATGTTGGTCATAGAAAAATGTGCTAATTCTAAAGCAGTCACAATCTTCATCCGAGGTGGTAACAAAATGGTAGGCAGCTTTTATGGTACATTTCTGCTGAAGAAAGTCCTGTCATGAAAGTAGCAGTATTTTAATTGTTTTTTAAAAAGTTAATGTCAAATACAGGATTTACATCCATACAAGGGCAGTGTCGGTGTAATACCTCTCATAGGAGATCCCAACTTCTACACATTGTCAATTTTGGAGAATGAATTAGTAAATAATTGCAATAATAGTCTTTAAAATAACAGGTGTAAAAGTTAAGTTTTAAAAAGTTTGTTGGAAAACAACTTCAATTTGTCACTTCTGAATGAACTGACCTAGGCCAGGAACATGTGTATTGAAATTATGCATTTCTGATGACAGATTATTGAAGAGGGTAAGCGAAGTATCCATGATGCCCTTTGTGTTATCCGTAATTTGGTCAGAGATGACAGGATTGTGTATGGAGGAGGAGCACCTGAAATCTCCTGTTCACTTGCAGTGTCTGAAGCTGCCAACAAGGTTTGTTATATTTAGTATATGTAAATAGTTGAGATCTTTTCCTGAAAAGACAATACACTACCTTTCTGCACTGTAAATTTTGTTGATATGTAGTCCTGACAGTTAAACTGATTTTTTGTCTCTTGCACTGAAGTTTTCTATTTATTGGGACAAAATATTTGATGTCATTGACATCAAGTCAACATGCGAAATGCAAAACCATAATTTATAAAATCAGCTTCAAACATGATTACCTAATTTTTTACAAATTCCAATAGTTTTCTTTTAGTTCACCATCATCAGATGATTGGCTATTCAAATTGGCCACGTCTGTGGTTAATCTTTCTGTCCATGGTCCGTCCTTAAACAGCTTTTATTGTCACTATTTCTTGAGAAGTACTGGCTGGATCTGTCTTTAATTTCATATATGGGTACCCCTTGTTCCCTAGTTGTGCCCATTGATTTTGGTCAGATCAGAAAACAAAATGGCCTACAGATGGCCATCTTTGATTTTTACTTTAAAAGTTTTATGTACAGGTTCCTCTCTATCCCTACTTGTTTCTGTTTGAGTTTGCAAATAATTAGAAAAAACAAAATGGCCAAGAGGCAGCCATCCTGTGTTTCGGCAGAGTGAAGGTTGCATTCCCTAATTTTTGAGCACTGACTCGATCTCTCTTAAATGTTATATGCATGTTCCCTTTGGTCTCTATTTGTGCCTGTTCGACTTTGGAACTGATCAGAAAAAACAAAATAGCTTTGGCAGGTAAAGATTATCGTCACTATTTCTGCTAAGGAATGTTCAAATTTCTTACCATTAAGAGCAAAAACAGAAGAGAAGAGAAATGAGGGAAAAGATTCAAAGAACAAATAAAGATCAAACAATAGTGGACACCAAGATTCCTCTGGGATCCTTTTAATCCATCCAGATGAATAGATATTTGTTAAATAAAAATCAAATGGAATTAAATATTAATAAGAAAAAATGTAAATTTTTGCTAGGAGTACATCTACATGGTGCATGTCTGGGCGTGTCATTAATTGGGTGGTATAGCAAATATGTCCTTTCAAAACATTGTTTTGACTTCTGAAAGTGATGTTTCATTTCTAATTAGTTTGGTAAATGCATATATTTGACCGGTTGGTTTAGCATGGACACATGAATAGAGTCATGCCTAAAATCTCCTACCAGTTATTTGTATCTCAGCTTTAAATGATAACTGGGAAGCTGTCAAAATCTTGGCTTTTATAGTTTAATTTTGACACTGCTGAAAGAGATTGCAGGATCAAGCCAATGATGAGAAACCTATGTCGACATCATAATAATGAAGTTTCATTGATTCTTAATGATAGGACTGAGGCTTGTTCTACGTGGAAAAGCTGATTTCTGACACAAATATTTAGTCTTCACTAATATTGGTCATTTCACGTCCTTGTCACTTTATGGAGTGGTTGATAAGGGATTCATTGCTGTTTATGTTGTAGGGAAATCATCACTGTTAATGTTGTAGGGGAATCATCACTGTTAATGTTGTAGGGGAATCATCACTGTTAATGTTGTAGGGGAATCATCACTGTTAATGTTGTGGGGGAATCATCACTGTTAATGTTGTGGTTGAATTATCACTGTTAATGTTGTGGTTGAATCATCACTGTTAATGTTGTAGGGGAATCATCACTGATACTCTTGTAGGGGAATCATCACTGTTAATGTTGATGTTGTAGGGAAATCATCATTGTTAATGTTGTGGGGGAATCAACACTGTTAACGTTGTAGGGGAATTATCACTGTTGATGTTGTAGGGGAATTATCACTGTTAATGTTGTGGGGGAATCATCACTGTTAATTTTGTAGGGGAATCATCACTAATAATGTTGTAGGGGAATTATCACTATTAATGTTGTGGGAGAATCATCACTGTTGATGTTGTAGGGGAATTATCACTATTAATGTTGTGGGGGAATCATCACTGATACTCTTGTAGGGGAATCATCACTGTTAATGTTGATGTTGTAGGGAAATCATCACTGTTAATGTTGTGGGGGAATCATCACTGTTAATGTTGTGGCTGTAAGGGAATCATCACTGTTAATGTTGATGTTGTAGGGAAATCATCACTGTTAATGTTGTGGGGGAATCATCACTGTTAATGTTGTAGGGGAATTATCACTGTTAATGTTGTGGGGGAATCATCACTGTTAATGTTGTAGGGGAATTATCACTGTTAATGTTGTAGGGGAATTATCACTGTTGATGTTGTGGGGGAATCATCAATGTTGATGTTGTAGGGGAATCATCACTGTTAATGTTGTAGGGGAATCATCACTAATAATGTTGTAGGGGAATTATCACTATTAATGTTGTGGGAGAATCATCACTGTCGATGTTGTAGGGGAATCATCACTGTTAATGTTGTAGGGGAATTATCACTATTAATGTTGTGGGAGAATCATCACTTGATGTTGTAGGGGAATCATCACTGTTAATGTTGTAGGGGAATCATCACTGTTGATGTTGTAGGGGAATTATCACTGTTAATGTTGTAGGGGAATCATCACTGTTAATGTTGTGGTTGAATCATCACTGTTAATGTTGTAGGGGAATCATCACTGTTAATGTTGTAGGGGAATCATCACTGTTAATGTTGTAGGGGAATCATCACTGTTAATGTTGTAGGGGAATCATCACTGTTAATGTTGTAGGGGAATCATCACTGTTGATGTTGTGGTTGTAGGGGAATCATCACTGTTAATGTTGTAGGGGAATCATCACTGTTGATGTTGTGGTTGTAGGGGAATCATCACAGTAGTCAGTCAAAATAATGTCTTATATAAGCAACAGAAAACCTCAGCACAGTGAATTTCTGTTGGAGTTGACATATCTCCTACACAGATCAGACACTGTGCAAGATCAATAGGACACCCTGAACCATGGTCACACAGTGTATGTCTGTGTGTCTCTTTGATATGGGTGGTACAGTAAATGTGAAGATGCTTTTTATATGTTGAAAGTGTGAATTAAATGTATTGCATAATGTTCTTTATTTGTCTCAAATTTTTACATCTTGAAATTAGTATTTTCAGTTCACCAGCCAAATGAGCCAAATGAATTTTAGGGATACTGCAACATCTGTGGAACATCTGTCATATGATATATTGTATTTTTTATCAGTCTTTAAATAGGTGTTGTTTTTTTATGAATTGCATGATATTGTCCAAATTTGGTGTAAAACATGCATGGGTGAAACAAAATCTATTTTGTATAAATAGTTCAACAGTGGGTTGCCCCTATGTTTCCTTTAGGTGAACTTAATTTCAGCAAGTCAAACCAGGGAACAAAACAAATACAGACCCTATCAGCATCTTGTTTGATGTTTGAACTGGCTCTTAATGATAGTAATGCAAGAATTTTCATTTGAAAGCTCGAGACTCTGATTATTTGAGCTGTACATATGGATGTTAGATGTATACAAACTTCAGAGCTAATCATGATAGAATTAAATCTTCACTCTTTGGTTAGGGCTATTCCAGTAAAACATGAATATGACCCAAGGACTCTAAATACATCACCTCTATCCATGGTTGCATTTCCTGCTTATTGCTTTTAACCAAATTATTAATTCTGAATGTGTGGTAGCCCTAAACGAAACCTGGAGTCTCGCGGCGAGACTACTAGTATGATCTAGAAATGAATACAGAAGTGATCAAGCCAATGATGAAAAACATTTGTCGACATCATAATCATGAAAATTGAATGATTCTAAATGATAGGACTGAGGCTTGAACCTGATAATTACCTTGGTATATAGACTAATCTTTCTCCAAATAAGCAAAAACACAAGAGAAGAGAAATGAGGGAAAAGACTCAAAGAGCAAATAAAGATCAAACAATAGTGGACACCAAGATCCCTTTAGGATCCCTTTAATCCATCGAAATGAATAGATATTTGTTAAATAAAAATCAAATTGAATTAAATGTTATTTAGAAAAAAATGCTTATATGCAAATTTTTGTTAGTACATCAACATGGTTTCGACATCTTGCTAGATTTGCAGTGCACATCTGGGTGTGTTGTTAATATGGGTGGTATAGGAAATATGTCCTTTCAAGGCATTGATTTAACTTCTAAAGAATTGTATCAATAACAGTTGAGTAATTCTGAAAGTGATATTTCATTTCTAAATGCATATATTTGACAGGTTGAATTAGCATGGACACCTGGATAGATTCAGTCTTTTATATATTGAATATTAATGTCTTATATAAGCAACAGAAAACTGCAGCACAGCGAATTTCTGTTGGAGTTGACATATCTCCTACACAGATCAGACACTGTGCAAGATCAATAGGACACCCTGAACCATGGTCACACAGTGTATGTTTGTGTGTCTCTTTGATATGGGTGGTACAATAAATGTGAAGATGCTTTTTATATGTTGAAAGTGTGAAATTATTATGTATTTTTAGTTCACCTAAATTTCAGCAAGCCAAACCAGTGAACAAAACAAATACAGACCCTATCAGCGTCTTGTTTGATGTTTGAACTGGCTCTTAATGATAGTAATGCAAGAATTTTCATTTGAAAGCTCGAGACTCTGATTATTTGAGCTGTACATATGGATGTTAGATGTATACAAACTTCAAAGCTAATCATGATAGAATTAAATCTTCACTCTTTGGTTAGGGCTATTCCAGTAAAACATGAATATGACCCAAGGACTCTAAATACATCACCTCTATCCATGGTTACATTTCCTGCTTATTGCTTTTAACCAAATTATTAATTCTGAATGTGTGGTAGCCCTAAACGAAACCTGGAGTCTCGTGGCGAGACTACAAGTATGATCTAGAAATGAATACAGAAGTGATCAAGCCAATGATGAAAAACATTTGTCGACATCATAATCATGAAAATTGAATGATTCTAAATGATAGGACTGAGGCTTGAACCTGATAATTACCTTGGTATATAGACTAATCTTTCTCCAAATAAGACCTGTGTAAAACTAATTGAAGAAAAATTAATACACTTCCTATTTTCTAAAGATCACTACTCTCCATCATGGAAATTCTTGGTCACTAAAGTATGCATCTATTGATTATCGTAAGTTTGATTACAGATTGTATTGATATGAGATTTTGAAATAAAAATATGAAATTTTGAAATATGGATGATACGTAAAAATTTTATACAAACAATGAATGTGGTTTTAAGTGTATTGTTTTTTTCTTTGTGTCAGGTGTCTACTCTTGAACAGTATGCCATGAGATCATTTGCAGAGGCATTAGAAAGTATTCCATTAGCACTGGCAGAGAATAGCGGTTCATCACCCATTCATACATTAGCAGACATCAAATCACGCCAACTCAAAGAGAAAAATCCACGACTAGGAATTGATTGCTTATTTAAAGAAACAAATGGCAAGTGATTTTAGAACATCTCTGGTTGAATTTATACATACTGATTGATTTTGAGAACAGCTTTTTTGAAAATTTTAAGCTGAGAATTTTTAGGTCATCTGGACCCGAAGGGTCCGATGACCTATAGTCATCATGCTTCGTCCGTCGTCGTCCGCCGTGCGCCGTGCGCCGTCCGCCGTGCGCCGTGCGCCGTCCGTAAACTTTTCATTCAAACGACTTCTTCTCAAATACTAGAAGGTCTAGGGGGCTAATACTTGGCACAGAGGATACTGGCATGGAGCTCTACCAAGTTTGTTCAAATGAATGACCTTGACCCACTTTAAAGGTCACAGGGGTCAAATATGTTAAAATCTTTAAACAACTTCTTCTCATTAACCAAAAGGCTCAGAGTGTAGATATTGGGCCTGTGACATGCTGGGATGAAGGACTACCAAGTTTGTTCAAATGAATGACCTTGACCCACTTTAAAGGTCACAGGGGTCAAATATGTTAAAATCTTTAAACAACTTCTTCTCAATAACCAAAAGGCTCAGATTGCTGATATTGTGCCTGTGGCATGCTGGGATGAAGGGCTATCAAGTTTGTTTAAATGAATGACCTTGAACAACTTTCAAGGTCACAGGGGTCAAATATGTCAAAATCTTTAAATAACTTCTTCTCAAATACTAGAAGGCCTAGGGGGCTAATACTTGGCCCATAGCATGCTGGCATGGAGCCCTACAAAGTTTGTTCAAATGAATGACCTTGGCCCACTTTCAAGGTCACAGGGGTCAAATATGTTAAAATATACAAAGGACTTCATCTCAATAAGCAAAAGTCTATGAGTGCCGATATTGGGTCTGTAGCATGCTGGGAGGAAAGGCTACCAAGTTTATTCAAATGAATGACCTCAACCCACTTTCAAGGTCACAGGGGTCAAATATGTTAAAATATACAAACGACTTCTTCTCAACAAGCAAAAGTCCATGAGTGCTGATATTGGGCCTGTAAGATGCTTGGAGGAGAGGCTACCATGTTTGTTCAAATGAATGACCTCAACCCACTTTCTAGGTTTGGCTTGCTTTTTGTCAGATGACCGTTAAGGCCCATGGGCCTCTTGTTATGCTAAATCATATTGAAAATTTGAAAGGCATACATTTTTCCAAATTACATGAACAAGTTAGCTTGACAATTTTCATTGTAAATTATGTACAAATGGGGATATCAGTGGACAAGTATCAAATACCAAATAGATCCACTTCATCATTTCAATTCATGACTTTTAATATTGTTTTGTATTGTCAGATATGAGAGAACAGCATGTGATAGAGACATTATCATCAAAGAGGGCACAGATAATGTTAGCTGTCCAGCTGACAAAAATGATTCTGAAGATCGATGATGTACGTGGAGGAGAAAAGATGCAAGGTTACCCTGGCATGGTAGGTCAATGATTTCACTTCATGTCAGAGTCGGATCATAGTGGTCCCTCAACGCAGAACAGCAGTCTTAACTTAAAATGGTGCCTTAACACAGGGCAGTGGTCCCGCAACAAATTATGGGGCAGTGGTCCCTCAACACATCAGTAATCATTACTGATATATGGTTTCACATTGGACAGTGTTCCGTTAATACAGAAAAGCAGCCTAGCAAGTATATCTTCACATCGGGCAGTTGTTAAATACATGTCAGATAACATGAAATAGAAATGCTCAAAACCCTTAAAAAAACATGGGCATTTGAATGCTCTTTGATCTTGTTTGTTTGTATAGAAAATCAGGAGACGATAGTTTCATCTTAAATACAATAAGTTGTACATGGATGAGTGGAGACCTTCATTCAGCACAGCGAATTTCTGTTGGAGTTGACATATCTCCTACACAGATCAGACACTGTGCAAGATCAACTAGCCACCCTGAACCATAGTCACACAGTGTATGTCTGTGCGTCTCTTTGATATGGGTGGTACAATAAGTTTGTAAAATGGTTCTCTTCATTATTGTTTTCCCCGTAAATAAGCATTTTAGCTCTATTGATCCTGATAGGTATTAAAATGATTAAAGTGAATGCTTGAACTAGAAAGGTCCTATTTCCTCAAACATGAAAAATAGCAAAACAAGGAATTTGGCATTTGGACATTGCAGATGTACAATTTTGATATGTTTTAGAAATTTTGAGAAACATTTGTCAGTTACGTTATGCAAAAAAGTTCATATAGGCATGCATATGGATAGAAATACTTAGAACATGAAACTCGAATGAAAAATCTTCTTAAGAGATTTTGTTTGTGTTAATTTGAGAATGGTCAGAAGATGGTGCTGGAAATGGTTTTTGGATACATTCCATAAGAATGATGAAATCATCTATTTCAAATATCAGTATTATGGTCGGTAATTAATCTTTTGCATTGTATTGGAGTTACTGAACAAAAGGAAACATTTCTAGCTGTGTGTCCGTGAAATAAGCCTGTGATGAAAAAACCTAAGTCGACATCATAATCATGATTTCTAATGATTATCAATGATAGGACTGAGGCTTATACTGGAGTGAGGCTAGATGTTATCCTTTGGTGTTCCCTTTTTATTGATACTAAAAATAGAATTTATAGCTCCTACTTTCGTGTTTTTCAGATGTGAGCACTTTGAAATTAGGAAAATATTTATGAAGAATTTCCCGGAATGAAAGACGATATTAGGAGGTGTGAAGATGGCAATTGTCTCAGTTTTGTGGACTTGTATGGAGCATGAAATGGTACCATTTTTTCACCCCCATGATCTGTGATCTGCTATGGATAAGACACTGCAATATTGTCCTGTTCATCCTCACACATGGACAAAAATTTTCAATATTTGAACATGTGGATGTCTTGGAATTTTTAAGCATACCTGAATAGGGTCAATGAAACTGCTTGTGAACAAATTTGATGTAATATTGTTGGAGAAATTTCCTGATGCGACTGATGGCAGTTACCCTACGCTGGACTTACAAGACAAAAGTGCTGTGTTAAATATTGTAACAGATAGCTTCGCTGTTTATGTACCTTTTATATATTTAATGTTTGAATGAGTTCAGTAAGCAAGTGACATATTTTGAGTGATTTATAAAGAAATCTGATATCAAAATTTTGCTGTTTCTTATTTTTGCACATATGATACAGTTATCATATTTTACTTATCTAGCACAGAGTTCCTTTGAATTTACATGATTGTCAGTTGGCCATCAAGCTTACACATTTGGCACAATACTATTGAGCAAAATTGAACCACTGTCATCATCTTCAAAATCAAGTGCGACAGTAGAGTTTTAAAGGGTCTTTAAATGGAAGAGATATTAAATCACAAAACTGTTAAAGAAAATTTAAACCACTGTTATAATCCTCAAAATCGAGTGTGACAGAGAGTTTTAAAGGGTCTTAAAGGGAAAAGATATTAAATCATTTCCATTGTATAGTCACATTTGTATGCAAGTGTTTTATCAGGAGTTAAGCAGGTGATGATATGGCCAATATTGGATTGACCTGACAAAGCGAGTTGCTTCACTGGTCATTCACAGACATCTCCTTTACTTTCTGCTTTCTACTTGCTTTCTTGAAAGATAAAATTTTGAAAAACAAAAAATTGGAAAAATGAAACTTTTATCTGATGTTTAATTCCCTTCATATTTGATTTGTAGAGGGAAATGGGAGGCATCTTGGATTTGTTGACCATAACTTTTTCTTGAAATTTGGTTGTCAAGAGTTGATCTTGCTCAGGTCTTTATTAGGGACTGATCAAAAGATATGGGGATAAACAGGGGCTTTTGAGACTGAACTAGAGAGTTGTAATACTGATCAAAAGATATGGGGATAAACAGGGGGCTTTTGAGACTGAACTAGAGAGTTGTAATACTGATCAAAAGATATGGGGATAAACAGGGGCTTTTGAGACTGAACTAGAGAGTTGTAATACTGATCAAAAGATATGGAGATAAACGGGGCTTTTGAGACTGAACTAGAGAGTTGTAATACTGATCAAAAGATATGGGGATAAACAGGGGTTTTTGAGACTGAACTAGAGAGTTGTAATACTGATCAAAAGATATGGAGATAAACAGGGGGCTTTTGAGACTGAACTAGAGAGTTGTAATACTGATCAAAAGATATGGGGATAAACAGGGGGCTTTTGAGACTGAACTAGAGAGTTGTAATACTGATCAAAAGATGGATAAACAGGGGGCTTTTGAGACTGAACTAGAGAGTTGTAATACTGATCAAAAGATGGATAAACAGGGGGCTTTTGAGACTGAACTAGAGAGTTGTAATACTGATCAAAAGATGGATAAACGGGGCTTTTGAGACTGAACTAGAGAGTTGTAATACTGATCAAAAGATATGGGGATAAACAGGGGTTTTTGAGACTGAACTAGAGAGTTGTAATACTGATCAAAAGATATGGAGATAAACAGGGGGCTTTTGAGACTGAACTAGAGAGTTGTAATAGAGTAGTTATGTAGAAGAAATGCAGTGTTTTGAATTGGTTCTTGGATGATCATGTTTTTGACAGAAACTGTACACTGCATAGAACTATAGGTGTATATTAGATGTGACTGGTACATTGGTATGTCTAAAGCAAATAACCTATTGGATAATTTAACTAACGGTTACCCATGCAAAGAAATAATGAAAATTGTATGGTGAATGGTAAAGTATAGAAAATTCAAATGGCTTCCGTATGTTCCTAAAACCAGTCAGAGGTGGTCTAGAATATCTCTTTGCACTCGAGATCTGAATGTGACAAAGATATCAGCCAGATGACTTCCAATCCTCTATATAACAATAAAGATTAAACAGATCCACTCCTTTTATTCAGAACACAGCTTATGTTTTTCCAGAACCTTTCCATTCCAGGAATCTTGATATCAAAATGACTATGATTTGATACACATTAAAGGGTTGTTTCATATTCTTTGTTTATATGATAGAGAAAATTATGATACTTTGAGATAAATATGAACCAAATATGCTGAGGTTCTCAAAATTCTACAGTAATTTGAAGCATGATGCATCCTTAAGGATGACACGGACAGCTGGATAACAATGTTTTTCCATAGGGCCTGTATTACTTGCTTGGCATCGACTGAAATTCATCCAAACTTCAGCAAAAGGAAGTTTTATATTAATATCCGCGATATTTACTCCCTAGGGGGTCAGCCAAATTATTAATAAAGAATGGAGTGACAAATGGCTTCTTAAATTCCATCCAGATAAATGTACCCACATGCACCTAAAGAAATCATCACAACAAAGCATCCAGAGATACACACTTGGTAATGTAGTACTACAAGTAGCAGAAAAAGACATAGGAGTAACAATAGACAACAAATTATCTTTTGAAAATCACGTATGTGAAAAAATAAACAAACCAAATGTTCGCCATCATCAGAAGAGCCTTCCAGCACCTAGATAGAGAACTATTCATTCCACTCTATAAAAGTTTAGTTAGGACGTACCTTGACTTTGCAAGTACAATATGGTATCCATACAAGCTGAAATATATAGATAAGATAGAGGGAGTACAGAGGAGAGCAACCAAGCAGATACCTAGTCTAAAAGGAATGACCTACCCAGATCGTTTAAAGCCTCTAAAACTACCAACACTGGTCTATAGAAGAGGAAGGGGAGATATGATAGAGCTTTACAAGATCATACATGAGTACTATGACCCCAAATTCACAAAATGTGTGAAATTATGGAAAGATCAGACACCACGTCAAGGGAGAATAGGGAACTCACTGAAAATATACCCCCAGCAAAGCAATTCAGAAATGAGGAGGAACTACTTCACTCTCAGAAGTGCGCCAGTATGGAATAGCCTACCCGAACATATTGTGACAGCACCATCTATAAATGCATTCAAGAACAGACTGGACAAGTATTGGGAAGACCAAGAACTCCTTTATGACAACTATAGAGCCAATATAAACATCGGAGGTGGTGTGAGAGAAACACAGCCAGATCAAACAAATAAGGAGTCTGGTGTAGAGGACTAAAAATCCTGTACCAGAAATTATCGCTAAGTAAGTATTACTACCGATGAAGGGAAGGTGTGAACGACACACTTACTATAGTATTGAACAAAGTACTGATACTATTGTATTGAAGTATTCAAATAATCGAGTCAAGTATACAACGACCTCTGTGATTGGTCGGGGGCGGAGTTTAGACAACCTGAATAGTTGATCTGACACCCAATTTGTACCGGTAGGCGGAGTTAATGTACACTATCAGTTACATAACAATTACGAAGTAATCGCTGGGAAAATGTCCGACGACGGCAACAGTACGCAAAATTTTCTACGTCAGATTGACCCAGGGTTGGCGAAATATGCGTCAGAATTCAAGAAATGTGATGTCAGCAATCTTAATACCTTGCGATATTTATTACCAAGTGAGGTAAATTCCATGGAAATGCCACAGGTGTACAAACGAATGGTGATAGATAAGATCATTAACATGCAAACGCCAGAAACTAAAAGTGCATTTAAAAAGAAAATGACGGCAGATGCCGGCACGGCCGCATCACATCCACCTAAACGGCTGAAGTTTGAAAACACTGTTAGTAGTCCCGGTATTGACGTTACGGATGCAGCAAAATCCGACTCGGGGATTTGTGGATCGACGCAGAATGACAGTTACCTTAAAAAAAAAACTGGGTCGTCTGAGAGACGAAAAGGAAACACTTGTGATTTTGCTTTCTCACAAAATCTAGTAGAGAATGACTATATGACTATATTCACTGTTAAAGATGTTATGAATTCTCCGGTCCCAGTGATCTAACCTGTTGATATATATATTGTACGTAAATTAGTTTAGTACTGAGTAACTTTCGTTTTCTCGTTGTACCATCGATGGAAAAGCAAGGTATCATTGGGTGTAGAACGAAACAAATGGGACAACCCAATTAGGTCTGATCTGAAGCCACCTGTGACTTGGACTCTTCCAATTAACCTCTCGCGACAGTCGAGTGTCTGTAAAATGCCGATGTCTGCACGGATTTTTTCACCTGGCTCCACCCACAATCGATCTAGACTTGGCTCTGCCAATCAGAGAGCTTGTTGCATAAATTTAAGGAATTCGATTGGTGAAGTACTTCAGTACAATACTATCAATACTTTGTTCAGTACTAGAGTACTTGAAACGTTCACACCTTCCCTTCATCGGTAGTAATACACGTCTCCTTTACAAAAGGATGATGTATCACACTAAATCAGGACAGAATCGTCCACACATTCTTATAGAAGAATACCAGGTGAGGGATGCAGACCTATTGAGCATCTTGTTAAAAACATTTCCCTGTTTTCTCTATTGAGCTCTTCTCCTGCTATCTCATTGAGGTCAAACCCACTGTTTATACAAAATTAACCCTAGAAAGCTGAAGACCTAATTGGAACAGAATTCAGATTCTTACAGAAGGATTTTAAAGGATTTCCTCAATTTACATTAGGCCTTCTCTTTGAGCCATTCAGACTATGAGAGCTAAAAAGTAGCTAGGGCATAAACAAAGGGCCTAAGAGGCCTGCATTCTTCATCTGGCAAATTTAGCTATTCAGACATTTAATTCAGAATTTCAAATATGACAAACAATTTCCGATATAATTTCCCTATTGGGTCCCATCTATTTTGTCAAAAAGAGGTCGGGTTCACTATTCATAAAAATTGCTTATGACCAAACTTGGACACGATCCTTCAATAGAAAAAGGTTTAAGAACTTACATTTCCCCAGTTGGGCTGCCTCTACCCTCCCATGTTAGAGGGCCAGGATGCACTGTTTATACAAGCCCCTTCTCCAAAGAATACTTCAGGCCATATTTGGGCAATATCCATGCATTTTTATAGGAGGAGTAAGATTTTAATAAACTTTAAAATTTTTCCCTTTTTGGGCCCCACCCCTAAGGCCCCTTGGAACTGAGAACCAATCCTTACACAAACTTTCTTCCCCTTCATCCAAGAATACTTCTGACCAAATATGGCAACATCTAATCATTCATAATAGATAAGTAGGATTTTACAATATCCAATCATTCCTAATGGAAAAGTAAGATTTTTCAGAATTTGCTCTATTTCCCTAACTGTGTCATGCCCCTCCCACTCTCGGGGGGCGGGGTGCTGAAATCAACTGCTTATACACAACTGATTCCACTTCACCCAAGAATACTTCAGACTTAATTTGGGATATATCCAATTATTCCTACAGGAGAAGTAGGATTTTAAAATTTCCCCTTTTTGACCCCGTTGGCCCCTGAAGGCCATAACCTACCATTTATATAAAATTTGTTCAGCTTTCCCTAGGGATGCTTTCGACCAAACCTACTCAAAATCCTGTAAGTCATGACTGAAACCAATTTGTATACAAAAAGGTGAGCTAAAACCTATGATAGTTGCATCATTAAGGATTTCTCCAGGTACTTGGTTGATGCATGTTTCAAATTAGTAATGCTGATTTTGATCTTAATTTTCTAAACTCATGTATACCATCTATAACCCCTATTAAAAGAGAAAGTGACAATAATCACTCTTTAATAATTCCTTTTATTAGAATGATTTGGTTACATGCATACATGATTGGCGTTTTACAATCTCTGTTAGTATTTGTAAGTCAACCTCATGTCTCTACAACCACTACAACTCCTGTGAATATCGAGTCCTTCTTGTCTCCAGATCTATTCTCATAGCTTCAGTACTATCCACGAGTAGGTGCCAACTTGCAAATAAGTAGTCTTTGATTGAAATTGCTTGAGAAATTTTGCAACAAAATCCTTTTGTTGGTCTCTGATAAGGGGAATCACTAATTAAACAAAGCCTTAATGTGTGTATCATGTCTCTACAACAAAGTAACAATTATACTCATTAATACTTCCTCAAAAATCTGTTACCGCATATCTGTACAAATCTAAGCAGACATAATACAATATCAAACAATGTCCTCACCACGAAATATGTAAAGGCTATTTCAGTATCTCCCTGATGGGTGGACTCCAGGTTCATCCGGGATTTACCAAGAATAACAATTCAAACAGTAATGCATAACTGTATTAAAGTGCATTTTCTGCCATCACACACACAATAACATTTAAAATGTTTCTCGGTAAGAGAGAAAATCTTTAAAACTTTAATGACTAGTACACATATACACATTAAATGTGCAAAATCAGACAAGATTAAAAATACAGTTATCCTGTATATGTCACACACAGAAAGGGCCCTACATTGTTTTGTGTCACCCAATACTCACAAGAGTGCCATAATTTTACTAGATATTTTTTTTTTCATCAACAGTTAATAGTCACCTAAACCAGATGTAAAAAAATGAAAAGGGAGTATTTTTTTGCAGGCAATATGAAAATTACCATAATTTTCTCCATTACTAATATAATTTTATACTTTCCTTGCAAAATAAGAACTTTTAAACATTTAAACAAACAAGAAGTTAAAATCTTCTAATGAAGAATAAGGTCTTTCTTACTATCTGTTCATTCAACACCCGATACAACAGCTCTACTGCAATTTTTAACATTCTCATTTTTAAAGAAACAATTCTTGTTTTTTGGAGGGAGGTTTTACTGGCCTTGGACTACTCTCTGTGGATGTCCAGTATTATGAAAATAGAGTTATGTGCCAGCCACAACACTTTATAAAAGACCTCGACATCTTCAATGTAGCTCCTCTTACTTATCACTTACTGTACCTATACTGATAAGCTGTCCAATCTGGTAAGATAAACCTAAAAATATACATGTATACTGTTTTTCGTCACAGTTGTCAAATAAAATCTTTTTCTTCATCCTGTTATAAGCCTATCCCTGTCGTCAGAGGTACAGCATTTCTCTCTGAACTCACACTGTATACAATGTCCTTATCATGACCCTTTGATGTTGTAAATACTAATCCGCATTACAAACATATTATGCAAGTTAAATTTACATATAAGTCATCATAGGTAAATCCTGTACAAAACCTAGTAAATATCTTTTAGTTTCACAGTTGATGGTACCGATTGTTTAGAAATCGGTACGATTTCAAATCCTTTATAAGGTACTCAATAAAATACACCATAAATCTCAGTTTAAATGTGTGGTAGTAACATTTCTTCTTAAAAATATACATCTATTAAAAACAAGTAGTTCACTATAAAATGTTTTGTGTTTTACACACAGTAGATAATATGTTTGTAGTTTGTGAGTGTGTCGTTCACTTTTTCTGGGACATCGTCTTTATGAATTCAGCAATGTTAATGTCACTGATGTCGCTGATGTCATCAGGATTATAGTCTGTCAACAGTGTTACATCAAACACACCTGCATCATCCATATCCTCCTCAATTGGCTGCAAATGATTCGGATTCAAGGCCATACTGAAAATAAAATGTATCCAGTAAGTCCAATCCACTAAATCCCATGTACAGTTGACAGAATTTATTGGGTGTGAAAATAATTAATCTATAGATTTTACCGTTTACCTACTTATGTTGGGAAAATCATGTGTAGTATATATATTTAATGCATCAACATTCACTAAAAATATGAATAATTAAATTTGGGCTTGGATCTTCTCACAAAATAACTAAAATCCCACACAAGCATCTTGTTAACATTGTTTCTGTGATAAAATCATGAGAGATTAGGTGAAAGTTGACAGACAAACTAGGTAAAAGTTGACAGATAAACTAGGTAAAAGTTGACAAATGAACTAGGTAAAAGTTGACAGATTAACTAGGTGAAAGTTGACAGATGAACTATGTGAAAGTTGACAGATTAACTAGGTGAAAGTTGACAGATGAACTAGGTGAAAGTTGACAGATGAACTAGGTAAAAGTTGACAGATAAACTAGGTAAAAGTTGACAAATGAACTAGGTAAAAGTTAACAGATGAACTAGGAAAAAGTTGACAGATGAACTAGGCAAAAGTTGACAGATGAACTAGGTAAAAGTTGACAGATTAACTAGGTAAAAGTTGACATATGAACTAGGTAAAAGTTGACAGATTAACTAGGTGAAAGTTGACAGATGAACTAGGTGAAAGTTGACAGATGAACTAGGAAAAAGTTGACAGATGAACTAGGTAAAAGTTGACAGATGAACTAGGTAAAAGTTGACAGATTAACTAGGTGAAAGTTGACAGATGAACTAGGTGAAAGTTGACAGATTAACTAGGTAAAAGTTGACATATGAACTAGGTAAAAGTTGACAGATTAACTAGGTGAAAGTTGACAGATGAACTAGGTGAAAGTTAACAGATGAACTAGGAAAAAGTTGACAGATTAACTAGGTAAAAGTTGACAGATGAACTGGGTAAAAGTTGACAGATTAACTAGGTGAAAGTTGACAGATTAACTAGGTAAAAGTTGACATATGAACTAGGTAAAAGTTGACAGATTAACTAGGTGAAAGTTGACAGATGAACTAGGTGAAAGTTGACAGATGAACTAGGTAAAAGTTGACAGATTAACTAGGTAAAAGTTGACAGATTAACTAGGTAAAAGTTGACAGATTAACTAGGTGAAAGTTGACAGATGAACTAGGTGAAAGTTGACAAATGAACTAGGTAAAAGTTGACAGATTAACTAGGTGAAAGTTGACAGATGAACTATGTGAAAGTTGACAGATTAACTAGGTGAAAGTTGACAGATAACTAGGTGAAAGTTGACAGATGAACTAGGTAAAAGTAAAAGTTGACAGATAGGTAAAAGTTAACAGATAGGTAAAAGTTGACAGATGAACTAACTAGGTAAAAGTTGACATGATGATTACTAGGTAAAAGTTGACAGATGAACTAAAAAGTTGACTAGGTAAAAGTTGAAAGTTGACAGATGAACTAAAGTTGACAGATTAACTAGGTAAAAGTTGACATATGAACTTGACAGATTAACTAGAACTAGGTAAAAGTTGACAGATGAAAAGTTGACTAGGTAAAAGTTGACAGATTAACTAGATTAAGATTAACTAGGTAAAAGTTGACATATGAACTAGGTAAAAGTTGACAGATTAACTAGGTGAAAGTTGACAGATGAACTAGGTGAAAGTTGACAGATGAACTAGGTAAAAGTTGACAGATGAACTAGGTAAAAGTTGACAGATGAACTAGGTAAAAGTTGAAAGATAAACTAGGTGAAAGTTGACAGATGAACAAGGTAAAAGTTGACAGATTAATTAGGTAAAAGTTGACAGATGAACTATGTAAAAGTTGACAGATAAACTACCTGGGTAGGTAAAAGTATTCACTAGTGACTGATAGTTTATCTGCATTTTACCTGTTGGAGTCATAGGTGGGAGAGTCGGGTCCAAGGTGTGAGCCCTGTGGAGTTTGAGGATTGTTGAAATCCATAGGTGCTGCATTTGCTCTGTAAAAGGTACATATAATATATATATCAAATTACTATTGTAATATTTAAAGAATAAATTAACACTGAGAGAAAGTAAGACAAATTATTGTGATGATTTTGTAAATCTCTATATCTTTACATCCTCTTCATTGACCTTGAACATTTTAATTGACCTTGCCCATGTTAATACTCACAGACTGTCTGGTAACTTGGCAACTAATGAGCTGGGCACATATCCATCTTTCACACTGTTATGTTTTTCTGGAAAAGTCCAAACAAAATGAAAGATACTTTTTGTCAAAAATGTCATTGTATATTTCCTTATTTCAAAGTCAGATTCTGATATAGGCCTGTTGATGAGAGTGACACCTACCTGATACTGCTGTGTAATATTTTCCAAAAGCCTGTGATTTAGGTACATTTGGAAACAGAGTTACCAAAGCATCCAGGTCCTTAATGCGATCAGACAGACTTCGGATGATGAAGTCTTTACGCCCATATGGAGCCAGGTTCCATACAGCTCTCTCTCCTGAAGAAAAAACACACCATGCATATTCTCATTATCACGATTCTCTTCAACTTTTTTTTTACATTGCATAGGTTGAGCACATCTGATCTGAGATGTGATAGACAGATCTGATAGAGCAAAGGTGATGGTGAAAAGATAGAAAAGATGGAGAAAGATGAGAAGAAAAGACAAGATACTTATAGTGAGAAGGAGTTGCAAAAATCATTGAGAGACAAGAGTGGAAAAAAAATGACAAAATGTAAGACATGGAAGAACAAATACAGGTGAGAGGATCAGAGAAAGAAGGTGAAAAAGGTAAGGAAAGGGAGAAAGTGAGAGAGGAAGAGGAAAGGGTCAATAAGAAGGAATGCATCAAGTGAGCTAGAAGACCAGTGATAGATTGACAGAAGATTTACCTGGCTTTGCAGGATCATCAGCTACCCATGCTATTGTAATTCCTCCAGTCTCCGAGTCACTGAATCGTAACAGAAATGTTCCATTTGGTTTGGTCAACAACCATTCCTGTGCTGAGCACTTCGTGACAAACCCAATCACTGACCTGTTTCAAATCGAACAAAAGCAAAAATATACATGTAAAAACCAAATTTTCAAAAAACAGTAACACTAGCCAAGAGTAACCTTTGACGTAGACCAATCACAGTAAAATAGTTTCAAAGTATACTGTTTAGCTAAATCTGTTGAAGGATCACAAGCTACGTTGTATTTCAGATATTTAAATACTTCAATTTTGAAGTGGTCGTGTGTGTGACCTTTTCACTTTGACTAACAGTATTCCTCTTTATAAACCTACCCATCTATCCTTAGTTGTTTGAGGTGTTCCTCTATAAAAACTTACCCATCTATCCATGGTTGTTTGAGGTGTTCCTCTATAAAACTTACCCATCTATCCATATTTGTTTGAGGTGTTCCTCTTTATAAACTTACCCATCTATCCATATTTGTTTGAGGTGTTCCTCTTTATAAACTTACCCATCTATCCATGGTTGTTTGAGGTGTTCCTCTTTATAAACTTACCCATCTATCCATGGTTGTTTGAGGTGTTCCTCTTTATAAACTTACCCATCTATCCTGAGTTGTTTGAGGTGTTCCTCTTTATAAACTTACCCATCTAACCACTGTAGTTTGAGGTGTTCCTCTTTATAAACTTACCCATCTATCCATGGTTGTTTGAGGTGTTCCTCTTTATAAACTTACCCATCTATCCTTAGTTGTTTGAGGTGTTCCTCTTTATAAACTTACCCATCTATCCTGAGTTGTTTGAGGTGTTCCTCTTTATAAACTTACCCATCTATCCATGGTTGTTTGAGGTGTTCCTCTTTATAAACTTACCCATCTATCCATGGTTGTTTGAGGTGTTCCTCTTTATAAACTTACCCATCTATCCATGGTTGTTTGAGGTCCTATCTTTATAAACTTGTTCTACCATGAGAGGTGTTCCTCTTTTTTATAAACTTACCCATCTATCCATGGTTGTTTGAGGTGTTCCTCTTTATAAACTGGTTGTTTGAGACCAGCTCCCTGTATTTTATTTGAGACTTCTAGAGATCAGCTATCCTGTATGTTTTGAGGTGTTCCTCTTTAGAGACTTACCCTATCTATCCATGGTTGTTTGAGGTGTTCCTCTTTATTTACTTCTATCCTTAGTTGTTTGAGGTGTTCCTCTTTATAAACTTACCCATCTATTTTTGTTTGATGACTTTAGAGACCAGCTCCCTGTATGTTTATGACTCTTTATAAACTTACCCAGCTATCCATATTTTATGACTTTAGAGACCAGCTTCCTGTATTTTTGTTTAGAGACCAGCTTCCTATTTTAAACTTTAGAGACCAGCTCCCATGTATTTATATGACTTTAGGTGTTCCTCTTTAGCCATCTATCCACTGTATTTTATGACTTTAGAGACCAGCTACCTTTATTTTCTGACTTAATAGTTCAGCTTCCTGTATTTTATGACTTTAGAGACCAGCTCCCTGTATTTTATGACTTTAGAGATCAGCTATCTGTATCTTATGACTTTAGAGTTCAGCTCCCTGTATTTTATGACTTTAGAGACCAGCGACCTGTATTTTATGACTTTAGAGATCAGCTACCTGTGTTTTATGACTTTAGAGATCAGCTATCCGTATTTTATGACTTTAGAGACCAGCTCCCTGTATTTTATGACTTTAGAGACCAGTTACCTGTGTTTTATGACTTTAGAGATCAGCTATCTGTATTTTATGACTTTAGAGACCAGCTACCTGTATTTTATGACTTTAGAGACCAGCTTCCTGTATTTTATGACTTTAGAGATCAGCTATCTGTATTTTGTGACTTTAGAGATCAGCTATCCGTATTTTATGACTTTAGAGACCAGCTTCCTGTATTTTATGACTTTAGAGACCAGCTCCCTGTATTTTATGACTTTAGAGACCAGCTACCTGTATTTTATGACTTTAGAGATCAGCTATCTGTATCTTATGACTTTAGAGATCAGCTCCCTGTATTTTATGACTTTAGAGATCAGCTACCTGTATTTTATGACTTTAGAGATCAGCTATCTGTATTTTATGACTTTAGAGACCAGCTCCCTGTATTTTATGACTTTAGAGACCAGCTCCCTGTATTTTATGACTTTAGAGACCAGCTTCCTGTATTTTATGACTTTAGAGACCAGCTTCCTGTATTTTATGACTTTAGAGATCAGCTATCTGTATTTTATGACTTTAGAGACCAGCTCCCTGTATTTTATGACTTTAGAGACCAGCTCCCTATATTCTATGACTTTAGAGACCAGCTCCCTGTATTTTATGACTTTAGAGATCAGCTCCCTATATTCTATGACTTTAGAGACCAGCTCCCTGTATTTTGTGACTTTAGAGACCAGCTTCCTGTATTTTATGACTTTAGAGACCAGCTCCCTGTATTTTATGACTTTAGAGACCAGCTCCTGTATTTTATGACTTTAGAGACCAGCTTCCTGTATTTTATGACTTTAGAGACCAGCTCCCTGTATTTTATGACTTTAGAGACCAGCTCCCTGTATTTTATGACTTTAGAGACCAGCTCCCTGTATTTTATGACTTTAGAGACCAGCTCCCTGTATTTTATGACTTTAGAGACCAGCTCCCTGTATTTTATGACTTTAGAGACCAGCTTCCTGTATTTTATGACTTTAGAGACCAGCTCCCTGTATTTTATGACTTTAGAGACCAGCTCCCTGTATTTTATGACTTTAGAGACCAGCTTCCTGTATTTTATGACTTTAGAGACCAGCTCCCTGTATTTTATGACTTTAGAGATCGGCTATCTGTATTTTGTGATTTTAGAGATCAGCTATCTGTATTTTATGACTTTAGAGACCAGCTCCCTGTATTTTATGACTTTAGAGACCAGCTTCCTGTATTTTATGACTTTAGAGACCAGCTTTAGAGACCAGCTTCCTGTATTTTATGACTTTAGAGACCAGCTCCCTGTATTTTATGACTTTAGAGACCAGCTTCCTGTATTTTATGACTTTAGAGATCAGCTATCTGTATTTTATGACTTTAGAGACCAGCTCCTTGTATTTTGTGACTTTAGAGACCAGCTTCCTGTATTTTATGACTTTAGAGACCAGCTCCCTGTATTTTATGACTTTAGAGACCAGCTTCCTGTATTTTATGACTTTAGAGACCAGCTATCTGTATTTTATGACTTAAGAGTTCAGCTACCTGTGTTTTATGACTTTAGAGACCAGCTCCCGGTATTTTATGACTTTAGAGATCAGCTCCCTATATTCTATGACTTTAGAGACCAGCTCCCTGTATTTTATGACTTTAGAGACCAGCTCCCTGTATTTTATGACTTTAGAGACCAGCTCCCTGTATTTTATGACTTTAGAGATCAGCTACCTGTATTTTATGACTTTAGAGACCAGCTTCCTGTATTTTATGACTTTAGAGACCAGCTTCCTGTATTTTATGACTTTAGAGACCAGCTTCCTGTATTTTATGACTTTAGAGACCAGCTATCTGTATTTTATGACTTTAGAGACCAGCTATCCGTATTTTGTGACTTTAGAGACCAGCTACCTGTATTTTATGACTTTAGAGACCAGCTACCTGTGTTTTATGACTTTAGAGACCAGCTACCTGTATTTTATGACTTTAGAGACCAGCTACCTGTGTTTTATGACTTTAGAGACCAGCTACCTGTATTTTATGACTTTAGAGACCAGCTTCCTGTATTTTATGACTTTAGAGACCAGCTACCTGTATTTTATGACTTTAGAGACCAGCTACCTGTATTTTATGACTTAAGAGTTCAGCTATCTGTATTTTATGACATAAGAGTTCAGCTACCTGTGTTTATGACTTTAGAGATCAGCTATCTGTATTTTATGACTTAAGAGTTCAGTTACCTGTGTTTTATGACTTTAGAGATCAGTTACCTGTGTTTTATGACTTTAGAGATCAGCTATCTGTATTTTATGACTTAAGAGTTCAGCTACCTGTGTTTTATGACTTTAGAGACCAGCTCCCTGTAATTTATGACTTAAGAGTTCAGCTACTGGTACGCTATGACTGTTTAGGTAAGATACCTGTATGATATAATTAGGAAAATCATGACCTTTTTGTCCTTTAAAGGGCAAAGATACTCAGAAAGATGTGACATATGTACATGTAATATGGAATTAAATGTAACTAAATTCAATTGTTCCAAGACAAAAATAGTATATGTTCTTAATTTTTGTTCAAGCTTTCTTTTTTTTTTTTAATATGAGAAGCTTTTGACATTATAAGGAATTCTTTTAAATACTGTATTGATCCTTCAATAAGCCCAGGGAGCCAAAATGTAAAATTTGACTCAGAGTAGGAATGGGCTTACTATCCAAAGTAGGTTGATCATGTCAACAACTTTATTGAACTACAATAGATATGGTGGGCTTACTGCCACATAAGTGTATAGTAAAGTACTACTGACCTTGTTGAACATTGACCATGATATTGGTCGTTGTGAGAAGTCCTCTCCTGGTTTTATCTGACCTATATAGAAATACACAATATTTTACTTATTAATATGTATAGATAGGTGGTCCATCCTCCTACCATCATATCTTACAAATTCCAACTTTTCATAAATAAAAATATAATTCTATTGTGTTTGGATATACAAAAACACAATCCAGCATACCTATAAAAATCAGACATATTTAAATCTAAACTGATGTAAACATAATGCAACAGCAAGAGACATGGAGATGATGCATCCTGTAACTAATAACCAAACAATTAAACCTTTCATTTAAATCTACAGTAATGGAATCCCTGGTTTTGATGCTCAAATCACTATCTATTTATGTATAGTTTGTATCTCTCATACAGTAAAACCATTATAAATTTCCTGATACAGTGTATTATCATATGTGATAGGAAAAACTGACAGCACTAAATACACCACACATACCAAATGCTTTGTTAGCGAGGTAGGAAAGATTTTCTGCAGTCAGCCCACGCCCGGTGGCAGCCTGGAATTTTCCATTAAGTAGTTCAGCCATCTGACACCATGGAACAGAGTCTGGTACAGCAAATGGTGTTCGCCCCTGAAAGGAAACCATATACAGTAAGTTCCAGTAAAATCCAGTATTTACCCTGTAATAAAGATTATTTGTTGCATTTTACCAGTGTGGGCTCACAGGAAGAATAATGGAATTACTGTGTGACTTAAAGGATACATTCACATGGAGTTTATACCTTTTCTCTTCCTACCTTTTCTAAGGCTGTTCTGAAGCAGCCTTCCTAAATTGATAATTACGTTCTTATTTTTCCAGCCAAAAAACTGTAAATCTTTAATATTACAACCTGACTGAGGCAGTGTGCTGTCCTCTCTACTCACCGGCTCAGCAAACTGGTTGTCCCACAGAGCTGTTGCCATGGCATTGCACTCCTGGTTACCGTGTACAGTTACAACAACGGGTAAAGACAGGGTCTGGAATAAGAGATTAAATTCCTGATACTTTATCCCTTAGCAAAATACATTATTTCTGGTTAGCCTTGCTATTGTAAAACTAAGTTGACACAATCCACAATTAGTGTACCTTCAAGTTCACACATTTAAAATGCAGAACTACAGACAGATTGACCAAACAGTAAATCAATTGACACAATGCAACAGACAACAGAAAAAGTGAAAAATATGTAGGATATGGAGACTTTTCTATACCTATTGGTACATACATTTGTAACTAAAAATTTGTCACTGACATTGGTCATTAGTTTAAGTATATATCACTTTAAGATCTGATAACTGAAGCTCTTTCCCACATAAATATCTGGTGGTAAGTTCAAACATGAAATCTTGTAATACATGTTACATAGAAGGGCTGTTGCATGACTCATTCTGTACTTCAAAATGAGTCTATAACCAGTGTGACCTTGGCACCCACCATTTTTTTAATTTTACTGATTAGAAGTTCTTTAAACACAACCATCAGAAGATTAGAGCGTGATTTTTCCATGACTACATGGTCACCTTGATCAGACAAATGACCAGTGTGGAGCCAAGTCGCACTGACATGCGTAGTGTGTGAGTTGATAAGGAATCAACCAACATCTTCGGCTGTACTATAATCCCATGTACACCAAGATAAAAAAAAGTGTGACAAGATGGAAAAAACAGATTATAGTACTGTAGTCAATTCAGCTACACTTTGTTAAACACTTGGTTAGATGTGCAAGTTCATTTAAAAATGAAATACCAATACGTGTATCCCTCTGGATGAAATAATGTACTTACCCAGACCTGAAACATAAGCTCTCCATTGCCAATTTGAAAGTCTGATTGGAAGAGCACACAGAACTTCTCCTCTGTTACTGCCTGTGGATATCATAGGTTATAGGTCAAGCCAGGTTCATAGGTCAAGAAAATAAAGAGTTCAAAAGATCAGGTCCTAAATACCAGAATCAAAACATTTATAGTTTTGATTTTAAAGGTCCATTTGAGGAAACTTGTTTTACTAAAGCAAAGTCAACCTTGACAAATTAAAGTCAGGTTCTGTATTTAGAAAAAAATGTTAAGTGAAATAAGTTAACATTTAATTTTAGCCACCTAAAACATCCAAATATGATACATTATACATCTAGACATGTTTCCATGTATTCAGATTAAAACAATTGCTTATAACCTAGTTTCTACTGTGAGAGGTATATCAAATTTGATATTATTGATTGAGACAAAAATATGAGGGACCATAACGACTATCAGTATATTGTAGTACCAGTGTGCGATTTAAATGGTTAAAAAGAATCATGCTTCAGGTATCAAAATAAAATACTGTAGATAAGTAGGTCAAAATTGAACTTTGTCAAAAAAGGGTCGGAAAGGAAAAATTGTTATTGGACATTTCAGGCCTTAAAATAGCATCAATGTCTATACTGTCAAAATAATAACACACCTCTGATCCTTTCTTATCTGCCCGTTTTATCTTCTTCAGCGACTGCAAGTACAAAGAAGAAATTTTGTTATTTCTTTTTTTAACACAAGTAAAGGCCAAGGATGAAATGAATCATTTTGTTTAGAGTACTGCACTATGTCAACATACAGTAAGATCTGAGGTGTACAGTATATCCCTGGATTGACATCCATCAACTGCCGCCAAAAACAATTTGTCTCAGTAAGTAAATAGATAAAGTGACTTCTATAACCACAAGACCATAAACGAACATTGATGAGCGTTCTGGATCAGGCTCATCAGATCTATTCCTGTAGCCTTGTTTTACCATGGTTTCACTAAAGATTTCTTGTTCCTGAAGATATTTCCTGGGGTCTTTACATGTGCTATATCATAGGATCTTTTCCTTTCTCCTCTTATCTGTTCTTTTATCAGCTATTTGATTTGAGAATGATCCATTCAGCACCATTCAAGAAATGGCAACAAAATTCCATTTGGCCACCTGTCAGCCATCTTATTTTTTCAATAAGTAAAAAATTCAACAAATGTACTTAGGGATCCAAGGGAATCCACATATCCAATTTGATAACAGTATTACATTAACAAGCACTGTTTACGGACAGAACAAGGGAAATTTTAACAGCCTCCGCCCACCCAACAATCTCAAGATGAGTAAAAAATGCCAATATGACACTTGTGAAGTATTACATATGTATGTCATGTTTATCTGTAAAGTGTTATGAATGTATGGCATATTAATCTGTAAAGTGTTATGAATGTATGACATATTAATCTGTAAAGTGTTATGAATGTATGACATATTAATCTGTAAAGTGTTATGAATGTATGGCATGTTAATCTGTAAAGTATAATGAATGTATGGCATGTTAATCTGTAAAGTGTTATGAATGTATGACATATTAATCTGTAAAGTGTTATGAATGTATGGCATATTAATCTGTAAAGTGTTATGAATGTATGACATATTTATCTGTAAAGTATAATGAATGTATGACATATTAATCTGTAAAGTGTTATGAATGTATGGCATGTTAATCTGTAAAGTATAATGAATGTATGGCATATTAATCTGTAAAGTGTTATGAATGTATGACATATTAATCTGTAAAGTGTTATGAATGTATGACATATTAATCTGTAAAATGTGTTATGAATGCATGATATGTTATTCTTTAAAGTGTTATGAATGTATGTCATCTTCATATGTGATTGCACTTATATAAGTGTAATGTGTATTTACATATCTATATGAAATATAGTTTTATATTAATTTGAATAGTGTTCTGAATATATGACATGTTATCTAATTTTATAAAGTTTTAAAATCGTGTGTTAGTCAATAACTGACCATGTTACGAAAGGTGATACTCAGCTCTCCTTTAGCCTGGTGGTACTCCATTGTCCCATTGTTGTTCAGAATCTCACCACTTGTTTCGTTCTTTGCGTGTGCATCATTCTTCAGCAATGCTTTTGCCTGATGTTCGCTAAAAGCCAAAAAAACAGATCTGTTGAAGCAGAATCCTGTCGTTCCTGACCCCTAAAAAAAAGCTAATTACTGTAGAATTTTTTTAATTCTAGGTATCTTTTTCATAACTTACCAATTCTGTAAGCTTACAGCCTTACTTTGACAGCTTACCTGATTATAAATGTAGATGCCTTGTGTGGTGACATGAAGATGTTGAGTTTACCTCCCTTTTCTTACGCTGTGCTGTTGAGATTACCTCCCTGTACCTAACTGATTATAGATGCATTGATTGTTGTAGGTAGTGACATGAAGATGTTGAGTTTACCTCCCTTTTCTTACCCTGTGGTGTTGAGATTACCTCCCTGTACCTAACTGATTACAGATGCATTGATTGTTGTAGGTAGTGACATGAAGATGTTGAGTTTACCTCCCTTTTCTTAACCTGTGGTGTTGAGATTACCCCCTTGTACCTAACTGATTATAGATGCATTGATTGTTGTATGTAGTGACATCAAGATGTTGAGTTTACCTCCCTGTACTTAATAATTACAGATGCCTTGACAATGTGTGGTGACATGTGGATGTTGAGATTACCTCCCTGTGTTTACCTGATTATAGATGCCTTGACAGTGGGTGGTGACATGTGGATGTTGAGTTTACCTCCCACCAGTAAGCGGACTGTGGCTGTGAATCTGGACTCTTTCTTGAGGACTTGAGGCGGTTGTGATTCTACAATGAATGTGCTGCAACACAAACCAATCCGCATCATTTATTGACAAGGACAGGAAATGATCAAACATGTAACATCAACATTGTACAATCACTCTATCAACTCTCATACCTGTACTCACATATTCATATATAATGAAATGCGAAGATAATCCTCGGTGCATAGGATGTGATGAGCCATTCACTGGTCAACATTTTTTATTGGACTGCATTGACCTTCTGTCTACTCGAGAAATTTTTTATCGTAACGTTACAAGTCTAACAAAATTCTATGTTATCTGAAAATGTTGGTCTATGTTATAAACTATGACTTAACATTTAAATCTTTTGTGTTAACATACCCATTTAAGATTTTTAGGATTTGTCAATTACATTTTTAGTTTGTTTAATGTTACTTCCTTTTGGATCGCTGTGTGTTTCACCGGTTGATGGCCCTAATGACCTTTTATGTGTTGACGGGCCGTTAAGATAGTAATAATGATAACCTGTACTCACTAACGTACATCGCAAGTAAAAAGGAGACAAAATATACTTAAAGGGGGAAACAATATATGGCTATCAGTAAATAACGAAATACCACAAAATTGTTTATATATACCTAGTAATGAATTAACAAATTCTAGACTGGTATTTATGAATCAAAGTGATAAACTGATAACCAAGAAATACTGTATATATGTAAATATGTATCGTTTAATATATTAATAATTAAATTATAAATCGAAGTTAATCTGGTTACCAGAAAATGCACAACAGAAAGCAAAAATGTGACCCTTTGTTTTCATTACTGGAGAGATGGAATCAAGTTGATTGATGACACCCTGACATAGCAATGTCACGGCAATCCATGGCATCAAGTTGATTGATGACACCCTGACATAGCAATGTCACGACAATCCATGGCATCAAGTTGATTGATGACACCCTGACATAGCAATGTCACGGCAATCCATGGCATCAAGTTGATTGATGACACCCTGACATAGCAATGTCACGGCAATCCATGGCATCATGTTGATTGATGACACCCTGACATAGCAATGTCACGGCAATCCATGGCATCAAGTTGATTGATGACACCCTGACATAGCAATGTCACGGCAATCCATGGCATCAAGTTGATTGATGACACCCTGACATAGCAATGTCACGGCAATCCATGGCATCAAGTTGATTGATGACACCCTGACATAGCAATGTCACGGCAATCCATGGCAATGTCACGACAATGTCACATCAATCCATGGCAATGTCACGACAATCCATGGCTACACCATTTTAGTTAAACATGCATGCTGAGAGAGAGAATTCATTGTACAAGCAACATTGATATGTAATTTTGTAGAGATTTCTATTATAAAGACCACAAACTCTTTCCCATTTTCCTCATCTTTATCCTTATTCTGTCAAAAGCTAAATTTAGCATCTACTGTCCATTTTGTTGGTTTGATTAGTCTCAATATTTAACAGGCACATTTACACAAACCATAGGGAACCTACATATGAAATACAAGATAAGATCCATCTGATGTTTGTGGTCACATCACTGAAATGAATAGTGACAAGAATAACACACAACCTGACTGTAATACCTTGTGACTAGAGAGGAGAGGAGACCTGTGATTTTCTGGTTGAGTTCAGGCACGAGGTCTGGTGTACCAGTAGGGATGTCGATAGGAAGCTTCTGACGAAGGATCTCCACTCCTAGAATTTGTTGTCGGTTCTTCCAAATCATCTCGGCCAGGGACTCACACCTACAGTACATAATCCCAAAATGACTGCTTCCTTTACACTTTGTTCAGAAATACAATTTATAATGAAATTGCATTATCATGACAATGATATGGAAAAACAAGAGGCCCAGGTGTCTTAATGGTCATCTGACTATAAAGATCAATATATGAAAGGGCCAAATAGGCTTAAAATAGATTGCTCAACTTCTCTACAGCTTACAAAGAAAACATTATTGGTTCATAAAAACATTTTCAGCAAACATGAAATCATTCTTTATAAATGCTACTACTCAAATGCCATCACCACACGCGCAAAATCAGCACTATTGACCTTTTGGTTATTGAGAAGAATTCGTTTGAATGGAAAGTTTATGCACGGACAGTGGAGAGTGGATGTGCACAACGACAAACGAAAAACATGATGGCCAATAAAAGTATGATTTTCTTATTTTTTTTCACTGTCTCTCACAAGCTCTTTTTCAATGGATCCCTTTGTTGTATATGTTTGCTCACATTCTTCTGTCAATATGCATTAAACTGTTAAATTCTTTAAATCAAGAAAATTGCCAGATTGCCACTGACCACTGTTGGAGAACATCCAGCAGTTGTGTGTCAAATTTCACCCCATTGCCTGACAACTGCTGTTTGCGTTTCCATGCAATGAGTTCTTTATCTACTACCATCTTCTGTAGCTCTTCTAGGCTAACACATGTGTCTCGATGCTTGTCTGCCAGCATCTATATCATACAGAAACAACAACAGTAATAAATTCTTCAATAATTTTTACAATCAAAGTGTCTAGATGCTGTGTAAAGTAAAGGAATAAAGATTAAATCGCAACATGGATAGCCAATGACACGGATCAATTACTTGCTTGTTTATCAAATTCATTCTTGCTCTTTTTTTTATTCCTCTAAATTATCTTACACAATAGTAACTGAAAACATTTCATCAGTTCATGGCTTGTTTGAGCACTGCACTTAATTAATTCTCTGATACAGAATGTTTTAAACTGTAGAGCACATTTCAAGCCTTGACTAGTGGGAGGTTTGCTTTAGTCTAGCAGTAGAGTGTCTGGATGTAGACTAAAGGGTCACTCTTGCCTCACCAGAATTATCAGTATAGAAGAATAATTCAAGCTATCAACCTAATTCAAACCCCAGCAGCTAGGATCTGTGTTTTTTCATTACTCCTTCCAATTACATCTGCATATATAAATCAAATGCATTAAAACCCTCTAAGATCTAAACATTTTCATTTTTGTCATATAATACATCCTGTGAAAATTTCTGACCAATTTGGTGACTTCCCCATCAGTATAGACAGTGATGATATTCAAAGTAGAACTCAAAAGCTTCATACCAGGCGATACTGGAGCAACTCCTCGGCCTTGGTGAGCAACTCTCGCTCAAGGTCATCCTTTTGTTTACGTAGTTTTTTCTCCACCTGTGCATTGTTCTGGAGGACCTGCTGGTACTGCTCATTTGACGTGCCTTCTGCAAGTATACGATCTGCCCCTGGTGCAAGTAGACCTAGCTCCTTGTTCTGTTTCTCAACCTGCTGAATTTGGGCTATAACCGAAAAAAGGACAGTCTATCTCACGTTTTCAGTTCTTGTAACAAAATCTTTTCCAACAGAAAACTTGATGATGATGAGTGAATCCCAGAAAAGATATGTTTACTTAAGTAAAAATATATTAAAGGTTTGAAAGTGTTAACATTTTTTGTTTCAATCTCTGTTGAATAATTTACATTAACTTTTTGTTCAGAGTTATGTTTCACTTAGAACGAAATGACATAATTATTGATTTATTAAGTATTAATTATTTACAGAAACCCTGAAAACTAAGAACTTAATACCTACATAGGATGTGCAATGGTGGAGAGTGTACCAGGTGACTTGTAAGTCAAATTTTATCTGTTGCAGAGTGTACCATGTGACCTGTCACTCAAATTTTCTCTGTTGGAGACTGTACCATGTGACTTGTTAGTCAAATTTTCTCTGTTGGAGAGTGTACCAGGTGACTTGTTAGTCAAATTTTATCTGTTGCAGAGTGTACCATGTGACTTGTCACTCAAATTTTCTCTGTTGGAGAGTGTACCATGTGACTTGTCTGTCAAATTTTCTCTGTTGGAGAGTGTACCAGGTGACTTGTTAGTCAAATTTTATCTGTTGCAGAGCGTACCATGTGACCTGTCACTCAAATTTTCTCTGTTGGAGAGTGTACCATGTGACTTGTCACTCAAATTTTCTCTTTCGGAGATAGTACCAGGTGACTTGTTAGTCAATTTTTTTCTCTGTTGGAGAGTGTACCAGGTGACTTGTAAGTCAAATTTTCTCTGTTGGAGATAGTACCAGGTGACTTGTTAGTCAAATTTTTTCTGTTGGAGAGTGTACCAGGTGACCTGTCACTCAAATTTTCTCTGTTGGAGAGCGTACCATGTGACCTGTCACTCAAATTTTCTCTGTTGGAGAGTGTACCATGTGACTTGTCACTCAAATTTTCTCTTTCGGAGATAGTACCAGGTGACTTGTTAGTCAATTTTTTTCTCTGTTGGAGAGTGTACCAGGTGACTTGTAAGTCAAATTTTCTCTGTTGGAGATAGTACCAGGTGACTTGTTAGTCAAATTTTTTCTGTTGGAGAGTGTACCAGGTGACCTGTCACTCAAATTTTCTCTGTTGGAGAGTGTACCATGTGACTTGTCACTCAAATTTTCTCTGTTGGAGAGCGTACCAGGTGACTTGTCACTCAAATTTTCTCTGTTGGAGAGTGTACCAGGTGACCAGTCAGTAAAATTTACTCTGGTGGTGAGTGTACCATGTGACCTATCACTCAAATTTTCTCTGTTGGAGAGTGTACCATGTGACTTGTCTGTCAAATTTTCTCTGTTGGAGAGTGTACCAGGTGACTCGTTAGTCAAATTTTCTCTGTTGGAGAGTGTACCATGTGACTTGTCACTCAAATTTTCTCTGTTGGAGAGTGTACCAGGTGACTTGTTAGTCAAATTTTCTCTGTTGGAGAGTGTACCAGGTGACTTGTCACTAAAATTTTCTCTGTTGGAGAGTGTACCAGGTGACTTGTTAGTCAAATTTTCTCTGTTGGAGAGTGTACCAGGGGACTTGTTAGTCAAATTTTATCTGTTGCAGAGTGTACCATGTGACCTGTCACTCAAATTTTCTCTGTTGGAGAGTGTACCATGTGACTTGTTAGTCAAATTTTATCTGTTGGAGAGTGTACCAGGTGACTTGTTAGTCAAATTTTATCTGTTGCAGAGCGTACCATGTGACCTGTCACTCAAATTTTCTCTGTTGGAGAGTGTGCCATGTGACTTGTCACTCAAATTTTCTCTTTCGGAGATAGTACCAGGTGACTTGTTAGTCAATTTTTTCTCTGTTGGAGAGTGTACCAGGTGACTTGTAAGTCAAATTTTCTCTGTTGGAGAGTGTACCAGGTGACTTGTTAGTCAAATTGTATCTGTTGCAGAGTGTACCAGGTGACTTGTTAGTCAAATTTTCTCTGTTGGAGAGTGTACCATGTGACATGTTAAGTCAAATATTTTCTCTGTCGGAGAGTGTACCAGGTGACTTGTTAGTCAAATTTTATTTGTTGCAGAGTGTACCATGTGACCTGTCACTCAAATTTTCTCTGTTGGAGATAGTACCAGGTGACTTGTTAGTCAAATTTTCTCTGTTGGAGAGTGTACCAGGTGACCCGTCACTCAAATTTTCTCTGTTGGAGAGTGTACCAGGTGACTTGTCACTCAAATTTTCTCTGTTGGAGAGTGTACCAGGTGACTTGTAAGTCAAATTTTATCTGTTGCAGAGTGTACCATGTGACCTGTCACTCAAATTTTCTCTGTTGGAGAGTGTACCAGGTGACTTGTTAGTCAAATTTTCTCTGTTGGAGAGTGTACCAGGTGACTTGTTAGTCAAATTTTATCTGTTGCAGAGTGTACCATGTGACCTGTCACTCAAATTTTCTCTGTTGGAGAGTGTACCATGTGACTTGTCTGTCAAATTTTATCTGTTGGAGAGTGTACCAGGTGACTTGTTAGTCAAATTTTCTCTGTTGCAGAGCGTACCATGTGACCTGTCACTCAAATTTTCTCTGTTGGAGAGTGTGCCATGTGACTTGTCACTCAAATTTTCTCTTTCGGAGATAGTACCAGGTGACTTGTTAGTCAATTTTTTTCTCTGTTGGAGAGTGTACCAGGTGACTTGTAAGTCAAATTTTCTCTGTTGGAGATAGTACCAGGTGACTTGTTAGTCAATTTTTTTCTGTTGGAGAGTGTACCAGGTGACCTGTCACTCAAATTTTCTCTGTTGGAGAGTGTACCATGTGACTTGTCACTCAAATTTTCTCTGTTGTAGAGCGTACCAGGTGACTTGTCACTCAAATTTTCTCTGTTGGAGAGTGTACCAGGTGACTTGTTAGTCAAATTTTATCTGTTGCAGAGTGTACCATGTGACCTGTCACTCAAATTTTCTCTGTTGGAGAGTGTACCAGGCGACTTGTCTGTCAAATTTTATCTGTTGGATAGTGTACCAGGTGACTTGTTAGTCAAATTTTATCTGTTGCAGAGCGTACCATGTGACCTGTCACTCAAATTTTCTCTGTTGGAGAGTGTGCCATGTGACTTGTCACTCAAATTTTCTCTTTCGGAGATAGTACCAGGTGACTTGTTAGTTAATTTTTTTCTCTGTTGGAGAGTGTACCAGGTGACTTGTAAGTCAAATTTTCTCTGTTGGAGAGTGTACCAGGTGACTTGTTAGTCAAATTTTATCTGTTGCAGAGTGTACCAGGTGACTTGTTAGTCAAATTTTCTCTGTTGGAGAGTGTACCATGTGACATGTTAAGTCAAATATTTTCTCTGTCGGAGAGTGTACCAGGTGACTTGTTAGTCAAATTTTATTTGTTGCAGAGTGTACCATGTGATTTGTCACTCAAATTTTCTCTGTTGGAGAGCATACCAGGTGACTTGTCACTCAAATTTTCTCTGTTGGAGAGTGTACCAGGTGACCAGTAAGTAAAATTTACTCTGGTGGTGAGTGTACCATGTGACCTATCACTCAAATTTTCTCTGTTGGAGAGTGTACCATGTGACTTGTCTGTCAAATTTACTCTGGTGGTGAGTGTACCATGTGACTTGTCACTCAAATTTTCTCTGTTGCAGAGTGTACCATGTGACCTGTCACTCAAATTTTCTCTGTTGGAGAGTGCACCATGTGACTTGTCTGTCAAATTTTCTCTGTTGGAGAGTGTACCATGTGACTTGTCACTCAAAATTTCTGTTTTTGTTGCTGTGTTACTATATATATTGATAAATTGTGAATGTAATTGTCGGTAAAACTACAGGTTTTAAGCACAGTACAGGGTGTTGATTCATCAGATTTCAAATTTTGACCTCAAACAAATGTGACCACAAATAGTGACCTTGTCCCAGCTGACGTTTATTATGTATATATGTGTATACTGACATAGGTATCTGTTACATCTGCAATGATGAAAAAGCTAGGCGAGTATCAAAACAAAACTGATGTTCAACCAGATACCAGATGAACTGTGGGAGCAGCAGTTGTCTGTCAGAGGGCAATATAAACTTCTGAAAAGGAGTCACCAAATGAACAAATTTTATAGACAACATGGAATTGCAGAAGCTCCCTAGCAATCACGCACATAAACTTAGGCGCAAGGGAAAGCACAGAAATTCCAAATGTCTCTAAATCCTAGGCTATAATTTGTATAACCTTTCTGTCAAACTATAGGAATGTAAGTCTGATTCTAATTCCAAAAACATGTCTGCCTGCTAATCTTGGTCATCTCCAGTAATATTCTTAAATCAAATTAAACCTGATGCCAGTGATTAATGTTAATAATTATGCTACGGAAAACTTCCTTGTTCAGTCCTATATAATCATATAATAATGGCTGGGACAATCAAAAACTTTCCTATTGACTAAAACGGTTATTTAGAAAGTAATCACTTTCATTTCTGTCTACATGGATTACCTACATTAGTTTAACACCATAATCTTTTCTTTAATAGCTCTATATTTATTATTTTTTTATTAGATTCTGTGATCTTGATTTTACTTGTAAATTCTTACCGTTCACTTTGACCTGGTTCTGATACTGGATCACAAATGATTCTTGAAGATTTTGTAGCTGTTTCAGAAACGACTCTGTTGCCTGTGTAAGAAATAAAGCACTTGTAGAAAGCTGTTGTATGACAGAAAAGGTCACAAATAGTCATGTCTACTCCCTCTTTCTGACCCCTTCACATATGATGAACTCTCGGATTTATCCTAAAATAAGATTTATAATTATAATTTGAATTACAATGACAGAGTGAACAGTTGCCATATCACTAACCTGTATTTCTCTCAGCAAACTGTCAATCATTTCCCTGATCTGTTTGTAGATCCCTGTGGGTACTTACCTGTGTTTTCTCTCGGCAAGCTGTCAATCATTTCCCTGATCTGTTTGTAGATCTCTGTGGGTACTTACCTGTGTTTTCTCTCGGCAACTCTCAATCATTTCCACGATCTGTTTGTGAATCTCTGTGGACTGTAGCTGATCATTCATTGTGTCTTGGTTCTGTACTGGCTATTTATTCAAAGTGCAAACAACAGTTACCAATAATTTTGAAAGTCAAATCTAAAAGCTTTGTTTTAATTATCCATTCCAATTTATAAGAATCATCAATTAAACATCTAAATAAAAACAATTGTCCTGATTGTTGATTAAGTAAACTTTAATTAATAGGTACATGCAAATTTCAGGAAAAGTGACGAAAAAAATTTTCAAGATGGCAACCAAGTTGTTTAATTTTGAAAATCATGCAAGTCTGAAGCAGAGGTACTTTCTTCATATAGCCATCAATTCAGCTTGAGTTGTGAAAACAAGAAGTGTGTACCAGTACAGGTAGATCAACAGAAAAAGTGTATACTTCAACATACAATCACTGCTGGGCAAAATCATTTTAATTTTTTTTTTCATCAAATCGGTATAATGAACTATTTTTACTAGAAATATTAGATTTTACTTACATTTTCAGCTTGGTGTACAAATCTTTCCTCTTGAGCCAGACAGCTTTTGATCTCCTTAACCAATAGCAGTGGAGATGTGCTATATAGGGCCTGTATGGTAAGTACCAAGAAAAGACATCACATTTCTTCTTAACTTATCTTAAATAAGGTCTGCAGATTTTAACTTTCTTTAAATGAAAATCTGTTTGTAGATGAAATTACTCATAGATTTTTTACAAGTGTGACTTCATTGGAGATGGTAGACAAGCAAGCTATCTGAAGTATGTAAAAGCTTATAAAGTTTTTTTTTTTCTTTCTTTCTTTTTTTTTTTTTGGTGGGGGTGGGGGAGGGGAGGAAGGGAAGTGTTGTTTTTGTTTTTTTCTTTTCTTTTTTTTTGGAAAGATGCATTGTAATAGTTTATCTACTGGAGAGACCAACCTGGAGTTTGTTTGCAGCCTCCTGCAGTACCATTTTCTGTAAAAAGCTTTCACTGCTGTTGGGAAACTCATTTATCTGTATGTTAATGGCCTTGACTAAATGAGACAAAACCTGTTGGGCATAAACTTCATGGGCAGGGTTGTCCTCCTCAATCTGACTCCTGGGTGCAGAACACAACTAATTTCATATGATACATTAACAATGATTGGTATCCAATTGACACTCTTTATTTTTCAGAAGAGATTTACTTATTACTGCAATTATGAAAAGTCTAATGGTACACACACAAGACTATGAAGTTATTTTCCACACTCTTAATACTAATTTTGATGTTCAGGTAAGCAAACACATTGAATGCTTGTCAGCTATTGTTAAAAACAACAATCAGCCTTTAGAAATGCTTGATTGAAATAGGTGAGTTTAAGTATTGAAAGGACAATAAAACGATGCAAGTGATGATATAAAATCTACAAAACAAAAGATGAAACATTCTACATAGACATTACCATGGTTGCTCTTCCAGCCATTGGGCACAGTAGTGGCGCACCTCAATAGGAAAATGTTGTCCATACTGGGACTGAATCCTCTTTATGACATCACCATCCAAACGCTGAACACGAGCCCAAAGGGACATTGCTGGGTCCCAGGTCCCAGTCGGCTGTAAAATGAAACTGGTATTGAAGTTTTTTATGACAACAATATTGTATGACAAATAACAAGGACTACATTACATACGACCTTTCCAAGAAGCACTGCTTTCAAACCAAGTACCGGTATAAAGAAGGAATCTTAAGATTCTAAGAATTAAAATATGTCTAAGTCTGAACAGAGACTTTTTGGTCCTAATAGCCAATTTTAATCCAACTGGTATGGAAATGATCATTTTCACTTTTTGATATCTTATATAAAATAACTATGTTGCTGAATCAGTACAGAACCATATTATATATCAAAATAGTCACAGTCTATGGTCATTGATTCCATTCTACATAGCAAGAGTATGGCATGCCTTTACAGTATGTCAAACAAGAAAAGAGGACCAGTCTTTGGATAATCAGTGTTAAACAAGATTCTTTATTTATTCAGTTATCGTTAATTGGCTAATCACACGCTGTCACTCACTCACACTCGAGGTGAGGAGATGACCCAAGCTGTTTATAACACTGCTGGGCTAACCCTTATCAAAACACCAATTATCGAAATGAGGACTTGTCATACTGGTAAGCTTACTGTACCATTATGGAGAATAACTGTTGTTATAAACAATTAAGTGAATTCTTGAATGGTACCTGTAAGTTATACACAATGCGACATGCTCTCGGCCATTACGACATTAGCGTACGTGAAATGAAATCGGCAGCTTCAATTTGCATTTTTTACCCGCGGACATTACATGGAAGGTGGGTTTTTTCCCCAGATTTTTGTGTCAAAAAAGGGGTGCGGACATTACACAGATGCGGACATTACGTGGGTTTTTACGGTATATCATAAGTAAACATTATCTAAATGTAAGAACGTTTTCCAGGAGACCTACTACATTTATTCTGGCATTATAAGGGAAAGAGGTGCATCGTTTTGTAGGTCTGCCTTTAATGAGGTAGCTACATAATTTGATATATATGCAATTTAAAAGGAACATAGAATCTGTTCATCCAGGTCATCAACAACCTAATTATCTACATTGGCTCACACTTCATGATTTCTTTACTTACTGATTTATGGATTTTATGTTCAGTCATACAATTTATTAAAAATGAAACATTCTTTTCAATAATAGTGATATTTAACCACATCCCAGTTAAAACCAGAAATAGTAAGATATAATATCAGAACTACCCATGTGTTGGGCCATATTGCACATCAGTTAGACTACTCCATATATCAATAGGGAGCAATTATATCTACTGCATCATTTTAACTTCGTTATCTTCAGCATTTGTATCATGATAACTACCAAAACTATTAACATTCACAATGTTATTTACATAAAACTTCACTGGTGTTTTTCTTTATTTTTTCATCTATGTGTATTTTTAATGTGGCAGGATCGACTTTTAAGATAATGTGAATTGTATTGCCTAAGTAATTGTTAAATCTTGTCTAATAGTTTACAGCTATATTGTATGTTGTTCATTAGTCACGTGTATACTTAAGTGGTTTGACTCGTCACTCTTTTTATACAGTGTCCTGTGGTCATTGGTCAGTTAAATTTTGTCTTACGTCACAGTCTTACGTCTTATTTTATTGGTTCTTTTGATTTCACGTTTTTTTGTAAGTTCCGGTCATTGTTTGCTTGACCGACGGATGGATCGGGTGCTTTGGTAACTGTAAACGTGAAATACCTGCAAACCAGTAAAGTATGTTCATACTTATTTTAATATCCACCACACTCCCACCAATTGTTATTGTATTTGATCATTTGTATGGACACTGCAATCTAGGTATTGTAAAGATTATGATTATTATTACCTGTATTTTCATATATTTATGATGTTGCGTGATTTCAAATTAATCTATTTGGATCTGCTTAACTGTAATTTATCTAAATCTATATTCTGATATTTTCATCAGAATAACAGTCTATTCATTTACACTCAATGTTTTATGTTTCATTTGTAACTTTGCAGACTTATCTTTAAGACTGTCAATATCAAAATGTAGACAAACTTTGTGCCACATACAGGTAATTTAGACAGGTTATTTTATACACAATGTCTTTAACATAACGGCATATACTTCCATACTGGTACTGTATCTTTCATCTAATCTATATACTGTATGTCTGTACTTACCTGGACTTATTTCATTTTGATATCATTATATTGTATCAAGTCATTTGTTAGTAGTTAATTGTATTATATTTTATTTAAATGATAATGATGTTCCATACTAATATGTTTTAGTCATATTTGTCTGATACTTATATACAGTGTAGTTATAGTTTTATTTTTGTATCTTTACAGTTTTTGGTTCTATGGTCAGAACTCTCAACAGGTTTTGTGTCTTTATTTGAACATGGTATAGCCAACATGTCACACTGATTTCTTTTTGTTACTGAATTTCTTCTGTTTATGATATCATTACAATAAAAATAATCTGCTGTGAAACAAAATCCTAGATGTTTTCTTAAATGTATACCTGTCCAGGCCACTGTGAGAAGTCTAAGACCCCATTCTGTTGGTAAGTAAATGTTGTATTTCCAGAAGAAAAGCCTGCAGTGTAATGGCTATAGTCGGACGCCATGTTGTACATTCCATTATGTGACTGCACAGAATTTGGGTTTCCCGAATAAACAACTTGATGATTGTGAAGATCTGCCTCATATTTAGTTTTCACTTCGGTAACATCACTTGTTGACAAACCTTCCTGTGCAATCTTACGTATTCCTCTAAACTGACCTGATTTACAGTCTTCGTCCTCCATTTTTTCCTTATTTCAAATGATCAAAATTTCAAGAGCAAATGACCAAATAAAACCAGGTTTGCTAGTTTTTCTTCAAAATGTTAAGTATGCAAATATTCCGATGAATGTGCACAAAAACAGGAGAAGTCAAATGTAATATATGTTCTTTCGTTTCAATGTGAAAGAAGTTAATCCAACAACTTTGAAATATTTCTAATCACTGGTTTTTCAGCCATTGTTAACCCTTTAAAATGAGCACGCAACTCCTGGTTTCCTGTTTTCTTTGTAGTAATGTTGGGGTCACTGATGATTAAGTTGTAATTGTATGGTACAAGTATGCCAGATTGATTTTAATTTAATTAAGTTATTCACCCCACAGGTAAATGTATACATCTCTTTAACAAAGTCAGTATCTATTGTTTTAACTTTTTAACCTATAACACTTGAAAATGAAAAAAATAAATAGGTCAAGTTACCTTTTCCGCATTCTCAGTCTTCATTTTCCAAATATGGCCCAAATGTCCCACTGATTAGTTATTGTAACGTAAAATCACTATCAGTACAAAATGGTATACATTATAGTAGTGTTCCAAGTATTCAGGATATTGGGTTTTCCCTCAAAATATCTTAACCTTGACTTCGTGCCCGATTTGAGATATTTGTCAACTTATTAGGCTATTGGCATTTTGTTTACTTAGTTTATTTGTTCACAATTCGCAAACCGAAAGTGAAAAAAATACATGAATCAATGACGACCTGTCACTGTCCACTGACACTGTCGTTCAGAATGGCTGACATTATATAGGTAGTACGTATCGTGTTTACAATCGATTGCATATTAAACTTTACAACTTACCGTTTTTATAACTGTAAAACGAGCAGAGTTGGAAAAAAATTCCCGTGAACAGGGAATTCCCGGAAGACAAGTCGACCCTGTTCTTGGAACGCTCTATGATTTTGTTAGCTTTTGTTTAATTGGATAAAAGTTATTCGTATCAACCAATGAAAAGTGCGCTTTCAATGTAACAAAATTGCACAAGCACAATTAGCAGCTCGCGCCTAAACAACCTTAGGTAGCAGTAAACAGTTAATTTGCATTTTTTCCTGAAATTATTTGTCATGTTTGAGATATACAGGTATAGCAGATTGGTTATGAAAAATACATCATTACATGTATATATATTTATAAACTGTATAACAATTACATTAACAGTAGAGAGATGAAATTTGTGTAAAAAAAAAATTCCTCTGATTTCTGACATTTGATTGTCATGGTTACCTACTGAAAAATGCTAAAAATGCAAAAATACTGCTAATTCCAATCCAACACTACAACTTTCTAGGAGAAATTTAATTCTAATCACCTATCTTACAATCAACAACACTGTCATGGTAACAAAGTACTTACATTTCAGCAAATTCCAACTCGGAAATTCTTCATAACATGACCACATGTAAACACTATGAAAATTTCACTTCCTGTAAAGCTAGTTTTTGGTGCGTAGACACAGATTCGAGACTGCCCAAATAGTAATCTCCAACACAAAGCTAAAATATTATCCTGAAAAAAATGAAACCCCACATTGTCCACTTTAACATGACAGGACCAATTTTAGCAAGGATTTTTTTTTTCATTTTTAATTAAAACCTTTATAATGGGGTAATCTAATGAGCAAAAAAATCACCATGGCCACACCGAGAAACTGTGTACTGCTACCTTAGCATATATTTTGCAAAACACGATTTCTTTTTTTTTTTTTAGTTTTCTATTTTCGTTTGCATAATGTATGCATATTTTCGAAAATTATGTATTTAATTAATGTTGTCGTTTTTTCTCAATACAAAACAATTTACAATACAATACACTTGCTGCACATCTTCTTAAGTTCATTTGCTGACGAAAGCTTTAATACAACATACAGTATAACACTGAACAGCAGCAACAATGATATTTATCAATATGTGCATATATATCGTCTGGACATCGTGTCCGGAACATTACGTATTTCGGAACGGCGTATCATAGAACTATTGATCCAGCTGCTTTTGATTTAAACATATTTTATTGCATATAAATATACATAAAGGATTGGGCACAAGTTTTCCAACTTATACTAACACCGTTCCAAGTAATTAGTATTTAATATAAATGCGTGACCTCGCACCCGGATAATTTTGGTTTCTGTATCATGTCACGTTTCCAGAGAGAATAAAAAAAACATTGATTAAAACCATTCAATTAAAGATATTCTGTATTAATATTTCATGTCAAATTGGTGTATTAACACATCTTACATGTCGAACATCATCCCCAAGATGAAATAACCTTCTAATCCATCCTCGGATGCCAGTGTTTCGTTGTCGTCTGTCAAGTGAATACAAATCGTCCATGATTAATAGGCCTCAACTTCTTGCATTTGTTTGGTTACGAAAGTCAAAGCATGCACGTGTTATATTGGAAAAGTGGTGATTTTTAAATTTTCACATTTGATGACTCATTTCTGATTTTTGTCAACAACCGAATGGTAGACCGATCGATGAAAACCTAACTTTATTTAAATAGTTTGTGTTTACAAAAAAAGTTGTCAAGAAATATGGTTCATTTCAGAAAAAAAAAACTTTACCCTTCAGAAAAAGTGCATGTATCAACACAGATATTCATCATTTTCGGACTATACATATATATATACTTTTTCTGTTTCGCTGTTATGGTAAGCACTAGTTTCCCGATGGCTTTTATCATTTCCTTTTCGTTAAGGTTCTGATTTTTTTTCTTGTATGAAGCTTAAGAATTAGTTTTGCCACTGATTTCCACCAACAAGGTGTCTAAAAACAGCTGATTACCAGTTACAAACTGAATTAAACTACCATGAATAAAGGAGAGAGAATGGCGGTTGTACACAGGAAGGCACTATTGCAATTTAAACATTTCACTAAACTCTTGTTCGTACAATGGAGAATTATCAAATTTCCAAAGACTTTTATCTTTCTAAAAATCATTATGGTTACACCAGAGACTGAATGGTCAGTTATATAGCAAGGTTCAATACTTGATTTTGATGGAAGAAATTAACTTTTCTGAAATAAGAAAACCTGGCTTGTTATCGGGGTTCTTTCTCCGCAAAGTAAATCTTCTATTGTTTGGATGGCGATCTCCAAATTTCGACATGTCTCGCAGTTAGCTCCAAAACTTTGTCTATAACCGCACAACTATTGATGTAATGGGTTGCTTCTTTATAAAATGTTGGAGTGACTCGGTTATCAAATTAAAGTTCGTCTGATAATTTTTTATATGTTTGAAATATATCTAAAGACTGAACAGAAAATAAATAACTACCAAGAATTCATTGACACAGTGACAGACGAAACAGACGGGTGGACTCTATAGACAAACATTATATATCCACTGCAAATGCATACATTTCCTTTTTTCACCTCCTCAATAGGTGTGAGTTCTTAAACGTGATTGTAGGCTGTTTTATCCTTGTCGAGACGACATATAAATATTTTGATTGTATAACTGAATTTTGCTTTTAAGCTTCAATCGGCAGTCATCCATCGACAAACAAACTGGAATCAATAGGTTCTAATATTTAGAAATGGAGTAAATTTTATTGGTATGATTTGTGATATTTACTATTAAAAAAAGAGTTACCTCCCGTGAGACTACTCTTCATCACTGAGGGACAAATGGTACTCGATCAAAACAACCAATTTTGATAAGACAGCTCACCTTGTAGTTAGCATCTTGAAAATCAGTAAGTGTGGAGTTTCAGCTTCAGGTATAGTATTACCGAGTCCCGTAGAAGCGTGCTTTCTTTTTTATGAGTAGTTTGTTTATGTATGTGACTATGCGATTAACTATAACACATTGTGGATAAGAAAGTGGGCGTACTTTAGCAGCGTCTGCCCAGTTTTTCTCGACATAAAGTCCCTCCAGCGTCAGACTTACGATATTTGGACAAGAATATGGCAAACCTGACATCTGCAGCAAAAGTAAAAGCATCATCAATGAAAACGATGGTCTGGCATCTATGATCGCAATTTCATATCTTGGAAAACATATTAGTGGTATCAGAATTAAGATTCCTTTTTAAGATAATATAAGTATATTTCCGGTTCAGGACGTAAAAATTCTTCAATATCGGACTCAATAATGCATGTTAAGTTTCAAGATTCTATAATGAATAAATAAATTATGTTTGTCTCTCATAAAACAATGTTTCTTATACATTTAATTCAATAGTTAAGTTATTTCAGCTCTTTAATTGAAGAAAAGTTCTTGGTTCTTCCAGTAATGGTCTAACTCATTTTTAAACATATTGACAGTTTTTGTGGTAACAGTATGCTTTATCTGGTATGGTGCCGAAACAGAGCTCACATAGGACTGATAAACAAAAATATTTCACATGAAATATTCTGCACGTGATGCGGCTCATATGATATAAACTGATAAGTCATGTACAAACATGAAAACATGGAAAAACGTATTGTCTCGGGTTTCACTGACATTTACTATATGATTCACCAGACTGGATATCCACTTTGACTGACCAATTAGTGACAGTTTTGTAGGTTTCACATCATTGCTGTTGGTTGGAATTACCCCTAACGGGTCTACGGAAGTGGGAAACTGCAGTTTATTACTAGGAAAATATCCAGAGTTGTTAATAAAGAGACAGAGAACCCCAAACTTTAATTTAAATTTCCATAGCATTTGCCAATTAGATATAAACAATATATGGTTGAACTTCGTTAATTCAAACTTGGAAAACTCAAATACCCTGCTTAACTAGAAGTACTTTGTTGGTCCCTGCAAACGTTTCTCTTTACCTTAGTAATTGAGACTTGGAAAACTTTGAATCATCGAAATAAAATTTTGATCCCGGGAATCAAAATCCAAAGTTGAAATTTAAAAGTTCCTCTTTACTCAAAGTGCTAAATTTTTGCCATAAATACCACATTGAACTTCTGATGAAGAGTTGCCACAGACTGGGTCTCAGGACGTTGTTATTATGAGACACCCTATGCCTTAGTATCACTTTAATGTGTGCAGAAAAAACCTGTCTGGCTATTGTTACCATGAAAATTTGTTCATGATTTCAATAATTTTGATTAACATTAAAATTATTCTTATTGAAAGCCATTTATTAATGCTCTAAGATCACGACAATATGACAAAGAAATATGGGTCACAATATGTACAGTCATACAGAACATATATGTACAGCTGAAATCACAGTCTTGGTTGTGTCAAGTGTCTCACTTCTAAGTGTCATATTTAACCAATAATGTTTATTGCTTTGGTATAAGTTTTCTCATGATCTTGATGACTTCAAGTTAACAAAGTTTGACTGTATTTCTAATGAATTTCAAGTATCTCGATAGCTTTTATCATTTCCATTTAAAAATTGTTTAAGTGTTTATCTTGGTTAAAGAAATTCTCCATATCAAAGTCAAGTGAAAAGACAATTTTTTTTCTAAATATACATATATATATGACTGTTTTTGTGAGTCAGCTTACATGTATTTATCAATCAAAATGTTACACGATTTATGACAAAAGAGTTAAATTTTCAAATTATCAGAACATTGTTTGTATAGAATTACATGACAGAATAATAACTATGTGATATCGGTACATTGTTGATGATCAATCACAGCATCTAGGAGGAAAAGTAACCAGAGTTATTCCAATGTTCTGTTAACTTTCTTATCGTTCTGGAATCAAATCTACATTGTTTAAAAAAAATAAGATAAATAGAAATACATGTAGCATAAGTTTCTAAGAGTTCAAACTCACTGATAAAAACAGCTTGAGCCAGGACTAGTCCTTGTACTTATATGTAGCTGAGTGTAATGATGATATTTTAGTTGTGATCAGAAAATCACATATTTATGTATGTAGAAACTAAAGATTTATTTTTCACAAGTCGTCTTGATTTGAAAAAGTTTGTATTTGGTATAGGTAAATCATTTTCAGACTTAGTTCTTTAGCAATAATAGTCATTATTTTTATGCTCCCAATAAAAAAATCGGGAGCATATTGATTTTGTGCTGTCTGTTTGTCTATTGTCAACTCTAACCTTGCCCATAACTATTGCACTATAAGAGGTAGGGCATTATTGGCTTGTGTGTTCCTTGTGGCAAGACCCTTTGGGTGGTACCAGAATTTTTACCATTTGATATTGACATTGACCTTTGACCAATATTTGAAATTAGAAGAAATAAACATTATTTATCACAATGAAGACAAGTGTTTAACAAAGTGTTCATGCAATTAGAAAATGCCTTACTCAATACAGTTTTAATGTTCCACTTCCGAATTTTGTTGTAACATCTTGTTTCATATTGAAACTTCAATTTAATTAATAGAAAATAAAAATTAATAATTATTAGTAATTTTCATTACATTATTTTATGCTAAGTCCAGAGCATCATTTCCAATATTTTGATGAGTCTAGTTTCCAAGAGATTTAGTGGATTATCAAAATTTGAGTGTGTAAAGCAGAAGTTCAGGACTCAAATACTTGAGCCCCTAAAACTCACTGTTGACATGAAGTGTTCTGTTTTATAAGCTTTTAAACAGTATGACAAAATTTCTAACTTACCAATGGAGAGAAAAAAAGAGATGTGACCATCATAAAGTGTACTTTATGATTACACTTGCTCACTATATAATTTTTTTTATTTGCAGATCTGTTTGGTCTGATGTTGACTAAAATGGGATGATTTTCAATGCATTAGTCAGTACAGCTGATAGATCTAAGTGAAAATGACTAGTGCAGTACCTTTTTTAAAGAAGGGACATGGTAGTTCTCAGTCATCACTTGGAGGGGCCACTGCATCCTCACCGGGAAACTCCCCACATACCATCAATGCATTCCAGCCAAACAGCCGTAAAACTGTGGAGGACATCTTAGGTATTATGATTTTCATATATCTCAATTATAACAAAATATTGTTTAGATGATGTGTAGTTTTCCAAAATTGAATGTTTTGGCCAAGGACAGAATTTGCTTTCCTTGTGACTCTATGATGGTGTGGCCTATAATATGTCTTTTTATTACTTTAAGTAAAGCTATGATTTGAGTCTTCAACAAGGTCTCCCCTTATGATATTATTGAAGAATGATTTACATAAGTATATTATTAATCTCTGATGTATATTGATAAGTATCTCCCCAATCTGAGGTCTACTCTCTAGATATATACTAACAAGCCATGATTAAGTTTCTCAAGACCTAGTGCTTGACTATTTAATTTGTTCAAGTCAAAATTTACCATACTCAAAGTTATTGTTAACTATGTGCTGTTATGTGACTCTTTTTTTATTAATCATTGAAATCACAGGTATGCATACTTCAGTATCAGATCCCAGACTAGTCAGTTTATAACCTCTGCTAGTCAGAATGTAGTGATTTTGTCATGATATATGCACCTGGGGAGCAGAACCCTTGGACTTTGAAGATGATCATGGGTAGTCAAAATGTTCAACATACCCACACTGATACTACCCTTAGATATATTTTCATTATACAGTTATACTGATATAATTCATGTAAGTATGTGACTTATTTTATTAACAGAAGTTGGAAAAGAGTGTATCTCTGTATGACTACAAATTGTCTCTCCTAATTTCTGGCAAGGTAAAAACAGTGCACCCTTTAACTTGAAAGTAGAAAATTAATACAGAAAGGATGATATTGTATATATCAGACTTATTGTATATTCAAATTGTATTAAAATTCATCTACATTTACAAATTCTTAGGTCTCATTGATACATTGTACAATATAACAATACGATAGGGTGATATGAGATTTCTTGATTCAGAAGTTTGTTTGTGAGTTTATTGCCAAGTAAAACACATCTGGAGTCATTTTAAGGCAGAGTCTTCTTGTAGTACCTAGTGACTATGTCACTGAACAACATATGGGAGGTCTGACGTATGTCATCCAGAGCAGTTAGGGTAAAGTGTCTTTCCCATATAAAGTCACAACAACATCAGCACAGACCAGACTGTCTTCTCAGCTTCCAGAAATACAGAACTGACACAATTAATGAGTGTCGAAACATGCATCTCCGATCTACAAAGCCTCCTGATTTAGAAGTGATATTTATAGAGTTTAAAGAGGGCTAGACACAACATGTGTAATGTTTATGAAACTTTTTCATCCTAGACTGCCTGAAGGATCTGAAGTCCGACTTTGAAGCCAATAGTCAGCCAATTACAGATGACAACCAGACGCTACATCGGTTTTGTGCTAAACTGGAATACCTTCTACAGGCCAATATGAAAGGTATGAACCATTGCTTTTAATATTTTGTTAATTTTTGTTTATGTTAGGACAAAAATTAACAGTAAAATGTAATTTTTGTGCATCATAAATGAAAACTGATAACGGTTTTCAGCAGATAAGCTTTAAACCGAATTTGGAATATTTCTTTATATCAATGAGATATTAAATGACAGCAATATTTGTAAGAAATATGGGATTCTAGAGATCAAATCCTTAAAATACATATTTGCCAGACTTACGGAACTTAAAAATCCTCAGGATAACTATTTTTTGTTTATGTCAAATGACTATCACATTTGAACAAAATTTTATATGTTGCTATCAGTATCAGTAAGATCTCGGATGACTTTAACATTGGTCAAAATCTATTCTAATTTGCCTGAGCCATGAGGCATTAAGAACCTAAAATTAATAACTGTTTTTGATTCAAGTAACTTTAATTTTCGAATTTGGGTATTACATTATATCAAGATCTGGCAAAAGCTTGATTTTTATCAAAATCTGTCAACATTTGATATGTTGTCAGAGATATTGGACTTTAAAATCCATCAAATAAATGATTTCTTCCTCTTCATCAAATAAATTTTTACATTTTAAAGTTGTACAGTCAAATTGAACCAAGTTTGGTGAAATGTTTCATATTGATAAGATCTGGGATTCCATATTGGTAAAATCTGTCAACATTTGCCAGAGTTACAGGGATTTAAAATCCTTCAGATAGATTATATCTATCAGCCGTCATCTGTCATCTGTCTGTCCATCATCCCTCCATCTGTCCTCCCTCCATCTGTCATCTGTCCTCCCTCCTGTCTGTCATCTGTCCGTTAATCGTCCATCAACTTTTGCTACAAATTGCTACTAGTCATGAATGACTAAGCAGATTTTGACCAAATTTTGTAAGAAGCATCCTAGGGAAAAGGGGGGCACATTTTTCTATAAGTGGTGAGTTTCAGCCCTTAGGGACATAAGGGGTGGGGCTCAAAAGTGGAAATAGAGCAAATGATTTAAAATCCTACTCCTCCTTAGGGATGACTGGATTTTGGCCAAATTGGTGAAAGGGGAATCAGTTTTTATTTGTAAACGATGGCTCTCTGCCCTTTGAGTTTGGAGCAGTTGAGCCAAAGATAACAAATTGAACAAATTCTTTAAAATCCTACTCCTTGTGTAGGAATGATTGAATTTTGGCCAAATTTGTTCTGAATCATTGTTTGGAGAAGGAGAATCAATTTTGTATAATTGTTGTATCTCAGCACCCGGTGGTAAGAGGAGCGGGGTTCAATATTAGAAATAGAGCAAATTCTGTAAAATTCTATATTTCCTCAAAATGTGTATTCATCAAACTTTCTGAGAATGTACTCTGCTAAGCATGGTAAGCAAGGAAACTCTTTAATGTTTGGAGATTGCTTCATATCGCATGCAACTTTTAGTTACTACATGCGCACATTGTACAACCAGAAGTCAACAGGATTGTGTATAAGAAGGAGTGAATGGGTCATTGTTGAGAAAGTCACAAAAAAAAACACCTACCAATGAAGATCCTTAGGATGATTAGATAAACACAAATAATTTTATCAATTGAAAAAATACAGCATTATACTGTTACTGGTTGCAGTATGTGCAGATTCAACATCAATAATGTTATTCAAGTATAAAATCAGGTGTACACCAACTGCATGTATGGCACATGAAAATTAAAAAAGATGTTTATTCATGTGTATTGTTTAAGTAGAAAAAATATGTATGCTATTGTGATGTTAATGGTAACAAGAGTTTGTTGGTTCTTCTGCCTAGTTTAGGATAACAGGCCGTTCGTGGTTATTGTTAGAAATGTCAACAAAATACAGCGGGCCTAATGAAGATCCGTGTAAAATGTGCTGCCCGTCAGCTTAAACACTTGTACACTCACAGGATGTATATATCTAGGCATAAATGTGAACACTGCAACCACTTCAAAGTATGGACATAGCAGTCACATTTTCAACACTAGAAGGACCTAAGAATGTTAGCCCACTCTCCTTCCCGTTACGTTGCTGCAGTTTGTAACCAAGTAGACTACATACGGCGTTTATGGACATGTTCAAATGCAGACCAAACACCTGTATTCCAAGGTGCGTATTTTGTGTCAAATACTGATTAATACAAAGGGGGGGTAACAGTTGATACAAAACTGATTAACTTTCAGTATAAAATATATAGTACACACGATATTGTATACAAAGTTGATCTGATGTGAGCTTGCAAAATCTATGAGATTTAATTTGTGCACACAGGAAAAGCTAACCATTTTTCATTTGTTTTAGGAATGACTACATTCAATGTGGTGTTATTAACACATTTTGACTTTTGTTTATAGAACATGTACACATCATTTTACCTTGACATAAAAAAATCTTTATTTTTGGTGTAATATATATCAAACACATATATGAAATGAATTTGCTTCTTAGATGTAAATTGCACTGTCATTTTTGTTACTGTTTATGGGGTAGGTGTCCAGGAAATGATAGACCTTTTGTTAAAACATAATATTAGCATGTAAGATATCTTCCATAGGAGGAATAGCAAAGCATTGAATTATTTTTTGGTATTTTAGTCTGAAATGTTTTCAATAATTATTATAGCAAATTGATAACACACTGTTGCAAATATTGTTTATTATCATGGAATGTATATTGTAAAATTAACATGCCGGTAAAATTCATCTTGTATTTTTCAGAGGTACAGGCCAGTAGAAGAAATTTAGCATTGGACAAGAAAAGTCTGAGTTTCGAAATATAGCTTAGCTGTCTTGAATAGGACAGCTGAAGTTTAAGAACTGAGAATATCACAAGATTTAGCAACCAATTTCACTCTAATTTTGGAGCTGCAAAGTTGATTCCAATTTGTAATTTATCAACCATTTCTGTAAATAAGTTTTGACACTTATAATTAAATCTTATTATTCTGAAGAAATGTCTCTGTAAATTTCAAGTACATTCTCTAGGTCATGTTGAAGTTGTGTTAGTGTCATGGGTTTAAGTAATCAATGTAAACTGTGAGAAATGTGGATTTTGATATGTTTTTTTACATTTATATGTAGTTGTGGATTTACACCCAGTTAACACTGGATATTTCTGTATTTCAGTGAATTTATTAAACTTAGTTATAAAGATTTTGTCTTTCTTTTCTTTTTTTTAAAACTTAAAACTTAGACTTGATAAAAAGATGTTTAACATTTTGTTTTGTTTGTTAAGTATGTACATCTTCAATATTAAGATACTGTTGAATATTGGATAGATTTCTGAATACATTTGAAAATGTTGTTAAATGCAGTTGTACAAACATGCTAAACAGTATGATATAACAGTTCCATTATAAACATGAAATAGTTAACAATGCAATGGACGGTGTCTTATTTCTGGATTTATTTAAAATACAAGCCTTTCTAGCTACATGTTCTTTATGTCGAGAAAAGGTTTGATATTTGTTGCTTTACATTCTCAAAGCACTGTTATTAGAAATAAACTGCTATGTCCTTTCAGTGGCTTTCAAATCCCTTACAGCAAAAATAACAACATGGCAACATAATTATAATTCAAACTTGAATTCCATAAAACTAGGGCAAAATATGAACAAAAGAAAGGTTTTAACGTTCCAACACTCTCTCTTCTTATGAACTTATCATTGTGCCTCCATGTTGAGAATTCTATCCTGAATATGACTTGAGCATGATAATAAAATAGGAAAGAGCAAAACTTGAATTTTGAGCATGAGAATGGCTTCATAAATACAGGCCCAGATGAGTAATACAGGCCCTATAGGCCTCTCATGACTCAGATTTGAGACAAATTTGGTATGATAATAATATGTGTCAGACTAAGTGAGATCTTGAATGATTTAAAATTGACTGATTTTAATCTGATTGGTGCATTAAGCTTTCCTTGATTTGTAGAGTATGCCCCATGTTATCTCCATACCAATCAGTATATTTTATCCTTGTAGAAAATGCTTTCTTGTTTAGCAAAAATGCATTCTATTGACATTCAAATGATACCACAATGCAAAAATGGTTTTCAATAGAATATTGTAGTATTTCTATGGCTTCCTGTTTAAGGCTTAGTGTTTGTCAAACATATTTTGTTTACCATCAAGACCCAGTTGTCAAAGCCTAATTACTGAATAATTAAAATAATTCCTTTTGAAAAAATTAGGACTTTTAAAGAAAAATTGGCTCTCAAAAATATCAACTCTACAAATCTACAGCTGTGAAATGATAAAGAATTTTTACATCTTTTCTTTAACCACTGGTTAACTCTGAGTAAGCTTTAAACAACTTGGACCAAATTGAAACAAACTTTGATAGATTGCTTTTTATCAATGATATCATGGATAATGGCTTTAGTCTGTCTGAGCAAGAACTATGGGACCGACGCATTTTGCCATAGTTTAGTTGATAAAATATTTGGCAACATCTGGAGTGTTGACCCACACCATTGGTATATATTTGTCTGTTTATATTACAAAAATGCCTTAAAATTGAATGCCCTTGGCTTCTTGTTTTCATAAATGGCTTCCGTATCCTAGTAATTTAATGTTGGAATATATGAAGATGTAGGAAATTTAATGAAATTGATTAACTATTCAAATTATTGTGGATTCTAAATGAAAAGATGATTAACTCAAAAATGAGAAAAATATGTCGGATAGAAAACTTTGCAATTACACTTGATGTCAGAACAGGGACGTATATGACAGTCATATACGTCCCTGGTCAGAAGAAAAACAATATTTTTTTAGTATAAAAGAATTATAAAATCTTACAATATATTAGCATTCTTTGTGAAATAAATTTAATTTAAATTTTAAATATTTGAATTTCAATATATATATATACCAATGCCGTTTTGTTATAAAAATGCAACATCAGTAACAACAAACATCACGTACAGAAAGTTGTATTGTAAGTAGGTCACTTGTTCTAATTTTTTGTGTAAGAGTTATTCCCCTTCGTTATGATGGCCAATTGAAAAATATATTATTTGTTTATTGAAAGCATTCTTCTTTGTGTAATAAATATATTTAAATTCCAAAATATCCAAAACTATGTATCATATAGACAGTGTAGAGTTGTAACATCTAATTAGTTTTAAAATCTTGACATGATCATAGTATAGGGAAAGCACTTAGACACCTGGTAGTAATCTCCTACAATTTATATATAAAGGTAGGCTGTGGTTAGTATTGTCAGCTTTGCGCAGTGGCGGTACCATAGTCGATGAGGATTTTCCGAGACGTGGTTATTGCTAGTTGAAAACTATACCCAATACCCCGCACTGTGGCCTGAAATATGGCCGCAAGTGCAATTTTTGAACGCTCCTACGGGAGCAACACATAATCAAATAAAAAATAGCAATGGTTAAACAGGAAACATAGCAATTATGTTGAAGGTCTCATGAGGTTTGGAAACCTGTTGTGATCCCACTTCGTCCGATTCTGTTTATTGTCCTTCTACTTCCACTAAGAATGCTTAGAAAATTGTCTGTTAGATGATTTGCACATAATGACAGACTTAAAACCCCAATGGATTGAAGAGCAGTGCTAAAAGGGGTAAATTGACTCAAATATTTTTTCAAAAATCTTCTATTTAGACCAAGATATGATAGAATTAAATAATTTGCATAGATGAAAGGGTTGTAGGAAGCTTTGCCAAAAATTTAGATTTCATGATCCATGGGTCTCACATTTCCACCTGGGGAGAGGGTAAATTTTGTAATGATTTTTATAAGGGAACTTACTGTTTTGAGCAATATTTGTTTAATTCCCACGGAAACAATTTATACTTGGTTAGTATGATTAACATGTTTGATGTCATGTACAATGTGGTTCCTATTTGGTTGAAATTCTCCGCTACATTTGTACCCTGACTTTCAGCTCGGAATATAGAGAAAATCATTTATAAATCAATGGCATTGAAAAGCTGAGTAATTCCCCATTTTATTTATATCAATTAGTTCATGCAAATTAAGTGTCTGATATAAACTATAGAAGTAAATGGGGTAAAGGTAGATAAGAATATAGATGTGAGGAGAAGGGACTTCAGTGAATTTGTGGCTCAGTGAACAAACACCAAAGTTAACTCCAGACAAACCTCCAGCTGGGCCTTGTTTTAAGTCCCTGCATTATCCAATGTTATCACAACAAAAACAAGGTAGAAAAAGAGGACGAAAGGTCTTACATTTGAAAAAACAAATGAAGATCCATTGTCAAATTTGATTGAAATAAATTTAATCAAGACTTTCAGTGTTAATGATTGAAGATGTTCATGTTTAATTATCAAAATCTTTGAATGCCAAATAAGCGATTAGACCTCGTCTTTCCTTATCAAGGAGCAAACAGAAAATGAATGCATTCTTAAGCAGTAAATAAACCTGGAAGTGTTTTTGGAGCTAAGGTCGATTTTAAATAACTAAACGTCCAGGATTAGTTAACAATCGCTTCATTTCTTTATAAACAGATAAGCTGACTCTGCTGGGGAGAAAGAAAGACTATTGGGATTATTTCTGTGACAGTATTGGTTCTACAAAGGGGGTCAACGATGGAATCAAGTATGTCAAGACTATCGGAGATGTAAGTATTAAAACAAATCCAATAATTGTCTCTTTTTTACTGTTGATATAAAATGAAGTAAATCTTAGGAAAATAAATGCATTGAAATAGGTAACATTACATATTTAATGATATAGTGTATAACATGTTTTTTTCCTAAGGAAAACAGGATATCAATTTGAGTTCAGTGTACTACATTGTAACGATCACTGTGTATTTTGATGTTTTCACTTTTTGATATCAAGTATGATATTATTTTCAGTACAAAACATCAATTGGTAAGGGTCGAGCCCTCCTGAGGTTTTGTCTCATGCACAGTAGAATGGCAGACAGTATACAACAGTGTACAATGAACGGCAAAGTAACAAGGTAAGGAGCTGGAATTGGTATCATCTGTAAGGAAGATTTAAGGAGGGAGGGGTGGGGGAGGGGGAATGTGTGACCATACAGTCTGACACAAAGTTCTAGGAGTGGGCAAGTTGAAGGTCAATGAAATAACATTTGTTTGTTATTTTTCTGAATAGCAACAGATATCATTGGGCTTATTACCAGACATGGGCTTATTGCTGGGTTAAATATGGTACATGTTGTTTTCAATACATCTACTACTGGTTTTCAGATTTCATGAATATGGACCTGCTATATTCTGTTCATGGAAAAAACGTCCAATCATAAATTCCATAGCATAACAATTTGATTGTTACATTTACATTTCCTAACTTTTGTTTACTGTTTAACATCTTATTTTTATTTGTTCATTACCAATCCTTTGGGTGGTGTATCAGTAACATATATGGTAACATTTCAGACATTGTGATGGTCAAGCTAGAAATTTTTTTTTTTTTTTCTGGCAGGTTTTTACAAAAAAATTGTAAAATGTAAGATAATTTGAGATTGGTTGTGTTTCAGTGACTGGTTCTATCCCAAATCTGTGTGGTTACAACATGATGAACGTAACAAGATTATAAGTGCACTTTATGACCTTAATGATATTCAGTTTGACCTTGCTGCTAGAGGTTATGACCTTGACAATGCCTGGCCTTCTTTTGCAAGGTATGTATGAGACTAGCTTAAGGTAAAATCAGACAGACACTCTTAAGTTATGGTTGGGGTTTTATATGATGTTCATCATCTTGGATCAAACAAAATTATTTCCTCTTTTTCGTTAGGAGTTTTTGAGTTTCGTTGATTCTTTATTTAGTCTACTCTGTTGTGTCTAAATTTAAGTGACTGTCGAAATTGAGACAAATTCTTAAAAAATATTGATGACGGAAATTTTGTTAAATTGGTATTATATGTTATTTTTTATCATAATAGAACATTTAAAATAAAGAGATTAATTTATGGTGACAGCAATACCAGAGATATATTTACTTATTCTTTTTTTACTGAATTTTCAATATTTGACTTGTACAGGAAGAATATCAGTGGGGTCAACAACTGGAATCTGACTAGTAGAACATCCAGCATGTCCAGTCTCCTCAGTATACCTGGGCAGGTAAACATCTCTTTTCATTGCTGAAAACATTGTCTAGCATTTGTGGTAATTAGTGCAAAAAAAGAAAAAAGAAAACCACATAGGATATACATGAACTATCAGTGATGATGGCATTTATTAACCATATGAAATAACATATATAGAGTCACACATATGTACATCTGAATGAACAATGCAGAACCAGGATTCTGAAGTAATTCTCCGTTTTTGCCCTAAAATACATAAAAAAACCCTGTATATTTTAACTTGGACATATAAATTTTTGACACCTTTTGCTTGTACAAAATAGGCAAAATTTCAATTGTGACGAAAGTTTTCTTTTATCCATCATAATAATAGTTTTTGAAATTAACTAAGATTGTTTTCTTACAGGACATGAACTCGTCCAGGCATGTTCTGTCATCTACACCCAATGATTCTGACCTTGATCACTTGACCTCTGACAGCATGCATGCTGATCTGATGGACAAAATGGAGGCTTTGGAACAACAGAAAGCAAGTTTCCAGCAGTCTGTGATCACCTCTCAGGGTGAGCTTGGTATGTTGCAAGACCAGTACAAACGTCTGAAGGATGACCATGAGACTCTGACCACTGACCACAAGAACATACAATATAGGTAAGCAAAAGCGACCACAAGGACTCTGGGGACAAGAAAACTGTTCACTTGATGCCATTTGGCACTAGTTGACTGACCACTTCATTGATGACTTATGGACTCAGCAGATTATTTGAAATCTTGGGTCCATTTATAGTATACATACATAATCTAATGCTGCAGGTTTGATCGACTGAGTCTGGAGTCTGAGACGCATCAGAATGAATGGAAGATGAAGGAGGACATGTATCAGAAACAGCTCGACAGTGCAAGACAGGAAACAGAGACTCTCAGGTCAAAGGTCAACAGTATGGAGGGGAAAGTTCAACAACTTGATACGTCCAGGAAGGATTCTGATGATTCTAACATGGCCAAGATTGCCGAACTAGAACAGATGAAAATGGATCTTACGTTGGAGGTGAAATTAAACGTTCCTTTAAATGTAACAAGGTCTTCCATAGACTATGATACTTCAACTTTCAATTAAAATGTTGATTTTTTAGCCTACCATCTAATAGATGGTGGGTTATTCAAATCGCCCTGCGTCCGTGGTCCGTCGTCCATCCGTCCGTAAACAATTCTTGTTACCGCTATTTCTGGAAAAGTACTGGATGGATCTTTCTCAAATTTCATATGCAGGACCCCCTTGGTCCCTAGTTGTGCATTGTACCTTTTTTGAACTGATTCGCATTCAAGATGGCTGACAGGTGGCCATCTTGGATTTTGGAAGTAAAAGTTTGTTACAGCTATTTCTGGAAAAGTTCCGGATGGATCTTTCTCAAATTTCATATGCAGTTTCCCCTTGGTCCCTAGTTGTGCATTGTACCTTTTTTGGACTGATTCGAATTCAAGATGGCCGACAGGTGGCCATCTTGGATTTTGGAAGTAAAAGTTTGTTACTGCTATTTCTTGGAAAGTACTGGATGGATCTTTCTCAAATTTCATATGCAGTTTCCCCTTGGTCCCTAGTTGTGCATTGTACCTTTTTTGGACTGATTCGAATTCAAGATGGCAGACAGGTGGCCATCTTGGATTTTGAATGTAAAAGTTTGTTACTGCTATTTCTTGGAAAGTACTGGATGGATCTTTCTCAAATTTCATATGCAGGTTCCCTTTGGTTCCTTTTTTGGAAGTTGTGCATTATAATGTAAAAGTTTGTTACCTTTTCTTGGAAAGTACTGGATGGATCTTTCTCAAATTTCATATGCAGGTTCCCTTTGGTTCCAAGTTGTGCATTATACCTTTTTGATGGCTGACAGGCAGCCATCTTGGATTTTGAGATTAAAATCTTGTTACTGCTATATCTGAGGAAGTCCTGGATGGATCCTTCTGATATTTCATAGATATTGGTTTCCCTTGGTCCCTAGTTGTGCATTGTACCTTTTTTGGACTGATTTGAAATCAAGGTGGCCCACAGGCAGCCATCTTGGATGTCGACAGTAATACAGCACAAGCATATTTTCCATTATCCACCTGTAACTGACTGCTATCTAATAATACTTTGGGATCTTTTTCAAATGATATTTGCTAATAGGTGCTTAATAAAAATATCTTGTGCCATCATTGAGTACATTCAATGAAGACCAGTTCATGAACATTTACAACACCTGTAACAAACAAAAAAAAATAAACAAATCTTCAAGAACTGAAAACAGATCCTCAAATGGTGGGCGCCAAGATCCCTCTGGGATCTCATGTTTACATTTGTTGATGTATTGTTTGAACAGATTACAAATTTTGTCAATGTTGTACAATATATAACATATTCATAAATGCTTGAATCTATGATGCTCTATTGATTAAGTTTACATTGGGATTTTTTAATTTGTAGATAAGTTTCTTCGTGAATTATGATGGTATTCATGATTTCTTTTCATTGAAACATGCTAAAGGGAATAACACTAACAAAATTCACACATTCTTGTTGATACTATCTGATCATTACACTCTGTACAGGTTCGTACTTTAAGCCAAGATTTTGAAAACAAGAAAAAGGTTGAGGAAAAACATTTGGATATCATTAAAGAAATGGAATCAAAGCTACAAGATGCAGAATTAAAGACAAACAAACTTTTAGATGAATTGAAATCAGTTGTGAAAAATAAAAATGAGGCAGCCTCTTCAAAAATGGATTCTGTCAGTCAACTTCAAAATTCCTTAGTCAGTTTAAAAGAAGCTGAGGCAGAAAATCTAAAATTGAGAGGAGAAATTCTTGACCTTACAAATCAGTGTAGTCAAAGAGATCAGGATATAGTTGCATTGGAAAGTAAAATGGTTGATTTGAACAGTCATCGCGAAAGTGAACATCACTCTGCCGAACAAAAAATAGAGAAACTGCAGCAAAAACTTGAAATAGAAACTTCTAGAGCAGTGCAAGAACTGAAGAATTTGCAAGATTTGAATTCAGCAATAGAAATGGAAAAATCTGAAACAGTTACAAAGCTGAAAAGTGAAAATAAAATGCTGAGTTTGGAAAATGACACAAGTAAAACTGAAATGGAGAAAGTCAGAGCGCTTGCTAGCGATCTTGAATCAAAACTATCCAAATCAGAGGAAAGTAGAAATTTTGAAAGTGTAAGATTACAAGAAAGTTTAAAACATTTAACTGCTGAAAATTCCAGACTGCAGACAGATGTAGATAGTGTAAATAAACAATTAGCTGAGAGAGAGAGTGTTACGTTGGAACAGACTCATAAGTTAGAGGAATCTCAACGAATATTATGTGAGGAAAAAGTTCGTTGTGAAAGCCTTCATGCACAAATAAAAAGTCTTCAAGGTGATATCAAGGACAAAGAAACGGAAATTCGAAATCTGATTGAACAGCAATCTTTAGAAAAGGGATCTGTTACTGAGGTAAAGACTGTCCTACAGGAGAAGATGGCTGCTAACAGAGAGCTCGAATCTCAAGGGAGACAGTGTGTACAGTCCTTACAATGGCTACAAGGCTGCATAAACACAGGAACATTCAATCAGGTAAAACTATAGAAACAAACATTAATGTCAAACTAGGGAAACTGGAAGTTATGTTAAAAATAATGTCTAACTGTAAGAAACTTACAAGGAGACATACAAAAAACTAAGTGAACTAAGAATTTAGTATACACTCCAAGTGTCATTAGAAGCTTTTAATAAGTTACCTGTTTGACGAGGAAAACTTAACAATGCTTCAAGTTTCAGTTCAGTTTCTACTTAACTACAACCAAATATACAAGGAAATAGAATTGTATAGCATTCTTAATGAGAGTTTCTTTTTCGTGCATTCTGTACTCTATCTATCTTTCAGAATCCTACCAAGCTGGATGATGTGGAATTTTCCAATGTGTTTAGTGGGCTTGTAGAAAAAATGGTTGAAAAGGAAGAACAAATGAAGTGTGTGGTGGCTGAGAAAAAGTCTCTTACGGATCAGTGCAATTCTTTTACTGTTGAGAACACGAAACAAGGGACACAACTCAAGGAGAGAAAGAAAGATATGGAAAGACTGAATAAATCTTTGTCAAATTTACAAGAAAGAGAAAAACTTCTTCTAAAACAAAATTCAGAAATAACTGAAAATGTTTGTAACCTAACTGAAGCAAAAGATGAATTAACTGAATGTTTGAAAAAGAGAGAAACAATTATTTCTGAAAGTGAATTGGAAGTGAAACACCTCCGAGCAGAAGTTGTTAATCTAAGAAAAGAATTGAATGAAAAGTCAGCAACGTTGTGTGAACTACAAAATTCTGTATCAGTTTCTGAGGAAAAGTTGCGACAGAGTTCTGAGACGCAGAAACAAGCACATCGGCATCAGACTGATTTAACTGAACAGATTAGATCTCTTAAGAGTCAGCTGGACAAACAAATGGAAGAGAACAAAAAACAAGACATTGACTTAACTAAATCTAGAACAAAACTCTCAGAAACTGAAACAAACTTGAGTAACCTTGTTGAAGAAAAGTCCAAGTTATGTAAAAAATATGATGATTTGTGTAAAAGTTTAAATGATCTGACAGCTGACAATACTCAATTAAAGAAGGATGTTGCAAATCTTAATGAAGAAAAGAAACAGGTTGAACAGAAATTAAAAGCTGTGAAGAAAAGTTTATTTGACTCTGAGCAGAAATTGTCTGAAGTAAGGCAGGAAAAGGAGGAGAGAGAAAAAGGGCATCAGGAGGTTCTTGAGGTAAGTTAAGTGAGGTTTAATTAAATCTACAGGAACAGGTGTGGGATGTGATTGGTTAAAAATGAATAAAGCTTATAAATGAATAAAAAATTAATTTTCCTACACTTGGTCAGTACACGAATGTAATCTTTCATATGAATTCTAATTTTCTGTGTCATCAGACAACCTGTTCTATCCAGATTATGTTTTTGATTCCACAGGTCTTTTCTGTCATGTAATGAACTGCTTCTGTGGTAAAAATATTACATACCCAGGTATACTTTTATTGAGTTTGAAGGGATTGATGTACATAATCTTTTCATGATAAGATGATGGTTAAGGTACTTGAGTAAAATAGGATGATATCATTTCTAAAAACTTAAATACAAAAGTAGTTGTTTAGCTATGAATCGTTTCATCCATGAAATCCAATGCTACATATCCTGAACTGAATAGGGAGAGGGGGTAATTATTATTATGTTTATAGAGATTACAGGGTGAGAGACAGGACCTGACAGAAAACCTAGAGGAGGCTATGTCAGACCTGGGTAGCATAAAACATCAGTTAGAGCAGACATCTCGTGAACTAGAGAACATGTATCACCTCAAGGTCAGTATCAGATTTAATTTGTTTGAATGTTTCTCTTTATCTCATGAGAGAAGATGTATTACCTCCAGGTCAGTATAGTAAGAGACGTAGATGAAATTTGAATTTATCTGACTGTTTGTGATCTTCATCGCACAAGCTAAAGAACATGCATCACCTTAAGTTCAGTGTAGTGGATACAATTTTAATTTGTTTCAATGTTAAGTTTCCCTTTACGAAAAGATTTTCACCTCAAGGTATAATGGAGGTTTGGATGATACATGAGACTGTTTCTTTTCATGCTCGTAAAATATTTTAGAACATTATATATTTTGTCATAGGATCAACTGGAAGCAGAACGAAATGATGTTATGTCAGACAAAATTAATATGGAGGAAAAGATATTGCAGCTACAAACTCAGTGTCAAGGTCTTGATGAGGAGGTCAAAGGACAAAACCTCAAGGTCAGTGAAATGACCAGCATATTCAATGGATTGAAAGCAGAGAAAGCTGGCCTGATGTCAGAAAAACAGGAAGTTGAGATAGAAATCAAAACACTTCAGAATGAATTAAAAAACATCAAATCAGAGAGAGATGAAGCAATGGCAAAAATTAATGATTTGGAAGCAGAAGGGAAGGCAAGTTCAGAACGGTGGAAAGAAAGCGAAAAAGATTTGGAGAACAAGCTGCAACAAACAGAGCAAGAAATGAGGAGTTTAAGAGATGAAAAGAGTGAGTTAGATTCTACTCTAACAGAATTACAAAATAGACTCGAAGATAAAAGCAGTCGTACTGAAGAACTAGAAATATGCTTGCAAAAAAGATCAGTGTCTTTAGAAGATCTGAAGAAATCAGCATCAGAAAAGGACCATTGTATCGCTCAACTTGAAGAAAACTTGAGATCCATGGAGGAAAGTTATGAGCAAGAGAAAGACACTCTAAAGCAAGAGTTGACAGCATTACAGTTCCAGCATAGTGCTGAACAGATTCAACATGAACAGGCACTGAAGGTAAGGATAAAGTTGAAAGGTCACCAGTCCTAACATATATTCTTTAGTTCTGAGGTCAAAAAACTATGATCTCTTTAATGAATTGTTGTTTTGGGGTGATTGTGCCAAAATTTGGTTGAAGAGAGAAACATGAGATTAATTCAGAGGCTAGCAAGTCAAAGGTCACATAATTTACTTAACCTGTAATAATTTGATATTGAAATCAGAAACCATGCCAAGTGTTCTCTATTGTTTGAATATTCATGTATGCATGTCGTATAAGTAACAGGGATGTTTATTAGAACATGTGATCATGATCTAAAAATAGAATTTTGGTTCCTGTACATCATCTTATTTGTAATCAAAAGGTGACAATGACTGTAAAGATTTCCTTAATTCATTTTGTTTTTCTTTTATTTATTATTTAAAAAGTCTTATGTAATAATATATAAATATAAGTAGCATAAATAAGTATAAATCAATTCACAGCGTATTTTCTTGAATAAGTAATTCCTTTGGTCAGTAAAAAAGGAATTTGAAATGATAGTACCTGTTGCTCACCTTTACTGATATGTAACATTTGAAATCCTCAGTGCAGTAGAACTTTTCTGAAATAATCCCTGAGAATATAGACCTTCTTACTTATCCAAGGTAAACCTGTGATAACATTTATATTAAAATACAAATAAAACTTATGTCTAATGTTATGTACAACAGGGTGTCAGATTAGACAGGTTTATCTGACACATCGTGTTCTGTGCAGCAAGGTGACAGATTTGGCAGGTTAATTGGTCTAATCTGAAATCAGATCGGACCGGTAATGATGTGTCCCACAGTGGATCAGAGTAGGCAGTTTTATGTTATCATTCTACCTTTGATTTGGTATGTGGTATTTCTGTGTTCTTAGTCCTACAATTCACAAGAGACAAACATCAGCGAGCTGAAGGAAAAGCTGATGGAGCAGGAGAGCCTGATAGAACAGCTGGAACAGGAGATGGTGGAGATCAAGTCTGCCAGGGAACGAGAGAAGGACAGACAAGGTCATGAGGTGTGTAGGATGTTACCACCATAAATTCTGGTTATTAGTCAATAATTTTCACATAAAAGGGAAATGTTAGACAAATTGCACTTAATATAAAAATATGATGGATGGATGTAAGTATTCAGTGTGGTTGATTTCTCTATTCAACAGATGGATGATTTACGATCAATGCTTCACTCTAGAGGGAATGACAAGGAGGAACTCCAGGAAAAACTCATGATGGTAGGATCTACATAGGGGAGAAACATTTACTTTATCTCTGACTTACTGTGATAGGCTCTACATAGGGGAGAAACATTCACTTTATCTCTGACTTACTGTGATAGGCTCTACATAGGGGAGAAACATTCACTTTATCTCTGACTTACTGTGATAGGCTCTACATAGGGGAGAAACATTCACTTTATCTCTGACTTACTGTGATAGGCTCTACATAGGGGAGAAACATTCACTTTATCACTGACTTACTGTGATAGACTGTACATAGGGGAGAAACATTCACTTTATCTCTGACTTACTGTGATAGGCTCTACATAGGGGAGAAACATTCACTTTATCTCTGACTTACTGTGATAGGCTCTACATAGGGGAGAAACATTCACTTTATCTCTGACTTACTGTGATAGGCTCTACATAGGGGAGAAACATTCACTTTATCTCTGACTTACTGTGATAGGCTCTACATAGGGGAGAAACATTCACTTTATCTCTGGCTCAGTGTGGTAGACTCTACATAAGGGAGAAACATCCTAAACTTAATATGGTGAAGTGTTTGTGTTGACATCCATTTAATGTTTTATCATTGACATGTGTGGAGCTGCAAGCACTGCTGTGTTTTAAACCATGGCCTGCATTACTGTGTATACACCACACTGTGTATTGGTATGTCAGAGTTCTTGTAGTCTATTTGTTCCTTGTTTAATGTATTGATGCTTATTGGTTTTTTTGTTTACATCATCAAATATCACAGAAAATAAACTCCAAATTACACTCAAACAGATAGTTGTACATATTGATACTGGTATTTGAGAGTTTTATCTGTGAACAAACAATATACAGAGTGAAAGTCTGTAAGAATACATGTATACTAAAAATTCATACATGTACCTCATTGTCTCTCTGCTTGATTTATTTGTGGTTAGAAATGTATATTGTGGTATAAAATAGTTATGATAAAGTAGTTAATTTGTGCTATCTTATATCATTTACATTTTATCTACACTTAATGTTAGGAAACAATGCTTCGTTTTGTTGATCACTTAAATTTGCATTTCACTAGAAATATTCTAAAAAAGTCCTTATCAACATTGAATTGAAAATTGTATCTCAGTTGTCTCTCGGCATGAATTTTTCCAAACTAGTGATTATCTGAAATCTTAGTATTTTATCAGTAATAAAGATACGATTTCTCTTTGTGTGCCACTGCCTCTTATGATTTGTAGCCTTTTGATGTCTACTTTATACAAAATATAACCAGAAAGCAATTGAGCTTTTTCAATCAACACAACATAATGTTATGTCTCATATTCAAGTATCAGTGTGTCCTAGATTGTAGTCTATATTAGAACTAGCCTGAAAAGTTAGGGTTTTACATTTGTTTTTATTTTAACTAAGTGATAAAGAGAATCTTACTGTGCTTAGCTTGCTTTCAAATTCGGTCATTTTCATTGGCTGGCTTCTAGTTAATTCTCACTGAAAATGCATTCTTGGGATGGTGTTATTTAATTTTCATGGAAAAATTTGAATTGCTTTTTCTCACTTTTGTTCCTTAATTATAGCTATATCTTGTCAGATTTTCTTGTTCAAGAAAACTTCACTGTACACTGCTATAGTGTATAGTTATCTCCCCTGTTATGAAGAACTGGGGAAGTTAACTGCTACTGTTTCATATGCACTGTTGGAGGACCAGTTGATTTCATGGTGGGAAAAGGGATTGGGCAAGTTTTTGATGTGTAACAGGGAAACATTTCTCAATTTTTCAGTCTTTCAGTGGTTTTTTTTGAGTAAAGTTTTCTTGATGATCAGTAGATGCAAAACTTATAGTCACATAATTTAGTTTTTTACAAATAGATTATTCCTACTTAGGGACAATTTCTACATTTCATGGAATGAAATTTTGCAATGAGTTAATTTCTGTTTCAAGACTCTATGTAGTATTCTTTATTTTCATTTTGGATGCCTATATGTATGAGTTTCACTTTCCCCTCGTATATGATGCATGTCGTACTTTGTTTCAGACCAGAAAAGATTTGGAGACAGAGAAATCAGTTGTTTTATCTCTTAAGGTATGGCCCACTGAGAGAATTTACAGAATTACACCATTTAATATATTCATAATTTTATATCAAAAGTCTTTTGATAGGAATGGGCTGGTAAACCAATACATAGCTACAATATTGTGACAGAGTGTTAGACATACACATGTACCAGGTAAAAGTCCTGACAAATTGATGATAAAATTAACATGGGAAGCATGAATCACTTCCATTTTCATTATTTTTGTAAAGTAAAATGAAAATATTTAAAATCTTTCATAATTCCATTATATCTTTAATATATCAATTAAAAAAAATCGATATTGCAATTATCAGGTTCGTTTACATTTGCATTAATAAAATGACATTAAATTCCTTTGATGATTTACAAATTATGAATGACCACTTAAATATTGTATAAAAAACCACACCCCATATTTATCCTGCAGTAGGTGGAGGGGGGCAACACATTACTGTCACTTAAGTCAGTGGACACCAGGCTTATTTCAAGGCACTAACATGTTATCTACTGACAAATGATTAAGATATAAATGGGCTTATTACCAGACAATGCCTTAAAGTTGGATAATTACAGAAATTTCGGAAGATTTACAGAATGATGAAGCCATACCTTATTGGTATTAGTTATTATAGATGTTATCCTTGCACCAACCTTTTTCAGGTATCTTTTCTATCTTTAAACAATCAATGTGATTACTTTTTTATGGTAGATAAGTAAACTTTATGGAACTTTTAACTGGTATCCTTTGTATTATTACTGAGGGTATATTTCTTACAGCTCTCTATATTTTTCATGCCATTGTTTTGTTACAAATGGCATATTTTGTTACCCATTTGCATCCCACTCCTTTCTATCCTAATGCATCTTACAATATTTCAACTTTAAATTAAAAGAAAATCAACAGAAAATGATTATTTGGGGACTAGGGTCAGTAGGACTGCAGGGCTGACTGCTCTTTTATATAACGTTCTGCATGAATGATTTCATTTTCCAATTATTGCATGCTTCCATCCTTACACATTAGATACAGAGTAGTCCTGTTTTATGGGTGATAACATTTTGCGATTACACTTTCCATGTCAGTTCTTTATTTGTGGTTCAATGTCCCATCAGCCAAAACATGAAATGTTCAACATTTTTGATGTCTTGTCTTTGGGCCATAGGAATCTGTGGCAATTCTTTTCCAGTGCTTGAAATTGATCACTATATCACTGGAAGTAGTATCAGTGTATTTGTACTGGATTATAGACTATAATAATGCACTCTCTTTGCTCTGCAATATCACAGCTTTAACATTTTAATGTTTCACCAATGATGGAATTTGCATAAATTTGATATCAAGATAGTGTAATCAATTTTCTCAATGATAGATAAGAATGCAGTTAGTGGAATTTTTTGTAGGATTTGATTTGGAGATATTTGAATCTCTCTGTTAGTGCTTAAAACTCGCTGAATCTTTAATTATTTTTTTTTTAACTTCTAAAGCTTTTTTTTATGAAATATAATGTTACATCTTCAGTCACTGTCTTAACTAAATAAATATGATTGATTTATAAATTGAATCCTGTTCCTTGATGAGTTGCAAGCTTGGTAATTACAATATGTAAGTCAGAGAGGCATGGAGAGAGAGTTGGTTTTTAGGAAGAATGTGATATCTTTTCTATTGCAGAGCCAGCTGGAGGATGCTGAGCGGCGACTGAAGGACACAGGAATGGAGAGTCAGAGCGAGATATCGGAACTTAAAAAAGATACTGAACAACTGAAGAAAAAACTCATCACACTCATACGGTGACTATTGTTTTGTGATAAAATCATAGAGCGACTGATATCTTGTGATAAAATCATAGAGCGACTGATATCTTGTGATAAAATCATAGAGCGACTGATATCTTGTGATAAAATCATAGAGCGACTGATATCTTGTGATAAAATCATAGAGCGACTGATATCTTGTGATAAAATCATAGAGTGACTGTTGTGTTGTGATAAAATCATAGAGTGACTGATATCTTGTGATAAAATCATAGAGTGACTGATATCTTGTGATAAAATTATAGAGCGACTGATATCTTGTGATAAAATCATAGAGCGACTGATATCTTGTGATAAAATCATAGATAAAATCATAGAGCGACTGATATCTTGTGATAAAATCATAGAGTGACTGTTGTGTTGTGATAAAATCATAGAGTGACTGATATCTTGTGATAAAATCATAGAGTGACTGATATCTTGTGATAAAATTATAGAGCGACTGATATCTTGTGATAAAATCATAGAGGGACTGATATCTTGTGATAAAATCATAGAGCGACTGATATCTTGTGATAAAATCATAGAGTGACTGTTATGTTGTGATAAAATCATAGAGCGACTGATATCTTGTGATAAAATCATAGAGCGACTGTTATGTTGCTACAACTTTTGTTTCGTGCTTCTAATCAAATTATGATCATTACATTGGTAATAAGTATAAATATTCAAGTTAATGTAAATATTATTTCTATGGGGAAGTGTGGATATGTTTTTGACCACAGGATATAGTGTAATAAAAAACTTGTCAACACTGAACTACATTTATTTCACTAATTGTTGTTCAGAGTAAACAGGTTATTTGATTAACCAGCTTGTAGTTGTAGACATAGATATACTTGGTTACAAGTATCATATGTTTGTATCAATGACTCCCCAATATCTATTTTGGTTTTAAAAGCAGGAGCCTGTTTTTATGCGCACAGATTTTTATTTGGCAATATTAAGGAAATCTGAAAATCTAGAATTATAGTAATTAATGTCATTACTTTGGTTGTCATGGTAATAGAGAAAAGGATTCACTCTGGCAAAAGTCCGACCAGCTAGCTTATCAACAGAAAGAGAAAGTCAAGGAGAAATGGATGGATGACAAAACAGTACTCAACTGTCTTGGCTGCAAAACTGAGTTCTCATTCACAGTCAGAAAGGTCAGTGTGAAGATCATTAATGGTCACTTATAATGATAATATTCAGGCCACTTTCTGATAAACATTGCTGTTGATTGATATTTTTGAAAGTCGTGGCTGTGTAACTTCAGGAATTCAATGAAGATTTTAACAGTTAGACCATCATTTGAGAGCCTTGTCAAACTCTAATTTGAATTTTAAATTACCAGTTAATTTCAAAACATTAACAAAACATTTTCAAAATCATTAACAATGAGAAGGTACTCACTTCTCCTTGATTACCAGCAAGGGCAATAGTGTCACGCCAACACAGTTAGTTGTAAAAGAAGATACAGGTTGTGTGAGACAATTCTTATTAAACTTTTTCTTTAACAAGAAGCTGTATCAGCATTAAACATTCAGTTTTTAACCTGTTTCATCAAAGATTTCTGTTCTGTTGACAGCACCATTGTCGTATGTGTGGAAAGATCTTTTGTTTCAACTGTAGTAACAACTGGATCTTAACAGCTCATAGCAGGTCAGTAGGAGAGTTCCATATATTGTGTACATTATACGTGGATACAGGTCATTTATTCCATTCAGATGACTTATTTCTGATGTATTTCTTACAGTAAAAAGTCTCGTGCCTGTAACCAGTGCTACCGATGGTACAGTCAGATGGAGTCTGGTCAAGCTGAATCACCCGACACAGAAAAGAATGATTTCGAGGACACTGTAGAATTGCCGCATTGTAAGTTCCGCAGGAGTCGTGGCCATTCACTGGAGCAAGGGACAGATGGTCAATTTGGTGACAAGGAGCCAAATATGATGGTTGGCCAGATGGATGAAAGCACTTCCACAGTAGAGTCTTCAGGTAACAGCTTTTGTGTAATGTCAATGCTTCACGATATTAGAAAGGTTATGAAAGGGTTTTGTAACTTTATAGATAAAAATATTTCGATTTTGTTAAGCTCTCAGTCATTATCATTGTTTCTTACTATATGGAAACATTTCAAAATGGTTTCATTAAATTCAGGTTCCTACCCTATGCTTTATTGTGTTGTGTTATTTGTTAAATCCATGTTAATCAAATGCAGAGATATTCTATACCTTTGTCTCCAATCTTTACATTTCTACTTTCTACACATCGATGTGATGTTAACGTATGCTTCTATATATTGTGTCATTTTTATGGAAAGGAAATGTAAAACTTTCTTTCTTATGCTAAGGCATCTGAATTGTTACAAATGTTATGATCTTTCATGTTCTAAATATAGACATTTCTTTAGCTTAAAATTAACTCCAGACTCCTTCCACTACTTTGTATGGTGACAGGTGAAAAGTTTTATGTTTGTGTGATTTTAGAAGTGACCGATCAGTCATCCATGGAAGGGTCCAGAACTGATAAAGATGAGGAAATAACTTATGCAGTCCCTGGTCAGGTTGCCACGGATATTTCTATAGCATTGGTTGGTGAAAATGAGACAGATGAAACCAAGGTGAAGAAAACAGCAACAGGGTAGGTTTTTAGTTATTTATAGAGATCAGACTACATTTTACCTGGGTGGGAAGTGTCGTGAGTGTTGGATGGAAGGAATAACTTTGGTTTGTGAGCAAGGTTAGATTTAGAGTGGCAAGTCCTTACACCAACATGGTGTGTTGAAACGTCTCTATACTTCAGACTTTCTCAGCATTCTTCTATAGAACAATGACACCTAATACAATTAGCATTTCTTATAGGGATGAAGAAGATGGTGCTTCTGCACCTTCAAAAGACGATGTCTTCCACATGATCAGTGACGAGGAAATCACCAAATCTCTAACGATGAGCGAAGAATCACAGTCTATCAACGTGGATCCAACGTAATGTCATTAATTCTATTATTTTTCTCTGCCTTAGTCTATAACGTAGACATGGTTATAACTCAATAGTGATAATAAAGAGTTTGTTTGTCTATAAATGAGGCATGGCTATAACTTAATAGTGATAATAAAGAGTTTGTTTGTCTATAACTTAGACATGGTTATAACTCAATAGTGATAATAAAGAGTTTGTTTGTCTATAACTTAGACATGGTTATAACTCAATAGTGATAATAAAGAGTTTGTTTGTCTATAACGTAGACATGGTTATAACTCAATAGTGATAATAAAGAGTTTGTTTGTCTATAACGTAGACATGGTTATAACTCAATAGTGATAATAAAGAGTTTGTTTGTCTATAACTTAGACATGGTTATAACTCAATAGTGATAATAAAGAGTTTGTTTGTCTATAAATGAGGCATGGCTATAACTTAATAGTGATAATAAAGAGTTTGTTTGTCTATAACGTAGACATGGTTATGACTCAATAGTGATAATAAAGAGTTTGTCTATAAATGAGGCATGGTTATAACTCAATAGTGATAATAAAGAGTTTGTTTGTCTATAACTTAGACATGGTTATAACTCAATAGTGATAATAAAGAGTTTGTTTGTCTATAAATGAGGCATGGCTATAACTTAATAGTGATAATAAAGAGTTTGTTTGTCTATAACGTAGACATGGTTATAACTCAATAGTGATAATAAAGAGTTTGTTTGTCTATAACTGAGGCATGGCTATAACTCAATAGTGATAATAAAGAGTTTGTTTGTCTATAACGTAGACATGGTTATAACTCAATAGTGATAATAAAGAGTTTGTTTGTCTATAACGTAGACATGGTTATAACTCAATAGTGATAATAAAGAGTTTGTTTGTCTATAACGTAGACATGGTTATAACTCAATAGTGATAATAAAGAGTTTGTTTGTCTATAACTTAGACATGGTTATAACTCAATAGTGATAATAAAGAGTTTGTTTGTCTATAACTTAGACATGGTTATAACTCAATAGTGATAATAAAGAGTTTGTTTGTCTATAACTTAGACATGGTTATAACTCAATAGTGATAAGAAAGAGTTTGTTTGTCTATAACTTAGACATGGTTATAACTCAATAGTGATAATAAAGAGTTTGTTTGTCTATAACTTAGACATGGCTATAACTCAATAGTGATAAGAAAGAGTTTGTTTGTTTGTTTGTCTATAACTGTAGACATGGTTATAACTCAATAGTGATAATAAAGAGTTTGTTTGTCTATAACTTAGACATGGTTATAACTCAATAGTGATAATAAAGAGTTTGTTTGTCTATAACGTAGACATGGTTATAACTCAATAGTGATAAGAAAGAGTTTGTTTGTCTATAACTATGGTTATAACTCAATAGTGATAATAAAGAGTTTGTTTGTCATGGTTATAACTCAATAGTGATAATAAAGAGTTTGTTTGTCTATAACGTAGACATGGTTATAACTCAATAGTGATAATAAAGAGTTTGTTTGTCTATAACTGAGGCATGGTTATAACTCAATAGTGATAAGAAAGAGTTTGTTTGTCTATAACTTAGACATGGTTATAACTCAATAGTGATAATAAAGAGTTTGTTTGTCTATAACTTAGACATGGTTATAACTCAATAGTGATAATAAAGAGTTTGTTTGTCTATAACTTAGACATGATAAGAAAGAGTTTGTTTGTCTATAACTGAGGCATGGTTATAACTCAATAGTGATAAGAAAGAGTTTGTTTGTCTCTAATTTAGACATGGTTATAACTCAATAGTGATAAGAAAGAGTTTGTTTGTCTATAACGTAGACATGGTTATAACTCAATAGTGATAATAAAGAGTTTGTTTGTCTATAACTTAGACATGGTTATAACTCAATAGTGATAATAAAGAGTTTGTTTGTCTATAACTTAGACATGGTTATAACTCAATAGATAATAAAGAGTTTGTTTGTCTATGGTTATAACTCAATAGTGTTATAACTCATGGTTATAACTCAATAGTGATAATAAAGAGTTTGTTTGTCTATAACTTAGACATGGTTATAACTCAATAGTGATAATAAAGAGTTTGTTTGTCTATAACTTAGACATGGTTATAACTCAATAGTGATAATAAAGAGTTTGTTTGTCTATAACTTAGACATGGTTATAACTCAATAGTGATAATAAAGAGTTTGTTTGTCTATAACTTAGACATGGTTATAACTCAATAGTGATAATAAAGAGTTTGTTTGTCTATAACGTAGACATGGCTATAACTCAATAGTGATAATAAAGAGTTTGTTTGTCTATAACTTAGACATGGTTATAACTCAATAGTGATAATAAAGAGTTTGTTTGTCTATAACTTAGACATGGTTATAACTCAATAGTGATAATAAAGAGTTTGTTTGTCTATAACTTAGACATGGTTATAACTCAATATGGTTATAACTCAATAGTGATAATAAAGAGTTTGTTTGTCTATAACTTAGACATGGTTATAACTCAATAGTGATAATAAAGAGTTTGTTTGTCTATAACGTAGACATGGTTATAACTCAATAGTGATAATAAAGAGTTTGTTTGTCTATAACTGAGGCATGGTTATAACTCAATAGTGATAATAAAGAGTTTGTTTGTCTATAACTGAGGCATGGTTATAACTCAATAGTGATAATAAAGAGTTTGTTTGTCTATAACTTAGACATGGTTATAACTCAATAGTGATAATAAAGAGTTTGTTTGTCTATAATGTAGACATGGTTATAACTCAATAGTGATAAGAAAGAGTTTGTTTGTCTCTAATTTAGACATGGTTATAACTCAATAGTGATAAGAAAGAGTTTGTTTGTCTATAACTGAGGCATGGCTATAACTCAATAGTGATAATAAAGAGTTTGTTTGTCTATAACGTAGACATGGTTATAACTCAATAGTGATAATAAAGAGTTTGTTTGTCTATAACTTAGACATGGTTATAACTCAATAGTGATAATAAAGAGTTTGTTTGTCTATAACTTAGACATGGTTATAACTCAATAGTGATAATAAAGAGTTTGTTTGTCTCTAATTTAGACATGGTTATAACTCAATAGTGATAAGAAAGAGTTTGTTTGTCTATAACTTAGACATGGTTATAACTCAATAGTGATAATAAAGAGTTTGTTTGTCTATAACTTAGACATGGTTATAACTCAATAGTGATAATAAAGAGTTTGTTTGTCTATAACTTAGACATGGTTATAACTCAATAGTGATAATAAAGAGTTTGTTTGTCTATAACTTAGACATGGTTATAACTCAATAGTGATAATAAAGAGTTTGTTTGTCTATAACTTAGACATGGTTATAACTCAATAGTGATAATAAAGAGTTTGTTTGTCTATAACTTAGACATGGTTATAACTCAATAGTGATAATAAAGAGTTTGTTTGTCTATAACTAGTGGTTATAACTCAATAGTGATAATAAAGAGTTTGTTTGTCTATAACTTAGACATGGTTATAACTCAATAGTGATAATAAAGAGTTTGTTTGTCTATAACTTAGTGGTTATAACTCAATAGTGATAATAAAGAGTTTGTTTGTCTATAATTTAGACATGGTTATAACTCAATAGTGATAATAAAGAGTTTGTTTGTCTATAACGTAGACATGGTTATAACTCAATAGTGATAATAAAGAGTTTGTTTGTCTATAACTTAGACATGGTTATAACTCAATAGTGATAATAAAGAGTTTGTTTGTCTATAACGTAGAGGTTATAACTTTAGTGATAATAAAGAGTTTGTTTGTCTATAACTTAACATGGTTATAACTCAATAGTGATAATAAAGAGTTTGTTTGTCTATAACTTAGACATGGTTATAACTCAATAGTGATAATAAAGAGTTTGTTTGTCTATAACTTAGACATGGTTATAACTCAATAGTGATAATAAAGAGTTTGTTTGTCTATAACTTAGACATGGTTATAACTCAATAGTGATAATAAAGAGTTTGTTTGTCTATAACTTAGACATGGTTATAACTCAATAGTGATAATAAAGAGTTTGTTTGTCTATAACTTAGACATGGTTATAACTCAATAGTGATAATAAAGAGTTTGTTTGTCTATAACTTAGACATGGTTATAACTCAATAGTGATAATAAAGAGTTTGTTTGTCTATAACTTAGACATGGTTATAACTTAATAGTGATAATAAAGAGTTTGTTTGTCTATAACTTAGACATGGTTATAACTCAATAGTGATAATAAAGAGTTTGTTTGTCTATAACTTAGACATGGTTATAACTCAATAGTGATAATAAAGAGTTTGTTTGTCTATAACTTAGACATGGTTATAACTCAATAGTGATAATAAAGAGTTTGTTTGTCTATAACTTAGACATGGTTATAACTCAATAGTGATAATAAAGAGTTTGTTTGTCTATAACTTAGACATGGTTTTAACTCAATAGTGATAATAAAGAGTTTGTTTGTCTATAACTTAGACATGGTTATAACTTAATAGTGATAATAAAGAGTTTGTTTGTCTATAACTTAGACATGGTTATAACTCAATAGTGATAATAAAGAGTTTGTTTGTCTATAACTTAGACATGGCTATAACTCAATAGTGATAAGAAAGAGTTTGTTTGTCTATAACTTAGACATGGTTATAACTCAATAGTGATAATAAAGAGTTTGTTTGTCTATAACTGAGGCATGGCTATAACTCAATAGTGATAATAAAGAGTTTGTTTGTCTATAACTTAGACATGTTATAACTCAATAGTGATAATAAAGAGTTTGTTTGTCTATAACTTAGACATGGTTATAACTCAATAGTGATAATAAAGAGTTTGTTTGTCTATAACTGAGGCATGGTTATAACTCAATAGTGATAATAAAGAGTTTGTTTGTCTATAACTGAGGCATGGTTATAACTTAATAGTGATAAGAAAGAGTTTGTTTGTCTATAACAAAGAGTTTGTTTGTCTATAACTTAGACATGGTTTTAACTCAGTAGTGATTATAAAGTGTTTGTTTGTCTATAACTTAGACATGGTTATAACTCAATAGTGATAATAAAGAGTTTGTTTGTCTATAACGTAGACATGGTTATAACTCAATAGTGATAATAAAGAGTTTGTTTGTCTATAACTTAGACATGGTTATAACTCAATAGTGATAATAAAGAGTTTGTTTGTCTATAACTTAGACATGGTTATAACTCAATAGTGATAATAAAGAGTTTGTTTGTCTATAAATGAGGCATGGTTATAACTCAATAGTGATAATAAAGAGTTTGTTTGTCTATAACTTAGACATGGTTATAACTCAATAGTGATAATAAAGAGTTTGTTTGTCTATAACTTAGACATGGTTATAACTCAATAGTGATAATAAAGAGTTTGTTTGTCTATAACTTAGACATGGTTATAACTCAATAGTGATAATAAAGAGTTTGTTTGTCTATAACTATAACTTAGGCATGGTTATAACTCAATAGTGATAATAAAGAGTTTGTTTGTCTATAACTTAGACATGGTTTTAACTCAATAGTGATAATAAAGAGTTTGTTTGTCTATAACTTAGACATGGTTATAACTCAATAGTGATAATAAAGAGTTTGTTTGTCTATAACTTAGACATGGTTATAACTCAATAGTGATAATAAAGAGTTTGTTTGTCTATAACTTAGACATGGTTATAACTCAATAGTGATAATAAAGAGTTTGTTTGTCTATAACTGAGGCATGGCTATAACTCAATAGTGATAATAAAGAGTTTGTTTGTCTATAACGTAGACATGGTTATAACTCAATAGTGATAATAAAGAGTTTGTTTGTCTATAACTTAGACATGGTTATAACTCAATAGTGATAATAAAGAGTTTGTTTGTCTATAACTTAGACATGGTTATAACTCAATAGTGATAATATAGAGTTTGTTTGTCTATAACGTAGACATGGTTATAACTCAATAGTGATAATAAAGAGTTTGTTTGTCTATAACTTAGACATGGTTATAACTCAATAGTGATAATAAAGAGGTTGTTTGTCTATAACTTAGACATGGTTATAACTCAATAGTGATAATAAAGAGTTTGTTTGTCTATAACTTAGACATGGTTATAACTCAATAGTGATAATAAAGAGTTTGTTTGTCTATAACTTAGACATGGTTATAACTCAATAGTGATAATAAAGAGTTTGTTTGTCTATAACTTAGACATGGTTATAACTCAATAGTGATAATAAAGAGTTTGTTTGTCTATAACTTAGACATGGCTATAACTCAATAGTGATAAGAAAGAGTTTGTTTGTCTATAAATGAGGCATGGCTATAACTCAATAGTGATAAGAAAGAGTTTGTTTGTCTCTAATTTAGACATGGTTATAACTCAATAGTGATAAGAAAGAGTTTGTTTGTCTCTAATTTAGACATGGTTATAACTCAATAGTGATAAGAAAGAGTTTGTTTGTCTATAACTTAGACATGGTTATAACTCAATAGTGATAATAAAGAGTTTGTTTGTCTATAACTTAGACATGGTTATAACTCAATAGTGATAATAAAGAGTTTGTTTGTCTATAACTTAGACATGGTTATAACTCAATAGTGATAATAAAGAGTTTGTTTGTCTATAACTTAGACATGGTTATAACTCAATAGTGATAATAAAGAGTTTGTTTGTCTATAACTTAGACATGGTTATAACTCAATAGTGATAATAAAGAGTTTGTTTGTCTATAACTTAGACATGGTTATAACTCAATAGTGATAATAAAGAGTTTGTTTGTCTATAATTTAGACATGGTTATAACTCAATAGTGATAATAAAGAGTTTGTTTGTCTATAACGTAGACATGGTTATAACTCAATAGTGATAATAAAGAGTTTGTTTGCCTAAATCAGTCAAAGCCAGTCAGTGTTGATTGCTAAAGAAAATTATCTTTTGATGAATTTTGTTTTTATCTTTTGTGATTTAGATGTATCCTTTCTGTCAGTTTGTTGCACCTTTCATATTGATAACAAACATGATACAACTCTGAGCATGGCATTACCATTTTAAGGGAAGTTTTTGTGTATCTTTTCATGTTGATGTACATGTATACCTTCTGATTCTACATGTACAGACTCACGACCAGTCTAACGGTTTCCACAGAGGAATTAGAGAAAGGTATTATCAACAGTACGAATGAGGTCACCATTAGGGCTGGACGTCGGTTTGCTGTTCCTGTCATGGTGGACAAGGTTAACACTATTCTGTGTTGGGAGTTCACCTCCCAGCCCAAGGTAAGCTTCACTGTTCATGTATGTAGATAAACATTGGTAGGAGGGGCAGGGGGGACATTCCAGGCTATGTATCACCATAGTATATTGGTGCTAACCCAATAGTAGTTTGATTAAAGTGTTGAAAAATGATGACTTTGTGTTTGAACTACAAAGTAAGTAGTACTGTATATTTCATATATCCCAAGGCTTGCTCAGTCTCAGGTGGTGCAATGGTAATGCACTCGCCTTTCACGTAGATGTCTGGGGTTCAGTTCTCCAACTGGAAAAGATTTCTCGTCAGATCACCTGGGTTTTCCCCAGGTACTCTGGTTTCCTCTTATAGTAAGATCTCTAGTGCTCATCAATCTGGGCCAACTAAAAGGATTAATTTAAGCTGAGTTTGTTTCTCGATTGTTATAAAGTTATAGATATTGTCCTTGTCAATAAAAAAGTAAGGAATGTTATGTTTTTTTCATATCAAATTTATAAGGATTGAACAAGATTATAAAATTAGTCTTTTGATATGTAGACAAATTACCGAAGTACTTACATAAAACATCTTACCAGAGCGAGCTTCAGATATTGGTCAAGGTCACATCCACTTGTGAAATTATGTTAACCTAGATATTCCTGTTATTTCACAGGACATTGTGTTTAGTGTTACCTACCAGACTCGGAGTGATCTCCCCCTGACAGCATCCCAGACTTTGGTGCCACCGTGTAAATGTGATTCCCATAAACAGGCAGTGAAAGGAGAGCTTACTGCTAAACAACTAGGGATCTACACCCTTACCTTCGACAACTCCTACTCAAGGTAAACACACTCAGACACATACTGTTAATTACACAATTTGACTCTGCAAGCTAGTTCTTCTTATTGCAGTGTACTCCTTGAGTTTCATGCCAATGTTTTGTTTTTTTTAATTTGTTTAGTTACTTGTAGATACATATATTGTTAGCAAGAAATTTGATGAACTTCAAAAATTATGGACAGTTTGATGGCAGTTTTATTGAAATCATTTGTCTGGTTTCAAATTCATTCTCATACTATGTTGTACCTTAAAATATATGACTGAATAGCTGATTGTATTTAGAAATTTTCCCTGCATCTGTTAATCTATTTATTTTTTCTTTCAGAATGACATCAAAGAAAATTTCTTATTATCTGTGGACACGTTAGCATTGACATTTACAAACAACAGAGGGTATATTGTACCTGTTAATACTTAAGTGAAACAGAATCTATCATGATCTTTTAAAAATGGCACTTTATAAATATGAAATATTTTTTATCATATTCTTTGTCATCGTGAATTTATCGACACTTCTATAATTCTTATTCTTATAATCACATGAAACCTTTTTTACTACTACATGTACAAAATTTGATGTATTAAATACACATAAATTGGACTCTCCAATCCATCTATTTTCTCTTAATAGAATGAATAATTTTGTTTGAACAATTACAATGTAGACCCCTATATTGAGAATTTTTTGAAAACAAAGTTATTTGGTCCCATGGACAAAGGCATAGTTAAGACAGATGAAGTGGTGGAAAATAATCTTTATTCAGTATGGTATGTTATCTGTGATGAACTGGTAATGTCAAATGATATATAACATTTATGTTTTGGTGCAGAAAATTGTATGAGACCAGTTTAAGGTATCTAAGTTATCTGTGTTGTGATCTATTTATGTACATATAAAAGTCAGTGGTGGTTGACCATGGAATATTTATTCTAAATATTTTATTTGTTTTTATAATTGTTGTTTTGTATTAAGCTTTCTCTATTATATGCTCAAAAAGTCGCTTTTTAAAATTTTTTTAAAAATTATTGCAAGTTTTATTTTACGCAAGAGAATGGAATTTTTGCCCGATACTTTTGATTGTCAATGATAATATTTGTGTATTTGGTGAAATAACAGTAAAAAATTAAAAAAAACCCAAAAAAACCCAGCTCATATTGATATAGAATGTGAATCTTATAGTGGTTGGAGGTTATAGGTATAGTAAATAATAATTATAGTAGTGAGTTTAAACGGACCCTTTAGAGTGGTAGTAGGCTGTATAGTCTCACAGAGAAGTTTTACAAAACTCGCAGCAATTGTTTACCAGTAATTGAGATTGTTACCATGACAACAATGTTTTTCATTATTTAATTTTCCTCAATATTATTGTCATTAATGTAACAGATGTCATTATTTATGTCATTGAACCCTCCCGGATTCGAACCCGTGACCTCTGGCTTACTAGTCTGATGCTCAACCGATGAAGCTACAGAGAGGTTCTCTCTAGCCAAGCGGTATATGGTGGCAAGTATGTTACCAGGGTTACATTGATATAACTATATCTATCCAATAAAATGGAGCTGAATTTTTACCTTAACAATATGTTATTCTACATGAAAGTACACAGTATTATGTGGTTATTTTTTGGTCAGACGATCATGAAGAGTTACGCTTAGTGTGAGTGTTATGTAATGACCATTTCTGAAATCTATGCAAATATTGATTTGATTCTATCAAATTAGCTTAAAAGATATTTTCTTTAACCCAGTAGGTAATGACAAGGAATGTATTTTTAGAATTTGTACATCTATTACCTAGAATAACTTTGCTCCTAAACAAGACATATATATTTGACCTTTGTCGTGATTCTCCTTAGATAAAAATCCACTCCGTACCCATATGTCCTCTCCATATCAAAATACTGAAATTCCTCTTTTGAAAATTTGCCAGGTCCCTCCAATGTAGAAAGCATTTTAAGGTTTCAAACAATATTTTGAAATTTACTGAAAAGAAACTTAATTAAGATAAAGCTGTGAAAAATCTTCATCATAAAAGCAAGAAAAGTACTAGGAAAGTACGTAAAGCTGTTTTCTGGTTCTTGTAGTTCAATAGTGTTTTGTGTGTTCAACCCAGATGTTCTCTGTTCATGTAAATTTCAGTGTGTACCACTTAATGTTTTATATAGTTAATCACATAATCAGAAAGTTTTAATATGATGCATCATATCTTATTTTAGTATGTATGGGCGAGTTATGGCCCCTTTTTTTACTTATATATTTACATCAATGAATGCATTTCCTCCCAACCTGTTAGGGATGTTATAATGAAATATGTATCATTGTAAATCACATAAGACTGAGTTCCTTGTAAATATCTGAGGAGAGTCAATCATGAATTCAAATTACGTGTGATTTGTTGTAGGAAAATACATTAACAACATTAAGATTGTGTCCATGTTGATCTCACAATAGATTCCATATATATTCACAAACCGAACAAATAGATACATATTACATTACCATTCAGATATTGTCAGGTGTAGTCTTTTGAATTCACAAAATCATGTATTAGCAAATATGTCTGAAGAGATAATAATGTTCCTTTACAACAAAATCATCTGTTTACTTGAATGTAAATCCACAATCTTCCTACTTTTAAGTCACACAACAACGAAATTGTCATCCCCCAGACAAAAAATGAAGATATGAAATAAAGATTTTGCACCTTTAATTGGTTATCATTACCTTTTCCTCATTTATGCCAAATCAAACTCATCATGGTACAAATCCTGTACTATGTCTGACATCCACTAGGAGCCTTTTATAGTATTACTCCCAGAGAGCATATTATTTTAACTTTCTCTTTATGTAGACAGTTTTTATTAGTTAAAGCACTTGATCACAATGGTTGAGCAGTGGTATCTGAGAGTCCTGTCATAAGTTTATCTCATGTACTACACTGGAAGATTTAGGTGTACTAGTCTAATGGGATTGAATCTTTCCTCCAGATTTTACAAGTCAAGTTTTATATGTTGTAAAATTACCCCACAACCCAGCCATCACCTAATAAATAGTTTCAATATAAACACCCTGGCCTCATATTTTGTATCAGTGCCAGTTAATTACTTCATGCTACTTAAACCATTTTATGAAAAATTTTTAGTGAGAGTTTTGGTTTTAGATTCTACAACTTGACAAATTAAATTGATGATTTTAATAATGTGTGAATTATGATTTATCGTAGCTCTAATAATTTGCTGTTGAATTTGCAATACAATTTTATATTCTGATATATCATCACGATGTAAGATAACTTAATGTATTATTTTTATACATAAACATTATGTATGCCTTTTACCTATAAAACTATAAGCATGCAGTGGAACTTCCTGAGCTACCTTAATGTACCATTTTTCAAGGTCTTGAATGAAATATCCGTTTCGGAAGAGGGTGATTTGTTACTTTTGATCAAAATAAATAATATTTTGAATTTTGTTTTAGTTATGTATCTGATAATTCATTGGTTTACAAGTATAGACTTTCATCATCACTACATTTAGATATGAACATTTGGTGTGTATTATTGGTTTACCAAGCAGTGTGGTAATTACTTTATGCTCAGAATGTGTCCATGGTTACTGACACATAAAGTGTTAGGTTGAATCTTTTGCTCAAATTTCCTTTAAACTTCTTATCTATTATCACTTGCCTTTGACCTAATGGCTCCATCAAGCCAACAAAGGTTATTAATATAAGCCAATAGCTTGTTGTTAAAATTCAAACATGACGTTTGAGTACAAACTTATTACGTTAAGTGGTCATGTATTACAATTTTATGAATGTTTGTGATATTTTTCTAGCAGTTCCATTTTGTTATCATTATTTAGGATGAAGGAAAAGTTTTTCAAACAGAAGAGAAAACCTTGGTCTCATGATTTCTATGAAAAAATGCATCCTTTTAGCTTTAAAAAATCTAAATTGGCAAGGCTGCAAACAAATGAAACCATAAAAAAAAAATAATCAAAAACCTGAGGCCTAGTGTCCTTGACGGTCACCTGAGATAAGCAATAATGAAAATAAAGGTTAAAGGATAGTTATTAAGTGTCATGAAACAGAAATTGTGACATTGAATATAGTAAGCCAGTGTCAATACATGCATATCACCAAAACTGACATCCTGTGCTGATAATTCTTATAAAGTTATATCCAGTGGAAAATAACCAATGTTATGCTCAAAAATGCAATTTTTCTATACAGTAAAGACTAAAAAATATTCTTCCCAAGAAAGAAAAGTGTGTCTCATTTTCGTAATTAAAACACCTTAAGATGCTTCCATTCTTGAAGAGCATTTGATCAAACCATATCTGGGTGTTGAGAAGAAGATTTCAGAAATTTAAGTCGGTCAGCCCCTTTTGGCCCTGCCCAATTGCCCTTGGGGGTCAGTCAGGATCAAAATGGCTATACCATCAATCCGTCATCCTTCACTCATAATTCTAACTAAATTTGAACTATTTCCAATGGAAATTAAACAAATTATGCTAAAAAATCTAGTTTTCCATATGAACTATAGTAAACTTTACCCCCTCCCCATGGAGAAATGTGAGACCAGGGGTTTTTGAGAAATCTAAAGTGTTGAATTGTTTACAGATGCATGACACACAACAGCAGATGCATGACACACAACAGCAGATGTATAGTACTTCATTCTACCATATCTGGATCTTAAGATTTTTGAAATTCGAGTCAATTTGACCCCTTTTGACCACATCCCTCAGGCCCCTGGTGGATGGTGACTGTATAATTTTGGTTCATCTTAGGCCAGGAAAGGTTTCTGCACAATTTCACTGGTCAGATCAGGGTTTCTTGAGAAGTTGAAAGTGTTAAATTGTTCATGGACACATGACATAACACCAGAGGAAGGGTATAAGAAGAGGTCACCATGAGATTTTGGCCATGAAATTCACAATTTTGGTAAAGCACCTTTAGATGCTTCCATTCATAAAGAGTATTTGATTCTACCATATCTATGTCTTGAGAAGAAGACTTTTTTACCCTTTTGGCCCCGCCCCTCAGGCCGCCCTGATATATAAATATTTCACAATTTTGGTTCATCTTATGCCGGAGAAGGTTTCTGCAAAGAAAAAATCATTGAAATTGGATCAGGGATTTTCGGGAAGTTGAAAATGTTAAATTGTTTACAGATGCACGATGCCAAATGAAGATGATTGCAATAGGTCACCATAAGATTTTGTCTCCAGTGACCTAAAAATCTGACATTGGAAACATTGACAGTTTTCAAGTAGTAAGATCAGAAAATCATTTTTGATAGCCATTGTCAATGGTTCAGAATCAAACATGATTGGAAATAAGAGATCATAGAAGCAAATAAGCTTAAAAGTATTTATTTCTGAACAAGGCAATACTTACTTCTACTTTACTACAAAACAACACATTGTACAAACAATCCAACTGACACATTGACTAAGAAGGAAATGGGTGTATACAAAGATGAGACTTACATCAGCTACCAAGTGAAGAACAAGATGAGATTGATATAAACAAGAGGTCAAACAGCCTGTATCATTTATTGGTTAATGTCTCCCCATTGCAGTGGGTATTGCAGTAAGTTTCTTTCAAAGATATTTCACAATATAAAGACATACAAATGAATAGCACCTTTCAATACAAATATTGATTAGCTACATCATAGCCAAAATTCATTCAAACAAACAATCATGCATATACACTGGAAATTCACATAACTACTAGATATATATTCACCCATAAAATCTTTGTTGAATTCAAACTAATAGGACCTTTACAATTTGTGGAGTTTTTCATCTGAATATCATGTTATGACTTTCTATTGTCTAAGGCTCTTTAAAGACTTCAAATGGTAATTCCTGTGATCTTGAAAGTATGTCAAAGTCATTCATCCATGCAATGCTACAGGCCTAATATCACGATATGAGGCCACTTCATGCATTCCAAATATACTTTAACACCTTTGATTACTCTTACCTTGAAAGTAGGTCAAGGTCATCCATTTGAACAATGAGAAGATTTGAAAGTAAAAATGAATGACAAACACCACACAACAGTGTTATTTATAAACTCTAATGCCTCCGACTTGTTCATCAAAAACAACCACATGGTTTCAAAACCCTGCAGAAAGTGTTTCTCACCCCCCAGTTTTTGGATTATCTCGAAGTAAGGCAAATGTTTACAGTCAAGCAGATCAGTTAGAGGTAGATATTGTATATATTGTTCCCAATGATTCATATGGACGTTTTAAATTCCCTTCCAAACAAAATTAAAAAAGGCCACCTAAGGTTTCATAATCTCATTATTTTACAAAACTGTAAGAATGAGAGTATACATTCAAGTATAATATTTTATATAACCCTGGCCTAGTATGCAATAAAAGGTTATCTCTTGTAATTACCATGACCTGTACTTGTGAATCATGCATGGCTCAATCAATCCCTATTGTGTTTTACATCTCTATCAGGGTAGCTTTGCATGACAAAATGTAGAACATGTCTTAAACAAGCTTCTTTGTTTGAGTGCTATGTTTTTTTCCCCAAGAAAATGACAATTAATGTACCATGAAAAAAACAATTCTTTAAAATGAGAAATTAACAGAAAAAAAACTTTGTAATAAAACGACTAATGTATCTGATATAGAAATGCATCAGGAGAGGACAGATATAAAACAGCTAATGTAAATAATAAAACTATCAAAATCTTGATGAAATACTAAAATGGTTCATCAATATTATCGGTAACACTGTAAACATAATTATAACAAATATTCCAAAATGTACAATAATATATATTTAAAAAACACTTTAGTGATAGTAACCAAATACTAGATATTAATTCTATATTTAACAAAAGATATGGCTTAACCTGGGAAAAACCCCAACAAACATATTTACAGTATATCACATGAGATATTGGCAAACTAACTGTAAAGGGGGACTGTCTACTTCTATACAAAACAACATGATCTACATGCATTCTGATAGATTTAGATAAATTATGTAAATTTACTTATCTTTAATTTTCAACACAATCAGTTTAGTTTGTAACTGTGGAATAACCAAGACTTGATCATGGATGGTATATCAAAACCACCGGTAAGATTAGGGCAATTCCACTCAGTACATCTACTAAACCTCATTACTCAAGAAAACAGTCACTTCTATTGATTGTTTGGTTTCCTGCCTACTAATTCGGAGCAAATTATCAATTAAAACCTAGGTCCTGATATGGGATAGAACTTTTACTGGAATTGATAATGCAGAACTATTGGCAAGAAACCTCTCATTCTTTTAGCAAAGTATTTAAGAAATGTGTGCCCACTGTACATATGTGTGTGCACTGTACATGTGTGTGCATTGTACATGTATGTGCCCACTTTACATGTGTGTGCCCACTGTACATGTGTGTGCCCACTGTACATGTGTGTGCCAACTGTATATGTGTGACCACTGTACATGTGTGTGCCCACTGTACATGTGTGTGTGTGTGCACTGTACATGCGTGCCCACTTTACATGTGTGTACCCACTGTATATGTGTGCCCACTGTACATGTGTGTGCCCACTGTACATGTTTGTGCCCACTGTACATGTGTGTGTGTGTACTGTACATGTGTGCCCACTGCATATGTGTGTGCCCACTGTACATGTGTGCCCACTGCATATGTGTGTGCCTACTGTACATGTGTGACCACTGTACATGTGTGCCCACTGTACATGTGTGTGCACTGTACATGTGTGCCCACTTTACATGTGTGTGCAAACTGTACATGTGTGCCCACTGTATATGTGTGTGCCCACTGTATATGTGTGTGCCTACTGTACATGTGTGCCCACTGTATATGTGTGTGCCCACTGTACATGTGTGCCCACTGTATATGTGTGTGCCTACTGTACATGTGTGCCCACGGTATATGTGTGCCCTCGTACAAATGTAACCAAATATATGCTACTTCCTCATACAATTATGTCATCATGCACACACTACTCACAGTTATGCACCTAAATACATGTGTACAATTGAAATATCAAATCTGAGACTTCATCTTAAATGCAATGCTAATGACTGTTTATTGGGTCTTTGATAAAAATTCTAAATGCAGGATATCTACTATGTTTCCACAGTGAATGCATCTCGAAATACTTCAACAACTTACGCAGGTTAAACAAATTTCCTACACCTGCAATTTATCAAAAACATAATTTGACAAGAAATTTCACATCAAATCACAGAATTTCAGAGTCTGGGGCCTGGAGAGGTCCACTCTACTGGGAACTGAGTGACAAATTTGACAGAGCTGTAGTCCCTCACTTGCCAGGCTTGTAAGGGTTGTAGTCGTCCTCTTTGAGTGATGCTAACGTATGGTTGACCACACGATGATGGGCCTCGTCTGCTCTTATAGCCAAAATCACATCGAGCATTGTAGCATTTTTCTGTAAGTACAACACATATGATTTCCTATATTCTAGTTTCAATTTTAACTCTTATGACTGGTTATAAGATTTTATACTCCATTCTTTTATAATACAATAAGCTTTTTGTCAAAGAGATTTATGTACACAATATCAATTACACAATCCACCTTGTTCAAATCATGTGATTTGGAAATGAAAATGAAGAATGACTGCTGTGAATTTCAACCACAGGAGAAGATAACTAGCAGAATGGTCATCTTATAACTTACGTCAAGTTTCCAGTAACGGATTGCAAGTTCCGGTGCCTCTTGGGTTTGCCAATGTTTCATAGGTCCATCTTGGATATCCTGCCACACAAACACAAATATATATATATTTACAACAGTGATCTAAATCGTCTTGTTACCAAAAAGTTTCTATATCATTTGTCTATTCTTGAATTGACTATAATTACTTTAATGACCTTTAAAACTCTCACTGACCTTGAGACACTTTGAGTAAGTGACTACCGCTTCCTCTTCGAGGTAGCCTACAAATCTGTGACAAAACCGGGGACTCAGCAGGTATGCAAAGCTGAAGAACGTCACAAATATACCTGTAACAGGAAAGTGTGGTTGACTGTAAGATCATCCATCCTCCCTACAAACTTAAGTTGGTGGAATCTTTATTAATGAACAAGTGATCCTATCAATCTTCCCACGTTTCCACAGATTCATTAGCTGTTTTATGAAGTATTGATGCTGCCCTTGGACTGACCTCCAATCTTAACAATGACATTGATCATTTGCTGTCTATATAATTCCATTGCAATTTTATTTTCTCCATCTTTTACAAAACCTTGACCTCTCACTACTTTAAAAGGACATCCCCCACATCCATTCTGATATCTTTACTCTCTCACTTTTGAACTATTTGCTGCCTTTATTTAATTCTGCACTATGATTTTCTGTCAGGCTATCTATATATATATACATATACCATGTATACAGAGTAATATATATATACTATGTACTGTGAAACTGTCAATGACATTCATATCATCGCTTTCTTACCTTGAGCTCCTATAACACAACCCCGAAACATCCAGGTAGGTTGTCGCAGCTGTAAAGCTGTCATCAGATGCATTCTTTCATTCTCTGCTTCCTCTGTGTAATTCAATCAAACAAAAAAACATATGTTTTAATGTATGTAAAGCAATTTCAAAGCTGCATTAAAATATACAATGTATGACAAATTTCAATAAGAAGTTGGACAATAATCTGATATCACGGTCAAATGCACATTAATGTATAATGGGATTATCTTTGTGTAGAGGTCAACAGAAAGTTTGAAAATTTATTTACATCTAATATAATGGGATTATCTTTGTGTAGAGGTCAACAGAAAGTTTGAAAATTTATTTACATCTAATATAATGGGATTATCTTTGTGTAAAGTCAACATAAAGTTTGAAGATTCATTTACATATTACATCTACCTAAGAAGATTCCTATTACTTCCTACCTAAAAGTGTATGGATCCAGCCGTGATCCCTCTCCAGTCTCCTTAGTGAGTGAAGATGACGTGTCATGGCAGCCACCATACCTGGAACCCCTGCAACTGTTTCTAAGAAACAGATTCGCCTACAAAAAAGGAAAATTAAAATATACCAACATGATTTCATTAATAAGAATGCATGGTAACTTTTATCCATAAGTTCTAAGGAGATAGAGTTCTATAGAAATGTTTCACTGCATGTTCAGTTTTGTTTGGTTGATAACATATTAAACTATTTTGGTGAATAAAAATTAAAATTGGGATAAAAAAATACATCAAGAATTCCAGTTAACTGTGCAGATCTCAAATATAAATTAAATTAACTGTACAGATATCATACACAAATTAAATTAACTGTGCAGATATCATACATAAATTAATTTAACTGTGCAGATATCATACATAAATTAATTTAACTGTGCAGATCTCATATATAAATTAAATTAACTGTACAGATATCATACACAAATTAAATTAACTGTGCAGATATCATACATAAATTAATTTAACTGTGCAGATATCATACATAAATTAATTTAACTGTACAGATCTCATACACCAATTAAATCAGCTGTACAGATATCATACACAAATTAAATTAACTGTGCAGATATCATACACAAATTAAATTAACTGTACAGATATCATACACAAATTAAATTAACTGTGCAGATATCATACTCAAATTAAATTAACTGTACAGATATCATACACAAATTAAATTAACTGTGCAGATATCATACACAAATTAAATTAACTGTGCAGATATCATACACAAATTAATTTAACTGTACAGATCTCATACACCAATTAAATCAGCTGTACAGATATCATACACCAATCAAATTAACTGTACAGATATCATACACAAATTAAATTAACTGTACAGATATCATACACCAATTAAATCAGCTGTACAGATATCATACACAAATTAAATTAACTGTGCAGATATCATACACAAATTAAATTAACTGTACAGATATCATACACAAATTAAATTAACTGTACAGATCTCATACACCAATTAAATCAGCTGTACAGATATCATACACAAATTAAATCAGCTGTACAGATATCATACACAAATTAAATTAACTGTACAGATATCATACACCAATTAAATCAGCTGTACAGATATCATACACAAATTAAATAACTGTACAGATATCATACACAAATTAAATCAGCTGTACAGATATCATACACAAATTAAATTAACTGTACAGATATCATACACAAATTAAATCAGCTGTACAGATATCATACACAAATTAAATTAACTGTACAGATATCATACACAAATTAAATAACTGTACAGATATCATACACAAATTAAATCAGCTGTACAGATATCATACACAAATTAAATTAACTGTACAGATATCATACACAAATTAAATAACTGTACAGATATCATACACAAATTAAATCAGCTGTACAGATATCATACACAAATTAAATTAACTGTACAGATATCATACACAAATTAAATTAACTGTACAGATATCATACACAAATTAAATAACTGTACAGATATCATACACAAATTAAATAACTGTGCAGATATCATACACAAATTAAATTAACTGTACAGATATCATACACAAATTAAATTAACTGTACAGATATCATACACAAATTAAATAACTGTACAGATATCATACACAAATTAAATAACTGTACAGATATCATACACAAATTAAATCAGCTGTACAGATATCATACACAAATTAAATTAACTGTACAGATATCATACACAAATTAAATTAACTGTACAGATATCATACACAAATTAAATTAACTGTACAGATATCATACACAAATTAAATAACTGTGCAGATATCATACACAAATTAAATTAACTGTACAGATATCATACACAAATTAAATTAACTGTACAGATATCATACACAAATTAAATAACTGTACAGATATCATACACAAATTAAATAACTGTACAGATATCATACACAAATTAAATCATCTGTTCAGATATCATACACAAATTAAATTAACTGTACAGATATCATACACAAATTAAATCAGCTGTACAGATATCATACACAAATTAAATTAACTGTACAGATATCATACACAAATTAAATTAACTGTACAGATATCATACACAAATTAAATCAGCTGTACAGATATCATACACAAATTAAATTAACTGTACAGATATCATACACAAATTAAATCAGCTGTACAGATATCATACACAAATTAAATTAACTGTACAGATATCATACACAAATTAAATAACTGTACAGATATCATACACAAATTAAATCAGCTGTACAGATATCATACACAAATTAAATTAACTGTACAGATATCATACACAAATTAAATAACTGTACAGATATCATACACAAATTAAATCAGCTGTACAGATATCATACACCAATTAAATTAACTGTACAGATATCATACACAAATTAAATTAACTGTACAGATATCATACACAAATTAAATAACTGTACAGATATCATACACAAATTAAATAACTGTGCAGATATCATACACAAATTAAATTAACTGTACAGATATCATACACAAATTAAATAACTGTACAGATATCATACACAAATTAAATAACTGTGCAGATATCATACACAAATTAAATTAACTGTGCAGATATCATACACAAATTAAATTAACTGTACAGATATCATACACAAATTAAATAACTGTACAGATATCATACACAAATTAAATTAACTGTACAGATATCATACACAAATTAAATAACTGTGCAGATATCATACACAAATTAAATTAACTGTGCAGATATCATACACAAATTAAATAACTGTACAGATATCATACACAAATTAAATAACTGTGCAGATATCATACACAAATTAAATTAACTGTACAGATATCATACACAAATTAAATAACTGTGCAGATATCATACACAAATTAAATTAACTGTACAGATATCATACACAAATTAAATAACTGTACAGATATCATACACAAATTAAATCAGCTGTACAGATATCATACACAAATTAAATAACTGTGCAGATATCATACACAAATTAAATTAACTGTGCAGATATCATACACAAATTAAATTAACTGTGCAGATATCATACACAAATTAAATAACTGTGCAGATATCATACACAAATTAAATAACTGTACAGATATCATACACAAATTAAATAACTGTGCAGATATCATACACAAATTAAATTAACTGTACAGATATCATACACAAATTAAATAACTGTACAGATATCATACACAAATTAAATAACTGTACAGATATCATACACAAATTAAATCAGCTGTACAGATATCATACACAAATTAAATAACTGTGCAGATATCATACACAAATTAAATTAACTGTACAGATATCATACACAAATTAAATAACTGTACAGATATCATACACAAATTAAATCAGCTGTACAGATATCATACACAAATTAAATAACTGTACAGATATCATACACAAATTAAATCAGCTGTACAGATATCATACACAAATTAAATAACTGTGCAGATATCATACACAAATTAAATTAACTGTGCAGATATCATACACAAATTAAATAACTGTACAGATATCATACACAAATTAAATAACTGTACAGATATCATACACAAATTAAATTAACTGTACAGATATCATACACAAATTAAATAACTGTGCAGATATCATACACAAATTAAATTAACTGTACAGATATCATACACAAATTAAATTAACTGTACAGATATCATACACAAATTAAATAACTGTGCAGATATCATACACAAATTAAATTAACTGTACAGATATCATACACAAATTAAATAACTGTGCAGATATCATACACAAATTAAATTAACTGTACAGATATCATACACAAATTAAATAACTGTACAGATATCATACACAAATTAAATCAGCTGTACAGATATCATACACAAATTAAATTAACTGTACAGATATCATACACAAATTAAATAACTGTACAGATATCATACACAAATTAAATAACTGTACAGATATCATACACAAATTAAATAACTGTACAGATATCATACACAAATTAAATAACTGTACAGATATCATACACAAATTAAATTAACTGTGCAGATATCATACACAAATTAAATTAACTGTGCAGATATCATACACAAATTAAATTAACTGTACAGATATCATACACAAATTAAATTAACTGTGCAGATATCATACACAAATTAAATTAACTGTACAGATATCATACACAAATTAATTTAACTGTACAGATCTCATACATAAATTAAATCAGCTGTACAGATATCATACACCAATTAAATCAGCTGTACAGATATCATACACAAATTAAATTAACTTTGCATATACCAAACACAAATTAAATTAACTATGCAGATACCATACACAAATTAAATTTGATTATTTTTCATATCTTTTTAAATTATTTGTTTCTCTGTTCATCTTGTAAATGAGAGATGAAAACTAACAGATTGACCAGTTTTTTTAAAACAACAAAGCTGAAATAGATTCATCTCAATTTTAAACATAACTATGAGGTTATACTTACAAAACCCATTTTCTTTCTGTTCTTTCACCAAAGTTGAACAAAGTCAAAAGGTCAAAAGATTTCCTCATCAGTTTAACACTGTAGAATGCCATCTACAAGATATATATAGACTGTCTATATTATCAATTATTTCCAAGCCATCAAATTTAATCAAAGGCAAATAGGACCTGTACATTTTAGACAAATAGGACCTATACATTGTGGACATAAGTTGAGTTTTCTAAGTACCGGTATATAACAATTTTACCAGCAATGTTGGCATACATAAGGTAAACTGCCATATTTAAACCATTGGTCAGTCTCTTATCTTCATGTAATTATTCTAATGTAAAAGTCTTTTGGTCATATCAACACAGAGGTATATTTCTTACCTTATCAACAAAGCCCTCTGGAGGTTTATGAGTGATTTCTACATTATTAAGTTCATCCTTTGACCTATAAACATAAAGACAAAAGGACACTTTATCACCAAACAAAAAGGACATTTGATAAATAAATACCACATTTACTTATTCATTTAACACATACATCATAAAAACATCATTCCACACAAAGTCACATCACAATATAGAAGTATCACATTGAATGTAATAACTGCTCAAATATATTTGCACTCATATATATCCTGTCAGTTCTGGTAATTAACATATAGGGTGTGGTAGCGCATGGGTACCAACTGGTCAGTTCTAGTAATTAACATATAGGGTGTGGTAGCGCATGGGTACCAACTGGTCAGTTCTAGTAATTAACATATAGGGTGTGGTAGCGCATGGGTACCAACTGGTCAGTTCTAGTAATTAACATATAGGGTGTGGTAGCGCATGGGTACCAACTGGTCAGTTCTGGTAATTAACATATAGGGTGTGGTAGTGCATGGGTACCAACTGGTCAGTTCTAGTAATTAACATATAGGGTGTGGTAGCGCATGGGTACCAACTGGTCAGTTCTGGTAATTAACATATAGGGTGTGGTAGTGCATGGTTACCAACTGGTCAGTTCTAGTAATTAACTTACCATATAGGGTGTGGTAGTGCATGGTTACCAGCTGGTCAGTTCCAGTAATTAACTTACCATATAGGGTGTGGTAGTGCATGGTTACCAACTGGTCAGTTCCAGTAATTAACTTACCATATAGGGTGTGGTAGTGCATGGTTACCAACTGGTCAGTTCTAGTAATTAACTTACCATATAGGATGTGGTAGTGCATGGTTACCAACTGGTCAGTTCCAGTAATTAACTTACCATATAGGGTGTGGTAGTGCATGGTTACCAACTGGTCAGTTCTAGTAATTAACTTACCATACAGGGTGTGGTAGTGCATGGTTACCAACTGGTCAGTTCCAGTAATTAACTTACCATATAGGGTGTGGTAGTGCATGGGTACCAACGGGTGGATGATAACCTGTAGATACGTCCGCTGTACTTCCCGCAACTTTCACTTTGGTAGTTGCTGTAGCTACAGTTGTGGAAGATACCGACTTCAATGCTTCTGATGTTCTGATGACAAAAAAATCAGTGAACCGTAAACAGATGATTAACACTAAAGATTGGGAATTTTAAACCTTTGTTTAATCTCAACAATATTTATGCTAGTTATTTACAAGACAGAAAAAACAAATAGACGATCATTAATACATCTATTCAACACCCATTGTGATATATCAAGTTGTTTCTAGTATAGTAATAGCAATATTTTCATTACTTCTAGTACCAGTGGATAGTTAAGTTGAAGGAATAATCTTCTTACTTCTACACAAGCAGCTATTGTGACATTGATGGGATAAAGAAAGCTTGGTTTTGTTTGAAGGATATGGTTTATTATAAAGTGATCTAAGTTTGTAAGGCAATCCAACTTTGTTACTTAATCAACTTAATCTTACATTCTTTGTAGATTTCTTCCCCCTCTTCCAACAATTAACATGATAATTCTGCTTTCATATTTTAAATATACTATAAGTCCAATTAATCAGGCAGTTGACCCCAATACTTTTTATGTCTGATCAGGGAGTTGGTTGAGTATTTCATACATATAATTATGGAAACTTTTTTGAAGTACAGTTACTTAGTAGACAGGTGACAGATAGTACATTATAATAATCTGTAAATTAATATATAAACTTACTTGAAATGTTCTAAGTGTCCAGGATCTGGTATTTTCCCAAATTTCCCTTCTTTGTATTGTTTAACATGCTCTTCTACTTCCTCTTTAGTGGCAACATAATTTCTTACCTGGTAGAAAAATACAATTTTAATCATTTTGATTCTACACGAGACAACATGTTAAATAATGATGAATAGTTATGCAATATAATCACAATGGACTTTGTCGATCCTTGGTATATAACGTCTTTTCCAGTAACAAAATGCTTTCGTCTCTCTTTCTTAAAGGCGAAATCAATTTGTGATTTTATTCATATCATTATATTGTTTATGCAATTCACCAGACAGCAATAATTTCATCAGATATTATATTCTGCAATGACTCCTAGTCCCCATCCCCACTTCCCCATTAACTCCTGTTTTATTGAACTGGCATAGTTAATGAGATAATATGAAAATAATGACAATGACAAAAAGTTTATTCTCGTTAACAAAGTAGTGTAGAGAATTTAAATACAAGTAGGACATATGCAATACCACAAATATATCACAATAGTACAAATGACATTAGTTTCCCAGTTTAGCCGATCATTAATTATCTTAATAAATTATACATGTGATATCAATTCATCATTAGCAACATAACTGCATAAAGTGTTTAATTCAAATGTACTGGGTCTTTCGAAATAATATCTGGATATTAATTTCTTTCGATTAACTAATATTTGTTAGTCACTACAATAAAATAAATAATGGAACGCAGCTCCAATTTCGTGAATATTACAAAGGTTACAAATTCTATTCTCTTTCGGTATATTATTCCATCTGCCGATTTCAACAGCTAATTTTACATAACAAGTTCTAAATTTACAATAAACTTCAGACAATCTGTGAGGGAGAGCCAGCAAATATTTCACTAGAACCAGTTCATGTTTGTTAATACTATACATTGTCCCTAGAATTGAAACCCGTGACATGTGTTTTTATCAAGACCTCTATCACGATGTATACAGTATTTGTGCAAACATGAGATATGTCGACCAAACAGAGATTTGTGTGGTCTACTTACAGAGTAAAGGTTAGGCCGAACAGGTGCTTGGTAAAGGTGATTTACAACAAATCCTGGTTTCACTTTCACGGTAGGAGTAGCGATGTTCTTCAACGCGTTCTCTGTCCCACACCGAACAAGCATGCGAGTTGTAAGCATTGTCAATCCGATAAGTACTTGTCAGTTTTGTAATGTCTCTGATAGTATGCCGTGTTGTGTAACGAATGCAAGATGCAAGCTGCAGACAGCTTTATATAATCGAACATCAACTCGTCAACCGGTGGGTCATTCAGTTGACGCATGCTCATTGGTCATATTTCGTCATGTTCTGTCAATATTTTATCTAAAAATAGACTTCATTTTGATTTTAGGGAACCCCTCCGTGGCTAAATGTCGATAACGACTCAGTTCTGATTTTTTATTTGGGTTCTCTTATATAGTTAGCTACCTCCTCTTTTTGATGGTAAATCATTTAAAATATCAAAATGGATATAGGAGTGATTTCCCCCATCACAACTTTGATGACGTCACACCCACAGGAATTCCTTTCAGGAAGTCCCCCTCGACCTTGACGCAAAGGCGTCACTGGTTTCATCAGGTTTACTTGTAACAAGGGGTGTTATATCCGCAAGTTGTTCATGTGAAACGAAACGTCACTGGTTTCATCAGGTTTACTTGTAACAAGGGGTGTTATATCCGCAAATTGACGTAACTTCTGACATTTCAGATTTAAAGTTGTTCATGTGAAACGAAACACTGAGTAGTCAACAGGATCTTATCTTGTATTTCGAACTGATATGTTACCGGATCTGAAATGTAACAGATAAAATTATTCGAGCCAGGAACCTCAGGTTAACCTGTCTAACGCTCAACCGATCGAGGTAATGAAAATATCTTTCTATCCAAGCAGTATCATGGACGTATAATACAGTAGTATACGTCTCTGGCAGTATATTGTGGCTACTATTTACCACGGTTACACTCTTCCCCTCCAGGACAGCGGCTAAGTCCACGAGTTTACAGGAGTTACAGCGATGTCTGTGAGAAAATGCTAAGTATTTTCCCCGAGTCCCTACATGGGCGCCAATGCGTTAATTATATGTTTCAGTGCTAGGATTCGAACCCGGAACCACAAGTTTACTTGTCTGACGCTCAATCGATCGAGCTAAAGAGAAGATATCTCGAACCGTGTAATATAATTGCGGCGAGTTTTAAACAGGGTTAAACTTATAATTGATAAATGGATTCTATCATTAGCTATAAGATGTTCTGACGTTACTTTTGTCCAGTCTCTTAATTTGTGTCTTTACCATCACAGTTATGAGTGCACGCATGCATGCCCGTGGCGAAATTATCCATTCGATGCTAGATGAATCCAAGCGGGATTTTCACGCGAAGATTTACTGCTGAATGTTATTGACCGGTGTGTAGTTTAGAATTGTCCAGCACCATCCATTAATAGTTTGGTGTCTTCTTCATTTGTAAATATGCATATAGATTACCACGTGATTTCGGCCGCCATTCTGGTCCCACTGGGACGTGACACGAATTCCCAATATCCGTTCCATATATATATTATATATAAATCATTGTGACATATATATTGATCGTTGGTTAGGAATTTATGTTAAGTCCTTGTGACTGGTCCCATTGTTACAGTGACGTTAGAGTACATGCTCATACCGATACAAGTTGGAAATGGAACATGTGTCCAATATTCGACGTGGAAAATGAAACAAAGAAATCGTCGAAAACGGAACCCAGAGAAAATGGAACCTTAAATTTTGCCACATGTTGAAATTGGACCGTGTGAAGTACCAAATATCTGTGCGACTTGGTAGAATTAAGATGGAGACCAAAATCATATCATTATTATATTCAAGTGAAGAGAGATGAATACGACGAGAACTGACACCGGGTTCCTTCCTGGTCCCAAAGATCGGATTCCAGGGATCAAATAAATAAGGAATACGATGCCCAGTGGGACACACCCTATTAATTTTCTCATTATATCCTCATTAAAGAAGATGATGTAAAAAGAATAGCATATATGCAGTTTAGATAGTTATAAATTGTCATGTTTAATTGTGCGTGCTTCTTAGTACATCATTTAATAGTAGTGATAATTAAGTATTAGATGAACATATATACATTTTATGGAGCAATTGAATTTCTAACCGTAGTATATTTTAATCATTTTGCAATTCATATAAGACCGCAGGTACGTAAAATTCAGTTTTTTCTGATTGGCTCGATTTATAAATTATTTTTCTACCAATGAATGAGGGTGTGAATGTACATTTGATATATACTGAAATGATAAAGAAACGTAACGTCTTCAATATGTAGCAGAATAAAAAGGGTAAGAGGAATATAAGGGCACCTTACCTAATCTCCCAGTTAAAAATCAGTCATCCGTGACAAAAACTTATCCACATCTGATGCACCGAAAATGCATGTGTTCTTTTCCGTTCAAACAAGTGTCAGTTTCTGACAATCACCAAGACGCGTGAATCAACAAGGGTCAGTGACAGGAGGTTAACGGTAGCCGAAACGACATGAAACACAAATGGTACTGGAAGCCGTAGAATCCACCCTAACACTGTGAGAAATAGACTGCGAGAAGCAAAGTTACGCCTATATCACCAGTACGTTGGGACGTTGGAGGGTCATGCTCTAAATGGACGGATCACTGAGACCGAACATAACATATACATTGGCGTAATATGAACGGTGGTTTCAATCCCGTCACTGTGCAAGAATGGATCCGACTGTTCTGTTGAGGCTGGGAAATACAGTCGCTCTCTCTCATCGTAAACAAACATGAATAACGAGTACTTGGATGGTACACATAAAAGATTAGAAATATATAACGTAATACTTAAATATCTTTGTAGGAGTTATCTTTCTTTGTATACCTGTTTTAAATTATTGTACAGATTAAATGAAAAGTTTGTACAGAAAACAAGCACGTGAATGGTAACTTTTGTTACAAATTTTGAATTAGATACAGTGGAGCAAAACAATTATATATACTGAGTCATACAGGTGTTTCGTCCTTTAAGGACTCGTCAGTGGTGCTAGGAATCGACAGAGGAAAATCCAAAGTGATTGAAAGAAAAGTCCAAACGTAGCTTGGGAGATGTACTAGCCCCATGGCTAAATATGTTTCGTTATTTTCATATATCTGATACTTTTAGAACAACGTCAAGTGCATGTGTATATTCTGAACAGGTTTTAAGGAGTGCAATTTGTTATTGGTATATGTATTCCATCCCCCCTGTCACTGAGCTTTTAAAATTTGTTTAATAAATGGTTAAGAATCGGTAAAATGAAGTTTAAAAACAACAGGTGGTAGCGATAAAGCTTCCTTTGCGGCACGATCTGCTTTTCCATTGCCTGGTATTCCCATGTGCCCAGGAACCCAGCAAAAAGCAAGTTCATGATACAGTATTAACGTATTACGAATGAAAATATTTTCGATATTTCTATTACAAAGACTTTGTAGCACAGAAAGAGAGTTTGTATGGTTAACAGCTCTCAATTCTTTGTTTGTTTGAATATATTCAAGGGCGAGGTAGATAGCTCGCGTATCTGCCGAGATTATTGAGGCGTTGTTTGGTAGCCGGCATCCATAGGTTTCATCATGTGTAACCATGGCCGCAGCAACCTTATCATTATCTTTTGAACCATCAGTACATAAATGTAGAAATGTTTTATATTTTCACTGCAATTTTGAGAAGGATGAACGAAAGGTATAACTGCCTGTGTCTGATTTAACCATTTCATGAAGTGAAAAGTCAACTTCAGGTGAATTCAAGAGCCAGGGTGGAATTTCTATCATTCCAAATGACTGAATTTGGTCAATATCAATATTTGTGTTTTGTAAAAGAGCGGAAATTCGAATACCGAATGATGGAATGGTTTTTGGTTTGTTTTGAAACAAGGTTTTATATTTTGGATCAAATACAAGGGAAAACGCAGGATTTGAAGGATTTGACTTAAGCTGAATGGTGTATTGCAAAGCCAATTTTTTTCGACGGCTATATAGTGATAGTTCGTTAGCCTCTACATAGAGGCCTGCTGTAAGTGTAGTCTGAAAAGTTCCGAGAGCGAGCCTGAGCCTTGGTGATGAAGTGTCTAATAATTTTAAATATGACGGTCTATCAGATCCATACACGATGGAACCGTAGTCAAAGTTAGATCTAATAAGAGCTCTATAGAGTCTTGGCACAACTTTTCTATCAGCTCCCCAATCAATGTAGGACACAACCTTTAGAATATTCAGCGCTTTAAGGCATTTGGCTTGAAGGTATTTTATATGTGGAAGGAACGACAATTTCCAGTCGAATATTACACCTAAGAATTTGGTTTGCTCAACAACCAAAAGTATAAGCGTCTTGTGTACGTGCAATAGAAATTGGCATTGTGCCATTAAATGCATCATTACTTTCGTCTGTAAGTGGCGCGTGTAACTATAGCCCGAACATTAACAGGAATAGCGACAAACGACCAAACTATAGACGAAATAGTACTATATTTTGGGACAGTGGGCTAACTTGGTACATCGACTTTGTTCTTCCCAGTATGTGCTATTACGTATGAAGGTCAACTGGCGTATGCAGTGTTTCTGGGATTGTGTGCTGGTTGTTGTTTTTCCATCCTGAATACACTGATAATACAACTTGTTGGTACGGAAGAACTGGTTCCTGGCTTCGGAATATGTATGTTTTTATTCAGTACAGGTACATTGACTGGCCCTCCTGCCACTGGTAAGTATGTCTCAAAATACTTTCAATTTAGAACGCAAATTCCAACACAATGTAGCTACTCCTATACATGGCTTTTCCTAAATCATTCGATATTGATAATTTGCTCATTTGAATTATAATGTTTCTGCCCATCTTCACAATAGCATTATCTTTATTTGACCTATTTCGTTTTTCAAACACGCTTATTTGATCTTTACACTCCAGATTCTTTTAAGGATAACACAGTAGTATGATGTAAGTTATCAAATGACATAATTTGGAATCGTTTTATTTCATTGATAATATTTGGAGACAGTTGTATAGAATAACATGCAAAGCATGTATGAATTTAAAAATGAGAAATTGACAAATAATTGATTAGTTTGACATTAAATGCGAGACAATTTTGAAAAGAAAATTTAACACAATGCTAAGAGGAAGTAAATCACAAAAGAAACGTACTGATGATGTATATATTTTATTTATT